TAGTGCACGGTCTATCACTTTCAACTTGAAAGCAGCCATGTAGCTTCAGTATTGCCCCATAACATGACGAGATTACCGACACAACATACAAAACACGCCGCAACGTGCACTTGACACTTTGGCTTGGCTTGGATTGAATCTTTGTGCAATAATGGTACGCTTGATGCTTAAGATATGACGCACGCTATCATCATCAGTGGCTAGAACGAGCAGATGACATTATTGCCGCAGTTTTCGGAAGTGGAATAATTACTCCAGAAAAAAAAAAAAAATTGTATTTTTGTTGGGTGATGGGGGGTGCGAGAATTATGTGAATGCAAAGATTACGCAAGTAAATACGGTACCTTTGGCCCTTGGTCTCGTTGGACAACGATGTCGCAATTACGAGAGGTCGCTCACAGAATTACGAGCGCGCCTTCCCTTTGCTAGCTATTTTCTATTTTTTTTTATTTTTGCAAGTACATTTGGAGAGGTTTTCAGGGATAAAAGCTGTGTTTTGCAGCCTTTTGTATCACGAAAAAAGGCATAAAAACGATTTTTGAAATTCGGTTTCTAGAACCTTTTTTCTATCAGATTCCAAAATATCTACACTGGAAACCGTGCAGAAATTTTTCGGGAAATTTGTTTCACCCTTCTAGGTAGTGAAAATTTTTCTTGAAGTTACGAGAAAACTGATTTTCAAAAAATTATAGCTTCGCGATTTCGCAGCCAGGAGCCGGCTTTTTTCCAACAGGGCTTTTTGAGCTCATCGGAAAGAGCCTTTCTCCGTGTGCATTTCTCAGCTGGCTCCTTGTTTTATAAAAAAAGTGCGCAAAAAGCTAATGTTGGAAGGTTGTTTCGAGGCTCCTGATTGGCTGTGGCCACCTTCGAGGCCCCTCATTGGCTGGGGCCGCCCCAAGCTCGCCTCGTCATTGGCCCGTTGCTCACTCTGGAGATTGTTGTCTGCTGCTTGTGCGTCGGGATGACAGTGGCTGTCAAAAATCGCTACTTCGTGACGTGTTCACACCTTGATGATCACTTGGATATAATTACGCTTTAGTTAAGGGGCTGTAAGCGGATGCTCGATCAGATTACTACAAACACGTGCGTGGTCTAAGAGCGCGGCGCGTCATCCGGGTCATCTTTAGGCCTAACCGCTGACAGCGAACATTGCGAGCAAAAACGACGTGCTAGTGCACTCGTGTCAACGTGCTTCTTCTCAAGTAACGAAGCACATCATGCACTAGCTCCTTGGAACTGCAGACGGGCATTTTATGCATTGGCAGCAGACCCCACAGTCAAGCTCGTAACACCCCCCCCCCCCAAAACGCCAAGGATTGCTCGGAACAGGGGCTAGCAGTTTGGCACGTCGGCACCCGAAAATAGGATACCAAGCGCACTGCGCACCGATTTTTTTTAAAGCGAAAGCTGCTGTGAGGTCACAACTCTGGTCTCGCGCAGCACCCTAGTTAGCTGCCGCCGGTGCCCTTAACCATATTGCGCAAATTTAGAAAAAAAAAAAAAAAAAACCTAGTACCAATTACATAGTGGAGCTCAAACTGGAGTCCGCTGGGTGCCAGCCCAGCATTCTACCACTGAGCCACGCGGTGCTTGAAACTTCGTTGCAATTACGTTAATACCACTTTTAATAAAGCATTTTAGAGCAGTGAAAGAACAAGCAGTCGTCGCACAATGCGAGTAGCGTAACGTGGGTCATCCAATGCCTCGAACCCATTACAAAAGGTTGTTTTTGTTCACCTATTAACCGTGGCGCATACCCACTTCAGGTGTACAGTTGCTGACCGATTTTCCGGACTCCAAAAATTCGGACTTGTTGGATATTCCGGACTTCATAAATGCACCGTCAGGGATCCCATAGAGCTAATGCATTGTTTCGACCAATTTTTCGGGCGAATTTGCCCCTGAAAGTTCGATTTTTCGGACTAAATCGCTCGTTTTGTGCCACGCCCCCAGCCATTGTGAACGCCGCCATGTTGGATTTTCCGTCGGCTTGGCTAAGCTTGGTCTTCAGATGCCTTTCCTGCCTCCGAGATTGGAATGCGCACGCCATATTTTAAGTTTCGGAGGCCGTGTTTGCTTTTTAAAAGACGCGGTGATGGATGCCGTTTTTTCGTCTTCGGTCAGCGCTATCGTCATCACATCGCACGGGGAGGAGGCGAAAGAAGGATTCTTTTATTGTCGTTGCAGCTTTTTTCAGTCGCCATTCTGCACGTGTTGTGTCGCGTAGCGTCGAGACGTTGTGTGCTTCGCAGCGGCTATCTGCGGCATTGAATTTTGTGTTCTCGGTGTAATTCCTGTTCCTCGTCAGCCACTGCATGAACAATTGGCACGAAATAGTTTATGCGATACTACGCTTCTCAGAATGTCAAAAAGTAGCATAGCAAATGCTGGCCTACTACCCTAAATCTTTTATTATTAATGCTCTAGTGAGCATCAAGCAAATGTGCTTGCAGCAGTTACCCAATGAGTGTTTAGGAAAGGCCGCTCTTCTAGCTTTCCCTATAACTGTGCTGCGCCTTCCGCGCAGGTCTGGTGTTTTCTTTTTTTTTTTTTTCGTAGCTACACTCAACTGCATTACATGCATCATGCACTTTAGAAGCTTCCACATGGGAAACCTACAACAAATATTAATTTTTTTTTCTGTGCCGCGTAACTCTATGCTTTTATATTTTTTATACCACAGCCAAAACGCCCTGGAGTACGAGAAGCGCATCAGAGCGCAAGCAAAACAGATGGCATCGTCGGAGTGAAGAAGATGGAGAAGAGAGAAATGCACTTACCAATCTACCGCAACAGCGACCTCAACGTTTTTGTCGGCCGTCGCGTGCAGAACTTTGCGATTGGGCCACCCTGCACAACCCGACCCTGCCACTGGTTTCGACCGGCACGATTGGCGCTATTATAATCTTAAGTTTTGTAAATAAAGTCTTCCTTTTTTTTTTTAACCAGAATCGTTAAACACATTGTCCTTCACTGTCGTGCGCTGTGCTCGACTCGATGGTGTATCGTTTCAACTCGTCGAGCTAGCCCATCGATCAAGCTGTTTTCCACGCCACAACAGGTGCGTTTCAAAATGGTCCCGAAACAAAAATATGGCAGGACACTTTCACATTCACCTTTAGGCGTGTGTGAAACGCAGTGGCGTTAAAAAGGCATGTATCGCTTCTCCTCATCCATATACAGAAATTAGTTTCTCCGCACACACAGTCGGCAATGATGTGGGGAAAGGAACATCTTTTCACAAAATTGTCCGCTTTCAACTCTGTGGAGCACCTACTGCAAGTAAAATTTCAGAGTACCCACAAAGCGATCACTCATAATTTTGCGCTATGCACGCACCTGCATAGCTGGCGATGACGAGGCTTTTGTGAATTGTGGCTCGACTCTTAAAGAAAAAACTTTTTAAACCGCTCGCTTGTCAATGATATTTTCACGATGTGATGACACCTGGTGCGATTCACCACTTGTGTCGTGCAATGTTGCATCTGTTAACATTAAATCCTTAAACAATGGAATGACTAAAGATTTTCCAAAGCAGTTTCAAACACTGGCACGGTTCTGTGGTAGATTACTTGCCTGGTTTCGATTCTGGCTCATCGCCGCTCAAGTTCTGCAGGAGTGCTGAATTGTTGCATTAAAAAATTTGCACTGCTCATTTTTTTTAATTGCATTTCTTCTTTGATACTTCAATACCGTCTTTGTTTCCTAGGCATTCCACATACTCAAGCAACTTGATGCTATCTGTGGGCATCGAGTAGTGCTGTGCAGTCGTGTGACATGCAGTGTTCGATATACACAAACCTCGTAACAAAATTGCATCTTACACGAAATAAGTTCGTTATATCCGAAAATTCGTTATAAAGGTTTATTATTAACACTAAATATATTGCAAAAATATTTTTAGGCAATTTTGTTATAACCGACATTTTGTTATATCCAGTTTCGTTATATTGAGGTTTGAGTGTAGCTTGATAGTTGTAGATGCACGTACAGTTTGTGTCCTGTTCTTGACTCAGCGTTAGTTGCGATCTTAGGCCTCTACTAGAGCGTGGTAATGGTAGAGAGCACAAAAACAAAACAGAAAACTTCCTGAGAGTGCTTGAGCTTCGCTCTTGAAAGTACAACGTAATTCAAGCCCCGTTCGCATCGCCTCCTCCATCGCTTTGCTTCTTGGTGAACAACATACCGGAAGAAAACAAACCATCCAAGGTGTATAACATTGAGCATTTTGAGCTATCTTACTATGTTTACTGCAAGTACAGTTGCGAAGTGCCAGCTATGTCTTAACTCTTCCCTTTCGGAATTTCCGCAGTACCCGCTACGCAAATGCAAGGCATTGAGTGCATTTGTGCAGCTGTACACTACTGTTGCTGCTGGTGATCAATTACACCTGACAACTTTGCAATGGGTGGGCCCTTAAAAACTACCAACTCGTGCAGTTCACATGTTTCGACACCTGGCGTGATTCTGCTCTTTGGTGATGCAATATCATGTCCGTAGTGGAGGCTGCTCGCAGTACATTAAATTTGTATATAGTGTATTTTTCCATGACAGTTTCAAGCACTGGCATTGCTGGGTGGTACAACACCTATTTGCAATGGAAAAGCTAGCTTCCCAGTTCAACTGAAAACTGTTACGTGCATCTATGTTCATTTCGTGCCCGCGAACAATGTTGAATTTTAACTCAATACCGACCATAACAATGACATCAGCAACACTTTCAAGCACTGGATTGGCTTGATGATAGAACACCTGCTATGCACAAAAAACCTGGATGAGTTTCCACTCATACCGAACAATTTTATTAATATGAAGGAATCTTAGTTTTTCCCTCGCACACAGTGCAGATTTTTAACTAAAAACCAACGCCGCCGACACTGTTCTCGTGATTGCTGCAGAACGAGCTCTTCAACAAACACCATTGCGTAAAAGAAAAAAACACCTTGGGCTATGGGAAAGAAAATGGCAAGTGCCAGACCTATGTGGGGCTGGCAAGAAGCTCATCACTGCACACCTAACTTTTGGCTGTACAAAGAAGTTTTTATTCAGCGACACTGTAGACGAGCTTTCCCGGCGATGGTGGATATGAGTGGCCAGCTTTTCACCCCGAGCATCCTCTGCATCCACAGTGGACACACTCTACTATCTTACCCTGCAAGAAAAAGCGTGATGACGAATATAACACCACTGAATAAACACGATGCAAAAAGTTGCTTGCAATCAATGCACCCCACCTTAACCCATCTGAGAGGTATCTTTAGAAATAGGTACAGGAAATGTTAATCCTGGAGCTGAAGTTCTGGGGGTGCAGTACTGTGTAAAAGACAGCTCCAAGCCACGGATACAGCGGCTACATTTCAAAAGGGGGGAAGTGCTAGAGGCCCGTGTAATGTGCGATATCGGCGCATGTTAAAAACACCGAATCGTCAAAGTTTGCAGAGCCTTCCACTACAGAGCGTGTTAGAATCATGCCCTGGTTTTAGCACGTAAGACCCCAAATATTATGACTAAACAGCTCGAAAACGCACTAACTAGAACAATTTTTTTTTTTGCATTGGTACCTCTTCTAGCTTCCCCTTGGGGACGCGGCAGATGCAGTTGGTGCCGAAGTTGGTGTCCCTGGTCTGGATGCAACGCAGGCAGCAGAGGTTCTCGTAGCCCTGCTTCTTCCACTTGGCCATCAGGTTGCGGTCGGCCAGACCCTCGCGGATGCAGTACTCGAAGAGCTCTGCGCGCACACACACACATCACGCAAACAGTAACAGGACTTGTCACAGTCAAATATAGCTGAAGCAGAGTCTCACATGCCGCAGCAATAACCTAAATCAATCGTAAATGTATGTGTTTCGTGTATACACGCACTAAAGAAAACAACATGGGGACCAACAAGAAAGGTCTTTTCTTTCAGTACCCATGTTCTTTTGGTCTGTTTAGTTATTCATCAGCAATTCCTCCGCTCTTGACATTTGAAATGTCATGCTAACGAGGGGTGTTGCCAGGGGGTGGCACACCAAGCCTGTGCCCCCCCCCCTCCAACCCCAAAAATGAACTGCTCAGTTCGGTTCATTTGTTCTAATTATTCCCGTACTGCTAGCATATCAGAAATGAAATCTAACCTTGACCTACCCAATTTAACTGTCCGGAGGAAACTGGCGCGACTGCATTTTTTTCATAAGATATTTTTTCACAATCCATCAATGAAGCGAGACCTCATTTCACAACCGTCATACCACTCATCGCGCATTGATCACCAGCATAAGGTTGCCATTCCGTTTTGCCGCACCAAATTCTTTTCAGCAGCCTCCTTACCGAAAAAAGCCGCCGATTGGAACCAACTTCCCTCTTCCGTTGTAACAATAACAGACCCTTTGTTATTCAAGACTGCAATTTCTCAGCAATGCTTGTAACTATACGCAGTTTCCATTATCTATCTTTGTCTTGTATGTGCTTGAATTCTTACTTATACATTTTTAGTTGACTTATGTTGCCTTCCTGATTTGCGCATCTGACACTTGTTTCTTTATTTTGTCTTTTTCTTCTTGTGTGTTATAAATGTTGTACCCACCCCCTCTGTAATTCCCTACGGGCCCTGAGGGTATTCTAATAAATAAATAAATAAATAAATCTTTCGCCATGGCATAGAAAGCGAAAATCGACCATTTCAAGGGGGTGTCCCTCCAAAAATAAAAAAGGTGCCCCCCCCCCCCTACGAAAAAAAATTTCTGCCTACACACTTGACGCCCACTCACCCAACAGTTCATGCTTGCCCAACAACCTTACGCCTCATTAGTACACTCAGACCACGATATAACACACCCAGATCAAACGAAATATCGGTTATAACGAGGTAAATGAATAATAGTCTTGAAAAGATATAGCGTTAGAACATGCCTCTATAACGGATATTTGAATGTAACAAACTTACTTTCCTGTAAGATGCAACGTCGTCATAATGAGGCTTGAGTGTAGTATAACACAGTCATGGTACAGGGTACAGTACATACCTAGTTGAACGAGTTCATGCAGAGCAGGAAAAAACAACTTCTTGATACGTCTAACTGCTAATCACATGTATCTTCTGTCATGTTTCTTGTGGTTTCTGTGCTTTGGCAAATGGAGAGCTAGCTAGGTGTACTGGTGTACACATGTGCAATGTTTTCTCTGAGTTTTTTTTTTTTTTTTTTTGCATGAATAAGCCTTATTTCTGAGTCAGCGCTTATATTTGTCATCTCTTCTCTCTAGCGTTTCATCATTTCTTTGGCCCTGTGTGTAAAGACGCAGTCATGGTGGCAAGTAAAACAAACAAACCGATCATTGCACGCACCTTTGCTGATGGCCTTCCGCTTGTGGAAGAGGTCAAACACGTATCGGGACTTCTGGTGGTGGATCTTGAAGATGGGCCACAGGGACTCAACCTTGCGCTTGCCCTCGTGAGACTCCGTCTCACCTGAAACCAAATGGCTTTCTTAAGGCCTGCTGCGCACTCGCGACTAGCGTCGGTCATGCGACCGTTCTGGGATGAAGCGACCAATGTTTACATGGCTAAAGTGACCCGCATTTCGGCACAATGAGTTTGCTTCTGCTAGCAACCACAACACTTTGTAATATAAGCAGACATCCCCTTTCTACTAGTCTGATTGGTTCTGAGGTTTGCGACATGTCTACAGTTGTGCGACTGAAAAATCAACTAGCCAGCAACCGAGCCGAAGCAGTAAAGCTTTCGGTCAGGCTAGTTGGTGCATGCTTGGAACATAATGCATGGCTGCGCTAAGAAACGGAGGCAAGGAAGAGATGTTTGCGCACATCCAGTGTGCATTTCTTTCTTGTGCGTGTTTTATTTAGTGCAGCCATGGGTTATGTGCCAAAGCAGTCGCTGTTTGATCAAAGCAACCATTTGGCACTTCTGACAACTTAGTCCAATGCCTGGGACTACTTAGTCATACTGCGAAAAACATTGCACGAGGTTCGTTTTTTTTTTTTTTTTTCAGTCTGACCACTGTGGCATAGGAAAAGTAACTTTACTTTGAACAGCAGCAGCAGAGTGGAAAGACCCAACTGTAAGCCAATGTTTTGACGAGAGACTTTGCATTAGTCAGGTTATTTTCCTTACAAAATGATGCGCCCTTCTAGGAATATTGGTTTCGGGCTGAGGATTCTAATGATCACCCTTGTTGATAGACCCCAACGTCAATTTTTCTTATTTTTGTCAGTGTTTCACAAGCACGCACCGCCACACCCCTCTGACCAATCCGTTCGAAAGAAATGTACATTCGCAAGGCGAAATTATCTGCGTCGTGTTTTTAGCGGTGCTTTGAAAGAAAGCCATTGATTAAGATGCGCTAACACCGTCCTTTTTAGCACAGAGCCTTCAGACGACCAACACTGCTAATTTTTCAGGACCACATTCATGAACGAAGCGTAGTTCGAGCTTTTCTTGAAGCTCCCAGGGCGCAATACTAGATATCCATCTGATGATAAGTTGCACTTGCTGTGTTGCGCCCCACTTCACGAGAAACCGCAAAATGAATCCAACCTCGATCACCTGGTGTGTCTGGCAGCCAAATAACGCAACGACACTCCTTATTGCGCGTCTGTAACTTCCACACTGAAAATGCACAATCGAACTTTTCAACCAATCAACAGCTGAGACTCATTCGCGCAGCAGTGCTCATTAACATACAGCCGCAAGTTCTCAGTAAGACTGTGGTCCGTTTCTAGTCGCGTTGTTTTCTTGCGTGTTTCGTAATAATATGATTGAGCCGATCAATAAGCGATCGCGGGAGAAACTAATTAAAGCGACGTCACAGTTACGCCACCGGCCAGGCCCTCGTCGCAACACAGTGAAGACGCAAACAAGCAAAGCACTCACATTCTCTCATTTTCTGCTCCAATTCGTCCAGAGTGGGCTCAATCAATTCCCAGCCCTCGGGAGGGGGCTTCTTGCTTCGCCTAACCTTGCCCATGTCTTGATCGGGTCACACCAGCCGCTGCTTTTATTCAATCGCGAAAAACACGCACCACTAGGAAATCCGACCCACTGCGCGTCAGGACACTACAAAATCGCACTGGCTTCGCAACTCGCGAGCTTGTTATGGCGGCTACGGATCGCTACGGCTGTAAAATGGCTATTATCAGCTATATTGCAGAAAGCGGCTAATATTGGCTAAGACCGTATGACGTGCCTTCAAGATTGACAATGCTCCAAACTGCAATGAATCATAAAGCACATAAAAGCATGGCCTCCGAGACTACAAATTACTAATCAGACAGGTTCTGAGTGTAGACTGAGACCTCAGCTATTCAGCGCTATGTGATTCGTAAGTGTCTTTACAAATACACCCGTCCCCTAGCTTCAATAAACAATTGCGACCCGTAGCGAAGCAGTTAACTGCCACTTTGTTTACAACGGGATCACTCGGAAGCTGCAACTTGCCGCAACTTGCCGACCTCTCAAACTCAAAACATGGCCGCGCTCATGTGGTCATCGCGCAGAGCCTTGACCGCGGCAGCGCGGCGATTTGGCGTCGCTGGACCGCAGAAACGCCACAAGTACATCGTTTTGTGAGTGTCCGCGAGTTTCATAACGCAATCTGACTTCGTACACTGAGTCGAACCGGTGACTCGATTGTCAGTGCACCGCGAGAGAGATGGAAAAGCAGGCGCAGTTTTGTGCGTCTCTCGGGAGAAAGCGAAAATTAATTGTTAGTAACGCCGCTATCAACTAAACGCCCCGTGAGTTAGTAGTTGAGTGGAATTAACTACCTTGTTCCAAGTCATACGCAGAACTCGGTCCTTGACCGGAATGTCCGGGTCGCGATGGAAGGACGATCGGTGAAACGTCGGATAGTCCACCGAAAGTTCTTCACAAAATCACTCGCATGCCGGTCTTCAGCGCGGTAACCTGCTTGCGATATTAGGTCAATTGTATATATAAGAATTCCTTAATATGCTGCTGGGTATATTGACTAAACATATCGCTTTTTGTTTTACCAGTCATGTTAATTATGATGTGCGGCATGGTTATTCTGGTAACGACGTCGACTACGATCGACCGAAGGCGAAACTTTCCCGAGACGATGCCGTCGGCGCCTGCAACAGTTCAGCGAAAACACGCCGTGCTTGACCTTTAAGTCCTCACCGTCACGAGCAGTCTCACTGCCGTATTTAATGTCTTAATATCACCCCTGTATAATGTGTATCGCGGCAACCATTACGGTCAATCAGTCATTTGGCAGCCAACGAACCAATGGGTTGACCAGTGGCCACCGTAATACAGATTATAGTTTCAGGCATTGGTAGAACCTGGGGACACGTGGTTGGAAAGGAGGGGGTGTTGGCACCTCCTTTCTGAAAAATAAAATCCCAACTATGGAGGATAAGCCAGAAATTTTCTCTCTACTGGGTTCCGTAACTGTAGCCTCCCGAAAGACTCAAACACCCTAAGCAATGTGACGTTGCACCACAAGTCAATCTGGGGATATTGAGGTTCTTGTCCAGGTCAGCTGGTTGCTTGCTGGCTTTGTTGATTTTGGCGTCCACCTTAGATTCAAGAAATCCGTCCATCACTGACAGTTCAGATGAAGGATGGAGGTGCGAAGAGGTGTGTCACTGTTGAACGAGAAATGTCATTGATGGTAATATTTTAGCAAAGGTATGCATGATAAAATGCGAGTTCGATTGATATGTGGGGTTTAACGTCCCAAAACTACTATATGATTATGAGAGACTGCCGATAAGTGCGAGTCTCAACAAACACTCAGTGGTCATCAACTTTTTACTAGATCCAAAAAGGACTACAAAAAATACAATACAATGGGTGCACATGTTTCACGAGAAAAGGTGTGCATAAAGTTAAATGGTCGATTTTTGGTTTCAGTGCTAGAGCCATGGATGAGGTTCCTAGAGATGCAAAACTAAGTAAATTAAGGAGGACACTGAAGTCGAGCACAGTTTGCATTGACAACTCACTTGTCATCAATTCCACCATGATGTCTTAGTAAAATTTAAGATGCTGGTTGAAGGTTCATTTTGATCTTTTTTTTTTGTAGAGCTAGTGCATCAGCATATGAGTGCCACATCATAGATTTGAAGCTATTTTATCACATTTAGGTCTGATTGGATGAATAACTCTTCCCAAAATATTCTACATTAAATGGACTAAGAATGATCAATTGCATGGGCCAAGAATGATTAAAAGCATGACAAAGGATCATTCATGCAATTCATAGTGTATATCCTTTCAAAACCAGCAAGTGAGTTGGTACAGGAATTTCTAAGGCAACATTGTTGCTGATACTTTTCATTTTGTGGCTTTTCCAACTTACCAAATGGTCTCTTGTGACCAGAGCAGTGGTGTTAATATATCCTGTTCTGTGAATTCTGCTAGGGTTATTTACTGATACCAGTGAGAAATTGTATTTCTCACGGAAACATATTGGCGGGTTATTTGATTGCATGCGCAATATAATCTGTAAGCACAGCTTCCCGCAAATGTAGAACGGCACAGGTGCAGCACTGAACGAGAGGGGCATCTAATGGTGTGTCAAATGTGTCTGCACATTTACAGCTGTGTCTATTTCTCAATCACATTGTTTCACGTCTTTCTCAACTCTGTCTCCTTTGAACACTAAAGGCAAATATTAAGTCGGTGTTTTGCTCAAATAGTGGTCCCGAAACTTGTAGTGCTACTTTTGTGCCAAGGAAGTGCTTATTTTGAGATAAAATCACAATTTAGTGGTCAGCATCAAGTTAGCACACTTGAAGTTACCCACCTGAAGTGGAAACTTTCACGTCACTGTTGCCATGCACAACGTTGCCCGGCTTTGCTTTGCGGCCTCTGACACCAGTAGAAGCAAAGCGAAAATAGTGGGAACCACAGCAGCAACGCCATCGAACAATATCCTGCCATGGCCTCCGAGATGGCAGGCGCGCTTGGTTCAACTAGGCCCCGCTAGATGGCACGACCTGTCCATGCAAAGATTGAACTTTTGAACCACTCGCGCTGTTCCCCATTGTAATGTTCAGCAGTTCTTTTTTCTATGAATCAAACAGAAACGAACAAGGAGCATTTTATTAAGTCTCTTGATGCACGGAGGTTTTTTTATTTAGTTCACCTAGTTCGATTACTAGAGATTGATTGTAGGCGGTAACTCTGACACCATCGGGATGATTTTGCGAATGTCCTACTCGTGGCGCATGTGTTCTCGTGAATTTAGCTTAATTTCTCAGTAAGTAGGTCGCTGCTGTTGATATTATTGTCGTTTTACATGTTGTCATACATTCAGCTTTCACTCTGACATAAATTGTTATTTGACTTTAGTGTCCCTGCAACTCATCTCTGGCTTCCTGTGACGCAGAGTTCCGGAAGTGCCCGAGGACACGGCCGACACCAATCCTCTGCTGCGGTTCACGGCTGAGCCACCAGAGTATGCGCACCTCACGGGAGTGCAGTGCTACAATGCCGTCGGCAAGCTGCTCGTGGAGTTCGAGGTTGGGGTGTCCCAACTGGAAGAGCAACTGCAAGGTGCTTGTTATGCTAGTTCCACCACAGGCGGGGGTCAAAGCTTAGGAAATGCAAGCACGACCTGAAATGAGCAGTGATAATCCACCACCATGGGGGTCAGCAGGGGGTGCATAAGGGTGACCTCCCTCCCCCACCTCCTAAGTCATACCTGTGCCTGCCTCCCCTCCTACCCCTCACCCAAGTTACATCAGCGCTCCATACTCTGCTAACATTATGCAGTGAGCCGCACTGGCTCACAAGAGTTGCAGCAGAAAGGAGTGCTTGCAGTTCGTCGCGCTTGCTCGAAGACATGATGCTCACTTAAATAGCTTGTCCCCCCCCCCCCCCCTGCAATCCCTTCCTGGGTAGCTGTGATCTTTGCTGAGAAGTTCAAAAACAGAATTTGCGGCAATCAATTTGCGAGACGAAAAACTCCAATATTAATGTGATGTAACATCAGGGTTTGGGCCCAGGACCACTCACCAAGAAACTGAGTCGAGCCACGAGAGCACACGCACACAAACATATATTGCATAAAAAGATGATCTAATAATGGTCAATATGGTAGTTACTCTAATATATGCAGTCTTAACTGCGCTAATTGTCTTTTGAATTCAGAATGTTCTCGCCGTGTTTGAGGCCGTTGAAGGACGTCGATGCCTGCCGCTCGAAGACGATGTCCTGTCTGGCAGGTTGACGTCGCTCACGCATGCCAGCCGTCGTCAAGGCACAGCTCTCTGCTACAGCAGCTCGGCAGCTTGGCATCCACGTTTGTTTCGACCACGCCTGGGTCGTCTCAGCACCTCTGAACGACTTCGGCAGCAGTGGTCCACCACCCACGGAACACGCTCGATCGCCGCACACAACAGCGAAGACGAGGGGACATCGTCAGATCCCTGGGTCAGCTGCGCAGCCAGAATGCAGGCCTCGCTCGTCACGGTTGCCCTGCAGGAGTCAGGAACGCCAGCCGTAACCCCTGTGCCTCGCCTGGTTCTGGGCCAGTCCCCAGCCGGAGTACAGGAACGGTAGCGCCTGGAGGACCTCGCTTAGTTCCCCGGACCGGACGTCCAGCCGAGAACCGTCTGTCCTTGACCGCTGCGCTGTCTCGACCCCCGGCACGCGCAGTGTGGCACGCTTCGCCCACATACACTTCAGTTTTTTCTTCATCACCCCCGCACGGCGACCACTTATTTGTTTTTTTCATGCCTCTATCATGCCTCTATGATGACAACTAAGCTCATTCAGTCGTTACATAGAAAGATTGTTCAAGGCCCCTTTGAAAAGTGTACGTGAAGGGTCTACTTTGACAAAATTTTAGACCACGTACCAAATCTAGTGCCAGATTATTCGGATCAAAAGGCACCTGCCTACGTATGTTTCTGCTTAAAATGTACTCTGCACTCACAGAATGCAGCAAGGCATCAAAATCTTTAACATTTCAGCAGGTGTGCACAATAACTCAAGATGATAGCGTTGTGTCACTACAAATCCAGTTGCTACATGTATTGTTGGCTCTAATGTAAGTGTTCCAGCTGAAATTACACCGATATGCGACAAAAACTGAAGGAGGTGGAAACAAAAGTATGTGCGTTACTTGGCCCTAAGTTGTCATCCTTCAGTGTTTGAGCAGCCTGTGGTCTTGCAAGAACTGTGGCAGTGGTATATATACATTGCACTCTCACAATGAATTTAGGCAAACCAGTATGTGATCAGAGTTGACCTTAAATTATTATGCAAGGTAGTCTCAAATTGGTTGTGTCTAAGAAAAAAAAACTGCTCTTAAATTCCCCTTCTTTTGTTTGTTTAAGCTACACTCATACCTCACTATAACAAAACTTTATCTCACACAAAAAAGTTTGTTATATCCAAAAATTTGTTAAAAAGGTATATTCCTAGCACTATGTGTATCTTTAGATTATGATTTTATTTGTTATAACCAATATTTTGTTATATTCAGGTTTATTATGTTGAGGTTCGAGTGTAATATAATTTGAGTGTATTGATTTTGTTAAAAAAAGAAAAGTCTGATGTGACCTGTTATGTGCACCCTCACATGTATAGCAACTTGACCCAAGTGCAAACGTCCATAAATACCAGCCGAAATTCTCAAATCATTTGCAATAATGTAATTTTAATCGTTTTATTCTTCAGATGGAGCCTACGTGAAGACCTTTCAGTCCGTCATGGAGCCCTTGGAGAGGTTGGCTGCCCCCTTGGAGTCGGCTTGGAGTGCGCTCCGCCTCATGTACCTGGTCAATCAAACACAACAGATCGCCCAGGCCTACGAAAAGGTTAGTTCAATCCGCACATGCTATCCAGTCAAATTTGCAACACGGATTATTAGGCAAATGCTGTAAGTGTACAGCCACTCCCCTTTTTACCTCAACATCGTATTTTTTATTTTTTTGCCTGCCTGTACCAACTTGACGGCCTAAGTACCAGAGGTAACGGTAGCAGCAGTCGCTTGATCGTCTGTAACGCTGTTACATCAGGCGATACTACCATATTTACTCGCATAATTCTCACCTTTTTTTTTTTTTTTCACGGAAAACCATTAAAAAAAAGGGGGGTTGCGAGAATTACGCGAGCGAAATTTTCCGCAAAAACGTACAGGGCAAAAAAAAAAGCAACAACGAAGTAGCCACAAATCAGGATTCTCACGCTAGCAACTAACTACATGCTTTGAAAAGTACTTATCGAGACTTACCTTAACAATAAAACCACGAGGTTCAATACAAGGCAAGATTTATTTGAGACATGAAAGCTGCGAGCAATAGTAGAAGGTTTGAGAATACCGTACGCAAATCTTGCGGGCGTAGCATTAGTCACTCAACGCAAACTCACAAAAGGTTAGCCTACGACGTGAACATTGGGCTGACGGACATCTAACCCGGAATCGTCCGGAGTTACTCTCTGACAAAGTAACATTTTACCATCCATCCCAGTCTTAGGCACACAGAAGGCCTAGCGCAGAGCACAGTGTGTCTTTGTGGCTTTCAGCTGCCCATGCTGCGGGCACCACTAGCGAGCACAAAGTTCGACGAATCCAAAGTGTCTACTGGTGATCTGTTGTCATTGTTTAGTGCTTGATCAATCGCTTTCAACCTAAAAGCAACCGTGTAGCTCCAGAATCATCCCATAGCGTAACCACACAACGGACACAACATAGACTAACACGCCGCAATGCGCACTTGCCATTTTGGTTTGGCTTGAGTTGGATTGGGGCTTCGTGCCTCGATAGTATGTATGATGCCTATGAGGTGGTGTCAGGCTGTTGTGCGTTACCCTCATCGGTGGTTGAAAGGAGCGGACGACATTACTGCTGCAATTTTCGAGAATGCGATAATCACTCACGGGGGAAAAAAAATTCGTACTTTTGTTGGGCAATATTGGGAGTGCGAGGATTACGCAAGTAAATACGGTACATCTTATTGTTGGAGAGTGAGCAAAATTGTGCCCAGAAGTGTAGGTCTGTAGTGGAGTCCGCCAAATCATTCCATCGAAAAAAGTGCCCTCTCTGCATGCACTTCTCATGATGTCTCATTAGCCAATCATGATGTCTCATTAGCCAATCTGCTGTTTATTGATTGTGCATGATAGGTGTGTTGCGCCGCCCCGAGAAGCGCGAGCAGGTGCGAGAAATTGCGGGCGCTCTTCCAGCACAGCAGTTGGCTGTCCGTCACAATAGAAGCCTTATCGGGAGCATTCTCCGCAGCAATTCAGAGAACAGTAGTACTATATCATACAATCTAGTGAGATGGTGCTAGTACCGAGGTATTCCTACAGTTCTTTTTTGTGTGGACTACCTCTTGCATTATGGCATCACAACACACACATTTCTTTGGAAATTAAGCTGAAGGTGTTTGCGGGAATGTTTTTACACTAGTAAAATTACACCATTTCTTACTTTGGTTATATGTTCGCTGTTATGCTTTTTAATCTTTTTTTAGGATTGAGCACCTTTTGTTTTGGGCAAAAAGTAATAAGTTGAATATGCGTATTATGCCTGTATTCGCTTATGGTTTTCGTTGCAAATTAAGTATAAAGTGATATTTATTGATGCTTCTGATTGAGAGGCACTAGCAGTAGGTCAAAGTAACAGGAAAAACACCAAAGCAGTTTTAATAGCGAAAGATTTATTAGCATCATATCTAATTGTGAGCTAATTGTTCGGCCATAAGGATTGGAAGAAAAAGGGGTGTTGTCATACACGGATCTTTTCACTGAACATCAGCTTTCATTAGCTGCGCTGAAACATGATGTTTTTTTTTTACCTGGTGCACACAGCCGAGTAGTTGTATGGCACTTGAAAGAACAGCCGCCATAAAGCGGGTAAAGAGGTAAACGAAGCTTTATGTAACAAAAAACATTAATAGAAGTTTCATATAAAAGCATAAGTATCTGTGAAGTTTGCACGTGGTCCTAGCTAAGGTTTGATTCCTGTCTTTTGCAGCTACAGGCACGCGTACACCGAGCACTGTCCAGGCAGTACCAAAGCCTTCCCATATACCACGCGGTCAAGGTGAGTGGGGCCTTAACTTGTCTGCACTCTTGTGTGTACCTTATGTGCACGCCCTACAGAAGTCTTAGTACTAACAAGCTTTGTTATAGGGAAGTGGCATAGTTAACAAATATCATGAGCATGGATTTGTTATACTGTATTTACTCGTGTAATGCACTTTTTTTTTTCTAAAAATTCGATGCAAAGTTGGAAGGTGCGTTTATTACGCAGAGTGTATTTTCCAAAAACTTTTTTGGGAGGAGCAACAAATGCAGTTGTGCAAAAAAAAGTTAAAGTTAGATCGCTTAGCCTTTTGCAATTGACATACGCGTACACTGTTTGGAAACAGCTTCTTTGTTGCACCTCACTCCACTTTGGTGGTTAAAGGCTCTCTCCTGTGCAAGCTGTCCCTGGGCTGCCCGCGCACGCCATAAAAGCGGTTTGCGGCTATCTTTTCTCACAATCGTTTAGCCGCAACAGTGGTACCTGCTGTGATATCGATCGCATCCAGGCTGCGGCGACTGCATTTCCGATGGAGGCGGAAATGTTGTAGGCCCGTGTGCCCCGATTTGGGTGCACGTTAAAGAACCCCAGGTGGTCGAAATTTCCGGAGCCCTCCACTACGGCGTCTCTCATAATCAAATGGTGGTTTTGGGACGTTAAACCCCACATATGAATTAATCAATGCTGTGATATCGAGGGGCGCCCTAAAGCGTGCGCTACAATTCTACGACCCACTTTGCCAACTTTGCGGCAACCTCGCTCAACGACCGTGACGACGTTGTTAACATTGTAGCAAGTAACTGACATCGCAGCAAGCTGCCCCGGAGCATCCAAACAAACCGTCGATAATAAGATTAAAGAGAAAATACGGCCGCCTCCTCGCTTCTACGTGAGAAGCTCCTCTACGCAGCGACAAGCGAAGCGAGAATTCGGGGTGCTACCATGTTGCAGGAATCGTCGTGATATTTTCTGGAGCAGGAGCGATTTTTTCTGTTTTTCCAGAAACATGCGACACGATAGCGAATAATGTTCCTTCACAACAGCAAATCCTGTTGTCGTCGCTCGAAAATCGTGTGCGCATGGTTGGGCTTTTTCGTATTCGCAGGAAGCGACCGCCGGTAGCAGCGGGCAGTTTCATGACCTTCGGTTGCTGTGTGCTTATCACCTACGATACCTCTACACTCACACCATTCGTGGACCCCGCTGTGGCGCACAGATAAGACAGGGGGTGTGCCGCGCACAGATGCACAGATAGAAAGAAAAACAATACGGCACGCGGCAACGGGCGAGGGGGGGGGCACGAGCTGAGGTGGGCGAAGGGTGTCTGCAAAATAATAAAAACAATAACTGAAGAGATCCAACAGTTGAGGAGCCGCCAGGTGTCGGTTAACGGGACTGCAGCAGATGATTGTAGGAGTGCATTTATTATGCCAGGAAAAAAATTTAAATTTTCATAACTGAAGTTGGGGGTGCGTTTATTATGCGAGTTTGTTTATTACGCGAGTAAATACGGTATGCTAATGTCAGCAAGAAATATGTTGGTCTTTACTTCACTATGCATCCACACTTGATCTTCTTGCAACATGGCGTCCTCGTTCAGAAGCACAATTTTCTTTTGCCGTTTCTGTGCATTATTTGTAAGAAAGAGGCTACAGACACTGTGCGAATGATAAAATAAGCACATTTGTTGCCCAATGTTTGACTATATCGCTTCTCTTAGGAATATATTGAGACGCACGATTGCTTCGCTGAAGGCGGTACCGCATTTAATTAACGAAGACGTCTGGCGTAAAGTGTTCAGGTAGAAAGTTCAAGGTACTTTTTCCCCTTCTTAGGAATATTTGTTGACAGCAGATAACCATAGCATGTAGTAGTTGGAGTGCTTTGTTGAATTTGGTTAGGAAATTTGTCAAAAAATAAAGCACGGCTGCTTGTAAATAATCATAGGTAGTAACTGCTGTAATGTACATTGCAATTTATTCTCACACTTGCACTTGCCTTCGATGGCCTCCGAAACAGTGAAATTAGGATACGTACATTTAGCACATTTATAGACTATCATAATGCATGTGGCAAAGGTTTATACTGACCGTTATTGCCACGGCGTCTGAACGCTGAAAGTGTCCGATTCCACTCGATTAGCCGTTGTGGGAAAGCTCTACGAATTGGCATTGCTGGACTTCCCGAGACAGTGTACAGATTTGTTGGCCGAAAGCGATGCGTTGGCACAATGCCGAGCGAACCAAGTCGTCGGGTTTTTAAGACAAGATCACTAAGACATGGCGTCAATAATACAAGCTCATGTCTTTTTTTTTTTTTTGCAGGAGTTGATCAAGGACGAGAAGCGCTACTCGGAGGAGGAGCAGCGCATCGTGCAGCGCCACTGCCTCGAGGCCCGGCTCATGGGCATCAACCTCCCGACGCCACAGCAGTCGGAGCTGGGGCAGGCCGTGAGCCGCATCGAGAAGGAGGCTCAGACCTTCCGGTGAGGGCTCGCTTCCCTAATGGAAAAGCCAACCTTTTCACAAGTGTGTACTTCCCATCGAAGCCTCAAAACCCTGCACGTAGATGAGCACCTGCGAAGCTTCGATTAGCTGTGAACATTACAGCATGTTATTCTGTAAAAGGAGGTTGGTGCGCAGATACGGATGCAAGACCATAGATCAAGACAACGCAAAGTGCCGGAGTTTGTGTGCATTTCGCAAGATTATTTCGATTTGTTAGCCACACTCGCTTCAATTCAGCGACAACACTAACCTTGTAGGAGAGTCTCGTTAAATGGAACCTGAGAGGACAAAAAACGCCAGGCCTGCGCGGAAGGCGCAGCACGGTCACAGCGAAAGCTATAAAAGCGGCCTTTCAGAGCCTTTTCGAAACACTCGTTGGGTAACTTCTGCAAGCACATTTGCTTGGTACCTACTAGGCCATTGACAAACTTTTGGGTAGAAGGCCGGCATTTGCCATGTCATTTTTCGTCATTCTTCTGAGTGGCGTGGTATCCGCTAAACACTTGCAAGGAATTTTGTGCCGTCGCTGACAACGATGAGGAATTATGGCTGAAGTGGGTATGTGCCATAGTTAATAGAGCAACAAGAACAAGCTTTTATAATCGGTTGGAGTGTTGGACGGCCCACTCGTTACGCTATTCGCATTGTGCGACGACTGGTTGTTTTTTCGCTGTTTTCAAACGCTTTATAGATCGTATTAACGCGATTGCTTTCCCGACATCAAGCCTGCCTAAGGCAAGTTTGACAACAAGTCACAATCAACGGTGTAGCTCAGTGGTAGAATACTGGGCTGGCACCCAGCAGATCCGCGTTCGAGCCCCACTGTGTCATTGGTGCTAGGTCAAGCCTGCCTTAGGCAAGATTGACAAGAAGTCGCAAGCATCAATGTAACTCAGTGGTAGAATACTGGGCCGGCACCCAGCGGACCCAGGTTCGAGCCCCACTGTATCATCAGTGCTAGGTTTTTTTTTTTTTCTAATTTGGTGCGGTGTGGTTACGAACACCGGCGGCAGCAGCGGCGGACAACTGCACATGACCCGAGTTGTCGTCTCATATCAGCTTTCGCTGTTAAAAATATGTTTCGTTTAGCAGGACTTCCATTTTCTCAGTTATAAACAAGGGTGTAGAATTCAAGTGTTAAATCAATCATGTTGCAGTTGTACTCCTTTATAAAAGACATGCACCGTGCAGCGATTCTTGTCTTTTATATGAGGTATCTCTTATAAACAGGGCACCATGTCTGCGTTTTCTTATGAACACCTATTTCAGTGCAGGCATGCTGGTGTCTCTTATACCCGTTTGTCGCTTACATCAGTGTCTTTATTAAGGGGGTTCGATTGCAGAAGCAGTTGTTCCATTGAGCGTTAGCTTGGTTTGAAAGATTTCGATTTGCCAAGAGTTTACTGCAGTTTGGATTGCAGGGCAATCCAAACTGCAAAGGTAGCCGTGAATATCTTAGAAAAGGTAGCCGTGAATATCTTAGAAAGTTTCCAATATACTATTGAGTCTCAGTTCTGTTTCCGAGTTGTCAGCGAAATCTTTTTTTATTATTATTATCTTTACAGTTCTGTTTTAAAAGGATAGGTGGTTTCTACAGTGCTTTTCTTGTCTGCATTGTCTGGTGACGTCAGGTAGTTATTAGCTGCTAAAGTCCAGAGCTCGTTGGTTCCCCTGGTTCTTCTCACTTCCTATAACTTAAACCTCCCTATAACGAACCTGCATATATAACAAAATATTACTTATAATGAAGTAAATGAATAATACTCTTGCAATAAATGTAGTGTTAGGAATATATTGTTATAACGAATCTTTGGATGTAACAAACTTTATTTCGTGTAATATGCAACTTCGTTATAATGAGGTTTGAGTGTGTGCGAAATAGCAGGTTTCCTTTTTAGGTCGCATTGTTGTGTTCAAATCTTTCTTTTTTACTTTCGCGACGGCTCTCGTCATGTTCTGATTGCATGTGTTTGACTGGATTCGGTGCATCGTCTCTGCTCGTGCACCGACATTGTGTAACGTATCGCACCGGTTCGGCTAGTTACGCTGGCTGCAAGTTCACATGCCGGTCTGTCCGATGCAGGCGAAACGTCAGAGTGTCCACCAACGAATTCCAGCACCGAGTCGACGGAGACCTGGTGAAGCACCTGCCTCACGATCTGGTCAGGAGGATGGCAGTCGACAAGTGAGCCACGTTTGCTTTCGTTCAGAAACTAATCAAATGGCGCAACCAAAGCCTTGGTGAGTTACAGCGTGTTAAAGGTGATATCAAGGGACTGGCGCACACTTGATGATATATTCAAACAAATGTGGTATTTGAATTTGTTTTGACAAGTGTATAAATTATTTGTGAGTTCAAAGTCTTTAAAACGGAACGAACAGGCATTCTTTTAGCTGTTTCTAAATCCCCCTCCCTCCCTTACTGAAAAGGCGGGTTTTCTGCAGCTTACGCAGTATTCACACGCCGGACGTGCTCGCGGGCAGGTCATTCACGTCTCATGTGACATGGTTTGGATATCTCCACAATCAGCATTCGTACGACAGGGGAGAATTCACGTTACAAGTGAGGATTTCAGCATTGCTCCCCGAGGATATCAATTGTGGTTCGGGCTGCCGTCGTTTCATGAATCGTTCCGCGCGGACTGAGGCGGGGACACGGGTGTTGACGTATGGTGACATAGTACGCGACCCCGGGGTCCTATGACGATTTTGTCCGCCGTGTAAATTGGGGGAGTGCTGACACCCCCTGTAAAGTTGTTTGCGCAGTGTGGCGCATGTGTCTTGCCGCAAGGCCGCATTTCGGGTGACGACCGCCGGGCGATAGATGGCGTTGTGTTCGCGTTGAATACCACTGTTGGTAGAGTGGTAGCGCCGGCGGTGACCCCTGGTGGAAGGCAGGCCTTGGTGGTGGGCGAGAGTTGAGGGAGCCTCTTTTGCGCGTGGCGGCTACCGCGAACGGTTGTCTCTAGCGTGGGTCCTCGGCGCGTGGCACCGCGGGTCTGCGCGCCGGGGGCCCACGTGGTAAGTCAAGCGTTGGTGACGCCCCCTGGGGTATGTTAGCGTGTTTGTCGTGTTGTGTGTTTGTCGTGTTATTGTGTAACCGTGTCCTAGCGTGTTGATAATGACTGATGTACCGATTCGGCAGACGATATCGTCGTCTAAATTAGTTAAATAAATGTATGTATGTTATTTGGTTTGTACCGACTGCGTCTTCTGTGTCCGTTCACTCGAATAGTGTGGCGTGGCGCTCGCTCGCCAATTTGAGATCCCACAGAATACAGCTTTAGACCTTGAGATCCCACAGAATACAGCTTTAGACCTGCTGTACCATGAAACCGCACATGCAGGGGAAGTCAGCACTGCCACGAAGCCAGAGTTCAAGATTAAATGTACATGTTACCTGGACCTGAGTTAGTAAGTTCTTTTGGTTAAAATGTGTGTTATATGAGCTGTGTATAGAAAAGCTGTGGGACAGGGGAGCAGACATACAAGCATAAGGGAATTTTATTTCTGTCTAGACGTGCACATCACCCTAGGGTTCACATTGCTGTGCATACGAAATTATTTAATAATATGATTATTATTAATATTACTATTAGTAGTACTAGTAGTAGCAGTATTAGTACAGTCGAATCCTGCTACAAGAAACGCCGCGTCAACGAAATTTTCGCTACAATGAAAAATTCACGATTCCCCATCAGCAGTCCTTAGGAGTCAATGCATAAATATTGTCGCCATAACGAACACTTTTTCTTCGGTCGTTCCGCTTTAACGAAATTTTACGATGCGATTCCACGCTCAGATACTTATTTCTATGCAATAAACCTAATCTTTAACAATTCGATGCGTTTTCAGAGCCAAAAAATGCGTGAAAGAAGTTTAAAACACGCGTTGGCCCCACCAGAAACCGCCGCTGTTCAGCAAGCATGGGCGCCACCGTTGCTCGATAGTGATGGCAATGAGACTGCCCTGCTTTTGCCACTGGCTTGCTTTTGAGCCGCAGACGATCCGAAGCTGAAACTGAGTCGCTCAGTTCATGGTTTCTTTCACGCAGCTGCTGGGTGCAAGCACGAAAGATGCCTTTTCCGATGCCAATACTTATAATCTTGTTCCCGCTTGGCCATTGTGGTAACTCATCAGAGCGGCTGTTCGTCCGCATTATCAACAAAATCAGCTGGCTGCGAGTAAATGATGATAAGAATGGCATAAAAGAAGGCAAAAGTCACCGCTCCACGATATGCTGCCTCCATCTTTGCATTGTCGAATACACTTTGACGGCGAACAGCCGCTGGTGTTAACATGTAAATGCAATTGTTTGGTTCATTCAAGAAAGCGGTTGTAGGCATTGTTTCAGTGTGCTCTTCACCATGGCCTGGCTATGCGTGAGTGAAAATCACGTCGTAACGCTGCTCGGAAATAATAAGAAGCAGGGAACATTCTTTGAATTTTGAAAATAAATGTTCCTTTGTCTTGCTAGCTCATATCAGCTATATTTTTTTTTCATATCACTACAACGAAATTTTCGCTTCGACGAAATTTTTTCCGCGCCTCATCAGTTTCGTTGTAGCGGGGTTCGACTGTACGACCCTGAGATACTGCCCTTGACATCACAAAAACATGCAGATATGAAAGGAACAATCAGTCTACAGCTCTTGATGCTAAATTAAACTTGTGAAAATGAGCCATATGTACAGAATGGCTCGAAAGAACTGCGTTGACTATATGTTGTGAAATGGTAGCATCACCGCAATGGTAGCAATCGTGCTATTATCACTTGACCCTGCATGCACACATTTCAGTTTAACCATTTTGTTGTCGAGGCTTGCTTGTTATTTTTTTAAGGGGAGCTGTGGTGCAGGCATGTGGTAACCGGTCATGTCATGCAGTGACAACACTGGCAAACATTCAGCCGATAATATATTGAACATGGGCATAATAGCGGCAGCCAGTGCCAGTATTGTGCGTTCGAGAGCCTCCAAGTCAGCAGTTAAATTCTGTAATGGCTTTCTAATTGAGTTGTTTTTTTTTAAGAAGTAATTCACCCTCTTTAGTTCGCCCTTGTTGTACTGTTTTTTTTCCTTAACCTCATTTGTCTGGTACTAGTGTTTTCTTATCATCATTTGCGCTTTGCAAATGGTGTTGTTCAGCAAGCCCCAATTTACTTCTTTTCTTAACACTCCACATTAAAATATTTGCACTGCCTCGCCGCAGTGGTCTAGTGGCTAAGGTACTCAGTTGCTGAACTGCAGGTCACAAGATCGAATCCCGGCTGTAGTGGCCGCATTTTCAATGGAGGCGAAACTGCTGTAGGCCCGAGTGCTGAGATTTGGGTGCACGTTGAAGGACCACAGGTGGTCAAAATTTCTGTAGCCCTCCACTACGGCGTGCGGGGTCGCGAAATGGCAAGCGCTACGCTCTTAGAGTGAACGAACACAGCAGACACGGTCGCTACAAGTCAAAGAACAACATGCATTTATTTAACTAATTTAGAACGACGATATCGTCCGCCGAATCGGTACATTAGTCGTTATCAACACGCTAAGACATCCGTATACAATATTACCATACACTCCGTGACAAACACAATAACACATCCAAGGCAGCGTCGCCAATCCTTGACTTGCCACGAGGGCCGCCGGCGTGCAGCCCGCAGTGGAGACCACCGGGGACCCACGCTAGAGACAACCATTTGCGGCAACCGCTATGCACAGAAGAGACTCGCTCAACTCTCGCCTGCCACCAAGGCTTGCCTTGCGCCAGGGGTCACCGCCGGTGCTACCACTGTAACAACCATGATGATGATAGTGGTACTCAACGCGAACACATCATCTAATGCCCAGTGGTTGTAACCTGAAATGCGGCTTTTGGGCAAAATAAAACAAAAATCTATTTTTGCTGACCCATTCATCCCAAGAAAAAAAAAAGTGAGGGAAGCAATGTTCAACACCTCCACGCCATAATCTTCCTGGTTGTGCCATGTGTGACAGGCTGCTGCGCAGAGCCTTAGGCCTAATGAGTCGCTCGGCAACAACCGGCATCCACCCAGCACCCAGCCTAGGTGTAGAAGAGGCAGCCGCGAGGAGACATCCACTTTGTAAGGTGGCCCTATCGCTCGCCACACAAAGCAGCTTACCAAGCGATCAGCGTCCGGACGGTGTAACGACGCCCCGGTGTCGAGCCGCAATACCAGACAGCTATGACGCCCGGCTCCCTGAGCCCAAAGAGATAGAAGAGGCTATTTACAGAAAATCAGACCTACCACGAGGCTTCTGTACTTATTTGCTTTGGGCCTGGCCTACAAACCACGTGCTCTAAGCCTTGCTCACCCCAGGATGCAGACTGCATGGCTCACGTACTCAACTGAACAACTTTCTTTAAAAAAAAACAAAAAAATTTGCTAGCAGAAAAAAAAATAAAAACTCAACCTGCCGACAAGTTCAAACACGTCACAAAACCAATCTTCTTGCACTCAAGAAAGCACACCGCCGACGCTAGCAATGAGAAGTCTCCACTAAACCTACTCTTCCCCGGCTCAAACAAAAGCCTGTACTGAACCGCAAAAACTCGTCCAATACTCCAAGAGCTCCACATTTGGCAGCCAGTGTGGGGTCTCGAAATGGCGAGCGCCACACTCTTGGAGTGAGCAGACACAGAAGACGCGGTCGGTACAAACCTTACAACACACGTACGTTTAACTACTTTATCATGACGATATCGTCCGCCGAATTGATACATCAATCGTTATCAACAACCTAGGACATCCATACACAATATGACCATACACTCCATGACAAACATAATAACACGACAAACACAATAACACACCCAAGGCGGCGTCGCCAACGCTTGACTTACCACAAGGCCCCCCCCCCCCCCCCCCCCCCCCGACGCGGCCCGAGGTGCCACGCGCCCAGGACCCACGCTAGAGACAACCGTTTGCGACAACCGCTACGTGCAGAACTCTCGCCCACCACCAAGGCTTGCCTCCTGCCAGGGGTCACCGCCGGCGCTACCACTGCACCAACCATGATAATGATAGTGGTACTCAACGCGAACACGTCATCTATCGCCGGTGGTTGTAACACGAAATGCGGCTTTTGGGCGAGACACGTGTGCCACGTGGCGCAAACAACTTTACAGGGAGCGTCAGCGCCTCACAGGCGTATCTTATAATGATATGGTAGTTTTGGAACGTTAAACCCCACATACTAACCTAAAGTATTGGCACTTATAAATGGAGAATATTCAATGCACCGACCAAATCAAACGAAGCGGCACCGAATACGTTCTTCTAAAGTTTCGAATATACTCAAACCTCACTTTAACGAAGTTGCATTTTACACGGAAAAAGTTCTTTATAACCGAAAATTTGTTATAAAGTTTTATTCCCAACACTATATCCATTGCAATACCATTATTAACTTTCTTCATTATAACCAATGTCTCGTTATATCCAGTTTGTTATATTGCAGTTTGAATGCATTTGCACATTTTTACAGAGAGGGTGAGGGACTTGAACAAAGCATGTTTTTTTCAGGAGCCAACCTTCGATGGGTCCCTGGCTGGCCACCTTAGAGGAGGAGACGTACCGCGGTTTCTTACAGCACTGCGGGAACCGGCTACAACGCTGGAACATCTGGCAGGCGTACCACTCGCGGGGCACCGCAGGAGCTCACAAGAACAGTCTGCCCATCGAGGAGATTCGCTCCCAGCGGCAGGCGCAGGCCAAGGTGCTCGGCTACCCGCACTTCGCCGCCCTCTCCATGGAGACCAAGATGGCCGGCAGCACGGAGAGGGTCAACACGTTCCTCGACAGGTAGGTGCCGTTGATGGCGCGTGCGACACCACTCTGTGGCATGTTATTCTGGAAGTTGCTGCTTGTTGGTTCTCTTGGGATCAAAGAACGAAGGACACAGTACGTAGCAGTGCCAACAAACTATCAATCATTGATTGTGCCTTTGATACAGCATTGGTTACTGTAGCAACTTAAGAAAAAAAAAATTACTCATGGCAGAAGTGTTTGCTTAAAATTCCAGGATCACCTTTTTCTTCTAGATTCATTGCAACACGTGTATCTCAAGTAGCTGTGCACGTGCACCCATTTTAGATGATGCATTTCATTCTGTGAGAACCGTACAAATCTCGGATGCGTAAACGATGGTTGCACTCTGGTTTGTTTCTGGCACTTCGCCAACAGCCCCACGCACTGTCTTCAGCGACTGCCACATGCGCGTTAGCTCAAGACCACACCTTCTAGAAAGACAGAAGATGAAGCCTGTTGATGAGCATTCGTCATAAAAAAAGCTGGAAGCATGGACATTGATGAAACAAATGGTAAACAAATGACACAAGGTATAGCTGTTGACTGAAACACTGTACTGTAACAGAAACAAGGGCTACAGCTTATCAACATATGGTAGGAACGCCAGCGCGCCTTTCGATCGGGTACGTGCGGGGACCCAGGTGAAAGTTCACTTCAAGAGTTTGACATCTCATCTTCATGCGAGTCAATCGAACGCTGGCTTGTGTGACCACTTTCGGTGACATCTACATCTTAGTAAATGTGCAGCTTGATATTCTGTGCGTAAAATTTCGTGCTTGATAAAGAATCGCCGCATCATGATCGCTGTCATCTTGTGGCATCACATTTTACCTGTTCAAAAGACTGCTCATGGTTGGAAATATGGCCAGCAATTCCAACTTTGGTGACCGTCAGTACAGTGCTTGCTGACTAGCAAGCTTGGCACTTCTGTTGTACTCTTTGTACTCATTCTCTGTACTCTCTGTCAATCTTTCTTTCTCTCTCTCTCTCTCTCTCTCTCAGTTTAGCGGAGCAGGTGCGGCCAAAAGCCCAGGAAGACCTACAGACGCTCACGGGTTTCTGTCAGGAGCGAGGCTTCCGAGACCAGCTGCAACTGTGGGACGTGCCCTACTGGCGTCGCAAGCAGCGCCAAGCCCTAATTGCCAGGTGAGCGTAGTGAGAGAGAGTGGGCGCCGAACGACAACAGCGAGTACAATCCCCCCCCCATGGAGCCTCCCGGGCTCCGTTTTATTCCCTTCGCCAAGACTCGCTGCGCCAGCGCCATCTCGAAGACTTAACAGACATTACAGTGAAGACCAGCCTTGCGAGCTGTCACCACATAGCTTTGCTGCTCTTGTAAAACCTTTCAGACATTGTCAACTGAGAGTTTCTGAAGCTGTACAAATTGACGAAGCCTTGCACACAGTCTAAAAGTTGTTTGATGATAGATTACACTCCCTGTAAAACTGAAACCTGAAAGCCTGCTTCACACTTGGTAGCGCATTAAAGACTCTATCTAAAGTCTGCCTTGTGAGGTGTTAAAGTGCTGCAGGATTATGGAGTTTCGTTATATATTGTATCCTTCCATGGAACGTTGTGTTTCAGTGGCATCGCCACAGTGTCATTGATCTGTACCACTCATGAGTGTCTCAATCGGACCCACAAAATTCCGATCCCGCAACTACTTAAACATGCTAGGTTAAATTTGGCGCACGTTAAAAAAACCAAAAACCACGAGGTCGAAATTTCCGGAGCCTTACCGTGTGCCATCAAGTGTTCACTGAATTAGGATTTCCCTGACATGTACAATTCTCCCTGTCGGCTTTCCGTCTTGTCCTTCAGAGGGCTCTTATTCTAGCACCACAAAACTCAAGGAAGCCTTTCTATTGATCAATTTTTTTCTTCATTGCTTTAGATCACGAGCACAATGCATATATAGTTTCAGATACTTAAACCTCAGTATGCCCCGCTGCGGTGGTTTAGTGGCTAAGGTACTCGGCTGCCGACCCGCAGATCGCGAGATCGAATCCCGGCTGAGGGGGCTGCTATTTCGATGGAGGCAGAAATGCTGCAGGCCCGTGTGCTCAGATTTGGGTGCAGGTTAAAGAACCCCAGGTAGTTGAAATTTACGGAGCCCTCCTCTTTGGCATCTCTCATAATCATATCGTGGTTGAGGACATTAAACCCTACATATCAATCAATCAAATAAACCTCGATATAATAAATTCGGATACAACGAAATATGCGTTATAACAATCTAAGTGACCAATACCTTTGTCATAGCCACAGTGATATGAATACTCATAGATAATAAATTTTAAAATATAACGAAGTATTTTTGTGGTAGATGTGGCTTTGTTATATAATATATATAACCTGATCTTTTATAACATTCCCGACCCAAACCCTAAAGAAACATTTGCAGAATCTGAAGAAATCGTCACCCGTCATTGTCATGATCACTTGAAGTTCACCGTTGACCCTAATTACATTGAACGCGCACATCGCCTAGGACGCCACACAGGAGGCCATAATCGGCCACTCATTGTAAAATTCAATCAATTCAAAACTAAAGAATCTCTACTTTCTAATGGCCCCAAATTTAAGGGAAGCAATTTCAGTGTTGGTGAAGATTTTTCTCATCCCGTTAGAGTTGCTCGTAAAAAACTGATCGCCTTCGCTAAATCAAAATCTACTTCCTACTCATTGCGGTTCAAAACATTGCACATTGGTACCAAACGCTACGTGTATGACCACTCCACAGATTCTGTTCAGGAAATGTTGTAGCAATTGCCCCATCAACAAAATAGGCCTCACCGCCCTCGATCCGCCCCTCGATCAAACTTATTGCTCTCTGCTATCTTTACTAACATACGCGGCTTTATTCCAAAACGTGACATTATTTCTAATCTGGTGTTATCATCTGATAGCAACCTTCTGATACTAACGGAAACATGGCTTACTAGTGACGTGACTGACGGCGAGGTACTTGCTGACCTACCCAATTTTAGAGTGTTTCGAAACGATCGCAGCGGCACGAGAGGAGGAGGAGTACTCGTCGCTGTCAGTCACAACATATCCTGTTCGTCTATAAACATTGTGTCCTACCTTGAAATCTTGTGGCTTAAATGCCATGCCGCACCGCACTCAGTTTTACTTGGCGTTTGCTATAGGCCCCCTCACAGTACTCCCGATTTTTCTTCTAAGCTCAATAATATACTAAGCGAAATAACGACCAAACACCCTAACATGCATGTAATTCTGTTTGGCGATTTTAATTTTCCTAATATCGATTGGGCAAGCCAGCCTGCACCAGCGGCTACGTCAAGGGAATCGAACGACTTCCTTGATGTATGCCTTAACTTTAACCTATCTCAAGTTCTTACAGAACCAACCCGCGTTACCGATAACTGCCAAAACATTCTGGATCTCATATTAACCAGCTATCCAGAGTGCGTGTCCTCCATTGCATACCTGCCTGAAATCAGTGACCATAAAGTCATTCATGCTGACTTCGTGATTAAGCCTGCTTTAGCCCCGACCATTAAAAAAACTATCCGTTTGTATGATAAAGGAAATTACGAAGCAATTAACTCTGAACTAACGAATTTTTACTCCACTTTTGACACTGCCTTTTCTCATTATAATGTAACCGAAAACTGGTTGATTTTCAGAGATAAGCTAAACGAAATGGTTGATAAATACATTCCCCAAATTAACATCAATCCTAATACCGCCCAACCCTGGTTCAATAAAGCACTGAAACGATTAGAAAACAAGAAAAAACGCTCCTTCCGCGCAGCCAAGTCCCGTAACACCCCTGATGCATGGAACATGTACAAAGCCGCCAAATCTGCTTATCTGCAAGCCATACGTCACGCCAAACACTCATTCTTCCATTCGGACGTACCGAACATGCTTAAGAACAACCCCAAAAAATTCTGGCAAGTCATAAACCCACAGGACACGCGCAATATAACACTATGTAATGAGTTAGGGGATGCCCTAAGTGACACGGAATGTGCACGCGTGTTTAACGCCGCCTTCGCATCCGTTTTCACCCAAGAAACTGAGTTGTCATTTACCATCCCTCATGCGAACTTTGATTGTACCATGCCACCAATTACGTTTTTTCCCAGCGGTATTTCATCACTAATAGACAAAATCAAACTTTCTTCTTCAGCTGGTGTAGACAACATTACATCCAAACTCCTGAAAAATACTAAACATATCTGTGCAGCGTATCTGTGTCTACTATTTTCACAATCAGTTTCAACAGGAATGCTGCCTCCAGATTGGAAGCACGGGAAGGTCGTTCCAGTCCACAAATCAGGTAACAAACAATCACCATTGAATTATCGTCCCATTTCATTAACCAGCGTACCCTGCAAACTCCTCGAGCATATCATCTACACACATATCATGGACTTCCTTGATTCCAATAATTTTTTTCATCTTGCGCAGCATGGCTTTAGGAAAGGGTATTCGTGTGAAACGCAGCTAGCTATGTTTGTTCACGACCTGCATGTTAACCTCGACTCTAACCTTCAGACTGACGCCATCTTCATCGATTTCGCAAAGGCATTTGACAAAGTTCCTCATGAGCGCCTACTACTAAAGCTTGCCGCGTTGAATTTAAATGATGACGTATTAGCATGGATTAAAGAATTCTTAACTAATCGTTCGCAATCAGTTTCCGTCAACAATCAAATGTCTAACACTACCCCGGTAACCTCAGGTGTCCCTCAAGGGTCTGTCCTAGGCCCGCTTCTGTTTTTGATTTACATTAATGACCTACCATTACATGTATCTTCTAACATATGCATGTTTGCAGACGACTGCGTTATTTATCGTAAAATAAACAACGTTTCGGATAACACGTCTCTTCAAACTGACTTACTAAGCTTACAGGGTTGGTGTAACCTTTGGCTAATGGAACTCAACCCTAACAAATGTAAAACTGTTTCCTTTCACCGCCGTCGAAATCCGATAGTATTCCCGTACCAAATTGCTGACACAAACCTCGAATTAGTTCCTTCCTATAAATATCTCGGAGTAACCCTTTGTAGCGATTTAACCTGGGCAACGCATATTACGAACATCATTGCATCTGCTAACAAAACACTCGGGTTTTTAAAACGCCATTTGCGTCACGCTCCTAATAATGTCAAATTACTAGCTTATTAATCCCTCGTAAGGACGAAGATAGAATACGCATCAGCCATTTGGAGCCCGCATCAAGCATATCTCATCAATCAACTCGAGTCAATTCAAAATCAAGCCACACGATTTATTCATTCTACGTACTCTTACGACATCAGCATATCAGCACTGAAAACAGAATCTGGCCTATCATTGCTTGCATCTCGTCGCCGCATTTCTAGTCTTTCCCTTTTTCACAAGTTTTTTTACAGCTCGCTCGGCAGGCCACCATACATTCTTCCTCCGGCACGCATCTCCCATCGCACTGGTCACCCGCAACAAGTTGAGCGGCCGCGTACGCGCACCGTCACTTTTTCGTCCTCATTCTTTTTTCGTGCAGCTACGGACTGGAACGGCCTTTCTAACGAAATCACCGCCATAACCTGTCCTACCACCTTTTTGAACACCGTAACAAACTACCTTGCATTGTAAAAAAAAATGGCTTTCACGTTTTCATATATGTACCCACCCCTTATGTAATACCCCTTCAATGGGGTCTTTAAGGTAATAAAATGAAATGAAATGAAATGAGGTGTAAGTGTATTCAGATTTTGCGAGTCTAGCCCAGTCATTAAGACACTTGCTTCTGAAGTGTTGGGGCACAGGTTCGAAGCCCACCAACAGAGTGAAGGTCCATCTTGTCTAAATAATTATTTCTTTATGATGATATAGCGTGGTGACATCACATCACAACTCACTGGTGACGCGGGGAATGCGGGTTTTTGTACCACTTCATTCGCCTGTTGTGTTTTGCTCAAGGGAACGAGACCTTCAGTAAAGAAAGTTTACTCACGGGCAGAACCAGATCTAATTCATCCGTGTCTTTTCTTCGACAAGGGCAGACTGATTCGTGAAATTATTGTTCTCCTGAATTAGGCTGCGTTTACAATGCTTCCGTTTCGACGTTTTGTCTTCTATGTGTGTTGTCCGAGTCGTGCTCTTATCTTGCCCCTTGAGCATATCTTCAATTTGAAATTTTCGGCTCATTCGAGAAAATTCTTGGTGCTATGCACAGTTCGTCAAGAAGCATCTGTGTTGTGTATAAGTGGTGGGGATCAACAGACCTGCCTACCAGCCACAGCAGCATGCAGCAGTGCTCACTTTTCAGCACGAACGAAATACAAGAACGCTTGTCCTTACAAGTTGATCTGCGCTCCCCCATTAGGGTGGGCCTCATTAAGGGGGTGTGATTTTGGCTTGCACAGCCTCCTACTCTAAACAGAGAACTGCTTCATCTTTGACTTATTAGCAGGTACCAAGTCTGCAGCCACCAAGCCGTACTCTGTTACAACCAAAGAGAACATGTCAGCTCTATCCACAGAACCGCCTTGTGCCTGACCTTCACCTGCGAAAGGCAGTCTTGCTAGCCGGTTTCTGCTTGAACCGTATTTTCTCAACTAACGTAACTACTACTCATGTTAAGGGTTAAAAGTTCTTTGATACAACCTGAAGCATTAGGTATTGTTAAGCAGAGGCGTCAGAGTTCCGAAGAAGTTTACTGGGACATTCGTTTTTCCAGCTTAAAGCAACCACCTCAAAAATTTGTCTGTGCGGGGAATCCTACGATCTGAGACGCTATAGAGCTGCTTGTTGTCATGAAAACGAGTAAGCACTGTTGGACGGAGCATTTAAGTCAATTCTCAGTGTGCGGGACTGGGATGGCTCTGGGCGAAGGTGACTTTCTTTCCTCTTGTGTAAAAACCAGCAGTTCCTTGTGCATTTGTGCATTTTTATGGGCACACTAACGTACGATTGATCGCTTTTGTGGCGACTACGCGGTGCAACTTTTCCGGCCACTTAGGCGGCGAGGCGACTGAGATTTCAGTGAGCTTTCCCGCTTCGGCTCCCTTTGAGGGAACTGCGGCATGGTTTTGTTCCTTTCCGTCGGCTTTCGTGAGAGGCGGCGAGGGCAAAAAAGTTAAAAGAAAAAAAAAAAAAGCCATAAACTTTTTCAGCAATAAGTAGTTGACCCCGGTAAAGTTCTTGTTCATCTTCACGGTATCCTGTGCTTGTATTGATTAATACGAATTCAGGATGATACAAATATTTTGCGTACTCCCCACATATTTGTACTGAGATTCTGCTGTATTTTCGTCACCTCGTTCATACACGGCACAGTAGTACTGTCATTTGCTTGGCTGCATGATTTAATATCGGAACCGTCACGAAGCCCACTGTGATCCACGCGTGCGCAGGTTTGACGAAGCAGCAGTGCGCGAATACTTCCCACTGCCAGCCGTGCTGGAGAGCCTCTGGCAGGTGCTGCACGACCTGCTAGGCATTACCGTCCGAGAGTCGTCAAAGCTGGCAGCCAAGGCGTGGCACTCTGACGTGCGTGCCTTTGAAATCCTGCATCCTTCAGGTGGGTGAGTGAGCTGCGGGGAACCCAACGCTATACGTGCTTTAGCTCGGTGCACCATACCTTCTTCCGTATTTAATCCACACTCCGTATTTACACTCTGTATTAAAAAAAAAAAAACAGCAGTCTCTTGTGCATTTGCCTAAGATGACTCAACCACTAAAGCTATCTTATTCTTTTTCTTCCCAGTCAATTGTATTAATCCTCCCTCCCCGAAAACTTTCTGTGTCTCATGTGGCTTTGCAGTGCGTCATATATCGGCCCACGCTCGACCAAGTAACTATTGTGATGTTATGATGTCATTATGTGATGGCATGATGCCGCGGCTGTGACGTCATAATGACATCATGGCCATAGTGTTGTCATCACGAACTCGCACATCTTGGCGACCTGTGATGTCACGGTGACATCATGGGGTCATAGCCTGACAGCATCACCCGATGATAATTTTTTGCATCACTCGTGTTGACACTGGCGCTGACAGTTGATTTTACGTGTAGAAAGAAAGAGGCATCTAAGGTGTTAACCTTATAATGTAGGGGCAGGGTTGAAGGTCGAGTAGTCAGCAAGTTTCGGCTCCAATGCTACTGTGCCACGGTGGTGTATTCTTGCGTTGCCCCAAGGCACAAGTTATGCACGAAGTGTTTTAGTCGAATTTTACCCTGACTGCAGCGCTGTTTCTGTTGTTTTTACTATCCTGCTGAAGTGCAACTGTAAGCAGTGCATGCTCTGTCACGAGTAATCATTTTTTTTTTATCTGGCCTTGTTCTTTCAGGTGAGCTAGCGGGCAGCTTCTTCCTGGACCCGTACGCACGAGCAGGCAAGCACATGGGAAGCTGGACCGAGCCGGCCAGGGGTGAGTGGAAGTTCGGCACATTCAGCGCACTCACTCTGAGAGCCTTGTTGTGACTTCATTTCGGGGACGTTGCGGCTCATGTTATCTTTCAAGAAGCGAGAATCAACTGTGTGCCTTTGTTTGTGCTGCTTGTCGCGTCAACGCCGCTAGAGCCAATATATACTGTATTTTGGGCCGTTGAATGTGTCACATTCATGTTTGCCTCAACATGGCTGTCCTTTTAATACAGTTAATTAAACCCACTCTTATGGGAATCGAGGCGAGCCCGCCGCTTTTGTGCGGGCTTTGCCGCCTCTTTCTCCGTTCTCATGTCCCGACATGACTCCCCTGCTCTGTGGTCTGCCGTGCTAGGAAAGCGAGAAGTGACGCTTAACCCCTCTCACTCGGTAGCGAATGTCGACTGTGGCCCTGCGCGCAGAGTCTCCCAAGAGGTTTCTCGCGCGCGTTGGGAGTGAGAGAGACCTTTCCGGGGACGACATGGGGGTAAGCACGCTTTTCTTTTCTGTCCATCGGCTCCCTTTGTTTGGGGCTGGTTCAGACTTCGCCAACAGCGCCTTATGCCCGCGGCGAACGCTTAACTTATGTGCCCCCCTCCCTTCTGAACGCTAGGCCGAAGAGCGGTACGCTGTTCTAGTGTGTCGTCAAACTGCGCTGACCCGTATCTCTCCGAAGCCAACGCGAGTGCCTTTACAGCCAAGGGAGTTGTGACCTTGAGTATTGGTGCTTATGCGTGGAGAGAGGGACGAAGAACGCTTTGCACCTTTGCTTGCGCAGCTGTCGGCAGTGTGTGCGTGTGTGCCTCGTGCGCGTGTAAGTGCGTGCCCGTGAAGAGTGCACGTCATGGTTTCATCTCGTCGACGTGGACATTAGATGTGCTTGGGGCCCTGACCCAGTGCCGTCAGACAGTCCGGTCGTGCCCTGCTCTCATCCGTCAACGAGAAGCCCTATTGCCCCTTTTCCACCATGGCTCCTGCGTGTGGTCAGCTGACAGCAGCTATATGCTGCTGGCCAACGCTAGGGCGCCTCGCAGCCAATTCCGGTTCGGCCTCCCTGATCCCTAGCGAGGCCGTGCTTCCCAGTGAGGTTCCCCCGTCTCCGTCGAAAAAGTCGGGGCCTCCAAACCACCACCGAAGCGGCGTTCGTCAGACTCGCGACTAATCGAGAGTAGCAACGAGCCATCAGAGAGCCAGCCCCCTTTCGTGCCTCTGACCTCACAAACAGGCATTGCACCCAGTAGACATTGTCACACCCTTCTGCCCCTCCACGTGGGGGACGCTATCCCGCCCAAGTACAACGAACTCTAGCTTTACTTCTTTTGCTCTTTTTTTTTTTCTTTCCCAAACATGTTATAGTCATGTGTTTATTTTGTTAATGTTTTTTTCTCCTTTGTCATCATTTTTTTAGCAACAGTTACAGGGCTGGACTGAGGTTAGCTGTTGCTCATAGCAGTGTCATTTTAACTGCATGGGTGACGTCCGGCTGCCTTTGCAGACAGGTAAAGGGCGAATTTAGGAGAGGGAAATGTGGGAATCGAGGCGAGCCTGCCGCCTCTTTCTCTGTTCTCATGTCCCGGCATGACTCCCCTCCTTCGTGGTCTGCCGGGCTGGGAGAGCGAGGAGTGATGCTTAACCCTTCTCACCCGGTAGCGGATGTTGACTGTGGTGCCGCGCGCGAAATCTCCCGTCGGGAGTGAGAGAGACCCCTTAGGGGACGACATGGAGGTAAGCACGCTTTTCTTTTTTGTCCGACAGCTCCTTTTGTTTGGGGCTCGTTCGGACTTCGCCAACAGCGCCTGCGGCGAGCGCTTACCTTATGTCGCCCCTCCCCCCCTTTGGAACGCTAGGCCGAAGAGCAGTACGGTGTCCTAGTGCATGGTCAAACAGCGCCGACCCGTATCTCTCCGAAGCCAACGCGAGCGCCTTTGCCCTCGCTCGAGCAATGGGACCTTTGTTCTGGTGTCTCCATGAATCACTTTTACCACGGAGACGTGCTCGTGGCACCCTGTCAAGTACTTCTCGCTCGTGGCGTGGATAAAACTATTTGCTTTCCCGTCGCGCCTTTGCAACGAGCTCTGTACTGCATTTTGGTGTTGCTGCCGGCAATAAAGTGTTGCGACCTTGAGCAGTACCGTGTTCTCGCCACGGCGACGGTTAACGTGTGCCCTACGGATCGCTAAGACTGGACACACCCTAGTGGTCCTTGGATACGTGTAGTGTACACGTATCCTTCGGAATACGTCTACACTACATGTGTTATATTAAAAAATTTGTTATAAATGATTATTCATTACACTGCATCAATGACGAAGCTCTTGGTCACTTAGTTCATACAGGGCGTAGCACCTACCCTTGCCTGACACCTCCGACATTCCGATGTCTCGCAGGCAAGGTGCAGTGTCCTGCTGGGCAGCCTGCTGTGGTTAACGTAGTGCTAAGCGATGCCTTTGACACTTTTTTGACGCCCCTTCAGGCTGAAACTCCTTGCTGAGACAGCCTGCCTGTGGCATTTGTGGCGATCCTGCAACACTCTTGTCGAGCGTAGCACCTGACACCTTCAACCCTTTGACGCCTCTCCCACAGGGCGCAGTGTCCTACTGGGCAGCCTGCCAGTGGCCAACGTAGTACTAAGTGTACCGGGACCACCCGTGGCCGGTCTGTCGTATGGGGAGTTGGGTCAGCTGGTGGACCAGATGGGCCACGTGCTGCAGAACTGCCTTAGCCGGTCAACGCACGCCCACATGTCAGGCAGCCGGGGCGTCGAGTGGGACCGGGTGCAGGTGTGCGGCAACGTCCTGCACCTGCTGCTGTTGGGGCACCACCAATTTGCCGCACGCCTGGCTGCCCAACCCCTGACTGCCGAAATGCACGATGCCTTGAAGGCAGGTAAGACATTGAAGCTGCTCCTACGCTGGCGAACTGCATGCTGAAGCCAAACACGGTGGTGTTGAATCTTGAAGAGATTACAAAAGAGTTCTGTACTATATAGGTCATTCCATACAAGAAACATTTTCGACATTGAAGATATACTCGGAGAGATTCTGCAACCGTCTGACACACCCGATATTTCATTAAACGTATGTTCTATACATGGGGGTTCGACTGTATATCTTGTGCTCAGGCATGATGGGCGAGCATGCTGCAAACAACTGTACTGACTTGATTTCAACGAGGTTAGCAAACATCGCAGTCAGTGGCTACCAAGCTTTAGTCTGTGGCTACCCAAGGTGACGCGGTCATGCTGGGTAGCCACTGTCTATGTGTTGCGTCGCACTCGGTAGTCGCTGGTCACGCTGCACAGTCAAATTCCAAATATGGTCACTGCGACGTCGTGCATGGTAGGGGCTGGTGATACCGGGTAGCCATATTTCAGGTGTGACCGGTGTGGTGTGACGTAAGGTAGCTGCGTTCCCAGCGTGAACAATGTGACACCTAGCCGATGTGCCCGCATACCCGTCGTAATTTCATGCTGACATTTGCTGGGTCATGCTGGCCGCATGTGATCTTGACATGGTACCACTGGTCATGCAAGGATTCACCCTGCTGCATTACTCTTTCTATCTCGAATAAAATGTTAAAGCTGACAAGATGACATTTTAGGTGCCCTGTACGTCACTCTCTACCTTCGAATAATAAAGGGCTCGGGAAAGATATGAAGAGAATTATTAGAAGGCCTGGTCCCAACATAGGGCTCAGTGATTAACAGTTTAATTTTTGAGTCGTGCTTGGTGACTCCGCTTCATCAGTTTTTCATTTTCAGTCTATCTAGAACCGAATGTAGAGGAACCCGAACTTGTCATCAGACTGGTTCCTGGAAAGAAATCCGTTTGTATAGCGAACCAGGTGTTTGTAAAAATCTTGCCACCTCCGCTTTGTGAGCATTGTCGAAACAGAGATGCTTATGCCTGTCCTTCATCAGGCCGTATTGTACTTCTGTATTCTTGAAGTCTTCTGTTCGTACGTGCTTCGCCACAGCCTTTCTTGCGTTGACTTCGCCATATTTTGTGGTACACTATACGAAATCTGATGTATATGACATTTTCTATAAGATTCCACATTCCATGGTATAGTATATAATCTGCACCATTGTCGTAGATTTATGCGCATCTGCCTTTGAAGTGGAGACGTTGGCATCTTTTAAAGTTGTGCCCGACCACAGTACGGACTGACAGGTGGAATTCCAATCAAGTTGCTGAGCCCAATGTGTAACCCCTTAACCGAATTCCGTGTTTCTTGCTCCACGAGGCTTCCTTCTTCTTTTGACAGCTGACAGGCACATGGTGGCGTGGGACCTCTGCTGGCAGCTCTACTACTCCAAGTTGGACCTGGAACTGCATTCCCGGTGAGTGCAGTCAGACTCGCGGCAGGTTAGGGCGAGCGCGGGTCCGTTCGCATCGCCGCTTCCCCACGCCACGATGCGAATCGGCGCGATTCGCAGGACCGACTTCTGGGCCGACCTGAGTCGAAGGCTGTGGCCGCAGTTCCTACCGGTGGCGAACGACGCAGTTGCCGAGAAGCGCCTCTGCTCGATGAGCAGCTTCCTCACGGCACCGGCCGCTCAATTCTGCCCCATCTGGGCTCAGGTGAGTTTTACTGCGTAGCCGTATTTATTTATTTATTTATTTATTTATTTATTTCGACATACTGCCAATCCCATCAGGGATTTTAGCAGGAAGGGCGTGAACATAAAAATTCGAATAAGTACACAATAAAGACATACATCGCGATAAAGTACAGAATGAAACTAACAGAATCGGATCATTTAACAATTTCAGATCAAAGAAGGCATAAAACATTAGTGTAAAGAAAAGTTGTCAGAAGAAAATAAATGCAGCGACTTGGTTGACACATTGGTTGACATATTGGCATATGCATCAAGAAACACAACAAGAAATCACAGCAATAAGAAACTACCCTACAATATAGCGAAGTATTTCAAGGAAGGGCAAATTTATACACACTGAAAAACAGAAATATGTTCAAGAATGTCTCCTGGGTGTCGTATGTTTTTCGGGCTTGTGCGAATATCCGAGCGCTCCGAACATTCAGATGAGTATTAATGCATTCGAATTCGCTTTCATTCAAACTTAAAGTGTTAGAAATTTTCGAGGTATTCGAAGTGAACGAATAGATGTATATATCAATTTGTGTGTAACCATTTGTAAAGGTCGTTTCACTGCATTGGTCGGCTGCTGTACCGTGAATACACCTTTTCAGGAAAAATCTGCACTGCAGCAAAGTTTTATTTCAAAGTTGTATGTACAAATTACCCTCGCATCGATTCTTCCTTTTTTTTTTTTATTTAAAAGCTTGTTATATGGGCTAATATGCTTGAGGCGTAGTAAATTTTGAAATGTAGCATATTTCACAGGTTATCACTTGCATTCTATTGAAAGTTAAATTCTGCTAGTATTCAAAATTCCTTCCACTTCCTTTTAACTGAAAAGTATGACATTTGCACTTGCCTTATTTCAATTTTATAAATCTATAGTGCAGGCTAGTTGGGTCATGACAAATATGCTCATTATCTTTATAGTATGTGATATAGACTAGCATCCAACCCACTTATAAGGATACCGGTTTTAACAATATATTTAACAACCACTGCAACAGATTTAGCTTGTCACGGCCCCAGCACGTTCGCGGCGCCAAATGCGGCTTTTTTTCTTTGAGGGTTTTCTTTGCAGCCTTTAAAAAATGATATACGCAAGACCTTCTTGTTGCAAATAATGCAATGGGGTTTCTGAGAACTCTGCAAGCCCGATTTGTTGCCTAAAATTTATATTCAGCAAATTAGATCAATAATTATAATTAAGAAATTAATTACAAAACAGGAAACTGTTTGAAGTGTGCAAGGTGGCTGTCGGTAATATGCAACTGATTATACTCACCTGCCTCTAACATTGTATTTTTTAACCCCTGGCTAAAGATAGCTGGGGCATCGGGTACGCCACATAAGAAAATATTAGCATATTTGTCATGACCCAACTCTCTGCATAATGTATATAATATTTTAATTGGAATAAAGCATGTGCGAAAGTCATCCCTTTTCGGTTTAAAAGTGAGTGGAAGCAACTTTGAATACCTAGTAGCAGGATTTCACTTTTGGTAGAATGAAAGTGATAATATGTAAAATATGTTACATTTTAAAATTTACTATATTTGGAGAATATAATCCAGCATAACAAGCTTTTAAACTTAAAAGAAGGAAGGATTAATGCGACGGTAGTATGTTCATTTAACATAAAAGTGAAACTTCATGCCCATGCAAATTTTCCTTGGTGTATTCACGATATAGCACTGCTTAGGTGCAGCAGTACCAACTTTAGAGGAGGGGGGTAGCATGCAGGATAGTGTACACCTATTCGTTCATTTCGAGAAATTTCCGACAATTTAAATTCGAATCAAGGCCAAGTCAAACACAATAATATTCCAAGTGCTCAAATATTCGCACAAGCCCAGTTATTACTGAACGTCCAGCCCTGCATGCCCGCCTTGTGGATTATAGTTGCTTACGTGTCATTTGTCGTTATTCCATGGGACAGATGATCGCCGCAGACGTACTCAGCGAATTCCAGAAAGCCGAGACCTCGTCTGAAATCAGCAGTGTGGGAAAACGGTAAGTGCTCGGTGCCATTGACACACATTTTCACAACTTTAGCGTTGAGTGCATACCACAACGTTGGACTGTGATGAGAACACATAGCCTCGGAGAACACATAGCCTCTCGGCAATGGCTGAATCGCAGACAGCGCCTGTTTGCAGCCGGGCTGTTCAAGTTACTGGGATTACAGTTGCAAAACGATTTGCACGGTCGGCCCGCTAAACATTGACTTGCTGTGCGCAGATTCCGGGAGACCTTTCTGGAGCTTGGAGGAACAGTCAGCGGCAGCGAAGTGTGCCGGCGGTTCCTAGGTCGCGACCCCTCGTCGGATTCGCTTTTGGCAGTGTACGGCTTGCAAGGAGAACAGAGGCGGCATACGAAAGATCAATCGTAGTATAGAACAATAAATATGTATTCTAGGAAAAACAATCGTCTTTCTGGCAGTGATAAATGTTTTCGAGTAATCAGAGGTATAAACGCTTGGTCCATGTTGCACGTGAATGAGTAGTCGGAACCCTTGCCGCACACACGTAGAGCAGGATGAACGTTACACCTCCAACATAGGCACCCAACAGCTTTTCCTTAAAAAGCTGTGATCAAACTTACCATGGTACCTGGGCCACATGGTCTCCTCAGATTGTGATCTGCCGTGATCCGTTTCACATTTCTCGATTGCCGCCGAAAATCTTCTCTGGTCCCGTGCTTGGTGTCAAATGTAGGTTTCTACAAATTGCTCAGCTATTCCTCAACATTGCAAATACTGCGTGGGTATTGTCAGTATTGCTCAAACACACTCAAACCTTGTTAAAACGTAGGTAGTTTCATCTCGCACAAAAATAACTTCGTGATATCCGAAATTTCGTCACGAAGGTATAATCCTAACACCATATATATTACAAGACTAATCATCATTTGCTTCGTTATAACCGATATTTAGTTACATCGAGGTTCGAGTACTTTTGAAAAGTGGAATGCTTCACTTTTCACTGAAGAAGCATTGCCCCTGTCTAGGCATACTGACCTGCCTTTCACATTTTTTTTATGCTTGTGTCATGCTAGCTAGCCACTCATCTTTTCATCTCATTGCAAAAACATTTTAAAGTTCACCCCTTGAATGACACAAAAAACAAAGCAGGTCTGTCGCACATATTTATTTTCTATGCTCCTGCCAATGGGCTTGGCTACAGCAGTTCAGAGACTTCGCACAGCAGAAGCCTCGATCAAAATTACTTTTGGGACCATAGATTGGTGGTGCACAATGTCGCAACTTCTCCGTTTAGATCATTGTACATCTTTATGGGACAACAATGTCTTCGCACTTCCGTATTTTGACGACTTGTCACGTAAGCAGAAGGGAGTTTCTACGAGCTTACGCCAAGCTCTCCTTGCCCAAGTTGCACGAGGGTGATCTGAAAGCTGCAAGTAGCTTCAACCTTGCCGGGGTCAGCAGAGACGGCGCAACCGAGTTCGGTTTCGAGAACAAAGTGCGAAGATGGGGCAGGGCCTCAGACCGGCGAAGGGATCTGCAACTTGGTGGCTAGCTCGGCATAAGGGCCCTTGTTTCCAGCCTTGCTTGCTCGCTTCTTGACAAACTCGAGGCAGCGCACCTGGAATGAGGAAGGACGTTGATTGAATGCTCAAAACAGATCTTGGTTATTTGTGCAAAGGACAGTGTAAAAACTGTTTGTCAAATTCTTCCAAACATTAATTTTGATTTATTTGTGGGGTTCAACGTCCGAAAACCACCATATGATTATGAGAGACGCTGTAGTGGAGGGCTCCAGAAATTTTGACCACTTGGGGTTCTTTAACGCGTACCCAAATCTGAGCACATGGGCCTACAACATTTCCACCTCCATCGGAAATGCAGCCGCCACAGCCGGGATTTGATCCCGCGACCTGAACATTTTTTTTTAACAAATTATCAAACGTACAAGGTGAACTCATTCGTAGTTATATGCATGTCGCTAACATAACTCTACAAAAAAAAGGTGGGAATCCTCTACTAAAGGCGCGAGGCTGAGTCGCAGTGGAGCTGGAGGTGTCCTAGCTAATCTCAATTAGTCTTGCAGTATAATTAGGCCACATGAAATTCCATTATCCTGGGTGGGCCAGATTCAATCACACACAACTTAATTAGTCTCCTTTAAGTAAATGCCAATCAGACTAAACATCGCGGCTAGACTAGGTGAGCACTTCTTAGTTCCTTAATGAGCTTGCCTTATACCTGTTCCTGATAATATTTTTCTGGTAATGCGAACTTGCATAACGAGAAAATTTTAACAGCTTCACTGTAAAATTATTTTGAAAAGTGAACATAATTCCGTACCACATGCAACATTCTTATAACGAGCCTCAAAAAGCCAATTGCAACCAAGCTTTGAACTACAGTCGAATCTCAATAATTTGAACATGCTTAATTTGAACTTTTGGTTAATCCGAACTCACGATGAGGTCCTGTCAAAGCTATGTGTATTCCAATGGGCGAAAACGCCCAGCAATTCGAACGTGCAGGCACTTGCGACGGTTAATTCGAACATACCGCGCTCCCAAAATGCTCTCAGCACTCCCTCCAACCTCGCGGTGGCACCTCCGACGCCTCAACGCTGCGTGCGAAAGAAAGGAAAAGGAAAGAAAAGGCTGCGGTGGAATGTTTGTGCTCTCCCAAATGCCGATCTGTGACGTGCCTGTGCCACGCTTGTCTCTTTTTCGCCCCTGCCATGTAAAAACCCTTCTTCCAACGCCACGTGCAAAGAGACAGAGGAAAAAAAAAAGGAAGCTGTCGTGGAGTGTGCCTTTCTCTCATGCGCCAGTGCCACGCTTTCGCCTTTTCCGTCCCTGCCATGTAACCCTTCTCCTTTCAACGATCTGCTTGTTTCCACGTGGAGACGCTCCTTTTTTCTTGTCATGTGCTGGCCACGCTGCGGCTTTGGTGCAGAGTATAGTAGCAGAGATGCAGTCATTGTTGTCATCGTGTCTAGATAGTGTCGGCGCTGGACATTGCCGCGCACAGCTTCTCTTGCCAGGAGAATGCCGAAGCAGACACGCTTTGCAAGTTGCATGCGAAATTGATTGACTCGTTGGAAGGCAAACGTGTGCAGGCGCGCATAACTGATTACTTCAATCAATCAAATGGCAGATGTCCTGTGATTTGTGAATAAATGTATGTTCTTCTAAAACTTCCCGCTTGTTCGTTAGCTCAATGCACATGCGCCACTACATGGAGAGCCCTTCGTTCACTTAGCTTTCATTAATTCAAACAAATTTACGGGTCCCTTCGAGTTCGAATTATCGAGAATTGACTGTACATAGAAAGCCAAGATTTTGATCTTTGTAGGTAATGCGGACAGCTTAGCTCCGATAATGTAAATAGCCTAGTTTCATCAAATCTAGATAGTTAAGGGTTACCTGAAAAATTTGATATAGATGTAGGCCATTGCAGCAAATTTCGCACTACATTTGTTGTATTATAGCTCGCACTGTAAAATGTGATGAGGAGGCAAATCCCTAGAAGGATTTTAGCACTGACCGAAGCACGGTGATCCAGGGCAGCATTTCGATGAGCCAGGCCCCACAGGCTGACCGCCAAGGAGAAGAGCGGTCGTCTCTCCAAGTTTGCTCCGATCACCAGCCTCTGCAGAAGCTCCAAGGCCAGCCGTGCTTGTCGCTCCACATGCTGCGAGCGCGCGACTTCACAGTTTCAAACTGCACAGGCACTAACAAAGATGCCATCTAACATACAGGATTATGGCTTGAGATAGTTGGCGAAGATTCGCATTTCAAGAAAACTTTACGATGGAAATTAAGATGCGCAACACTATGGGCACAGGTTGTTGAGCATTATCGTAATGCATTAACACACACTGAACTCATGTTTTAAAACGTGCTTGAAAAGCATTACTCTTGTAGAATAAACTAGTTCGAAGTAGTGTCCACCCTGTTCATTGTGTTCCTCCAAGTCTGCATTATAGGTCGCACTGCAAGATTTTCTTGAACTGTCCACCCAATTTCGAAGCTGTGACCAAATTGAATAACATTGCCCACTGACAACTTCAAGTTCAAGCTACGGAATCCACCATGCACACATGCCAGCCAGATGAGAAGTTGTCTAACAAGGAACGCCACTCAAGCCAGCGTTTCTAAGCTATGGCTTGTCTTTGTTGGCGAAGAAACCAATCAAAACAAAATATTGGTTCCAGCGACAGTCCAAGCTCGAATTCTAGTCTCTTCTAGCCCTTATCTTCCCCCTTCTTCAAACCCGCGCGAGCCTGCATTCATAGCCGTTCCAAGCCACACGTGATCTGTCTGTTTAAGCACGAATTTGAGTGTCATTTGCAGTCTGTGGCTTGATGCTTACGATTTAAAAGTTTTGAATCTAGCGCACTTGCGAAGCTTGAGACAATTAAATGTGCGACACTCACCCCAGCTTCGCCGAGTGCACGTAGATGCGAAAGCAGCTGATCCAGCACGCTGGTGCACAGCTGTTCCAACTGTGCCCGGAACTTTGGGTCGCCGCCATACAGCGCGTCATTGGAATCCACTGCAGGGTTGAATGTAAGGGTTGGCAAGATGCACCAAATATTAGAGATCTTTTTTAATTTGCTCACACCATCTGATACACGGCACATTCAATCATTCACTCTCGCACACTCAGTCACGCCCACAATTGCCAGAAACTCAAAGATGCACTGACTCATTCAGCACATTATGCATTCGTACCCTCGGGTTACAGTGGAATTAATCATGTTCACGTATATGACCATATACATCCACTTATTACTGCATACAAGCCAACATGTATGTCCACGGATATGCATATAGTACGTTCAATTGTCAGTGCATATAATTCCACATATATGACGTACCTTTGTCCAAGTGATAGAGGTAGTGTTCCTGCCCAAGCGCCACAAGCAGGTTGAGCGCATTGAGAAAGATGCGTGCCCGGCCATCACCCCCCGAGCTGGTCCACGTGGATGCTGGCCGCTCGTGCAGCACCTGCAGCAGTCCGCGCAGCAGCCGCAGAGGCTCGTGCTCTGGATGGTCCGGCACCACCAGCAGCGTCGACAGCAGGCTGCTCGCATACGACACCAGGAACGGCTCAGTGCTGGTTCGCTGAGTCGAGGTGCCACTGCCCCCCTCGGGCTCCACGTAGGGAGGCAACTCTGGGAGGAGCTCGATGGCTGCTTGCAGGAACGCGTCGCCTGCAAGTTTGCCACTTAAGACAGGGGAGTTATTCTCGAAGCGTTCGTTTCTGCAGGGCATATTCAGCTACTAGGGAAAGTGTGAAGCCGTGACGTCATCGCACTCGAAATCACATCAACCCAGTGCACCCGCGCAGTGCACTCCCGGCGTTGAAAGTACAGACACAGAACATATGAACAAACTTAGCAAGTCTGCCCTTGCATATCAGTAGGTCCCAGACGCTTGAGAATGATGCCAACCAGTCTTCACTGGTGGGTTAAACGGGAGGCCACATTAAACATATTTCGAGAGCTAAAGCGATAGCATAATTGGAGATAATTCATGGCCTCCAAGATTTGCGTGGCCAAAATCAGATATCAGGAGACTTTGTTACCTACGTCGAAACACATTTCGTTCCTCTCATTTTTGCCGAGGGTTGCAGAAGCGGCACGACGCCGAAATGATGTTGCATAAAAGAGCTAAAGGCAGAGGACATATTGCTCGTCAAGCTACAGCCAATCAACTGCAGCTGAAATTGAGAGTTTTAGAACGGCAGCGAATAGGAGAGAAAGACCGGGATTCCTTCGCTCGGGCAGCTTGTTTAGCAGCTGTGGCAGACGAAATGCAAGACTTGTCGATGATTCCAGAGTTATTGCATGGCATCCAGAAAGGTGCTACCCGACTGGCATTGCACATACAATTGGATTATAAATACTATGTGGCCCTCTCGTATGCCGCACCCCGATTTCCTTCTCACCTCTTCACCATACTCTTTATGCCCAGCATTTGCTCCCACCTTTCCGACGAGCTCAAGCTCATTTCCTCGGCTGTAATGATGAACAACAAAGGACGAAGCATGCCGGTGCTCAACACAGGATTGGGCACCTAAACACTGTGAATGGGGCATGTGGCACTTTAAAACTTTTCTTTTGAAGCGAAACTCCTCTTAGTCTAACCTTGTCCCGCATCAGGCGTAACGGCAGTACCTCCCTAACAGTATAATAGATGGCGCTGTCTCATAGAAGGACATCCAAACTGCAGTTGAGTGAAGATATTCCAGATGGCACTGTACTGCTACTCTCCGATTGGCTGCTGCACGGGCTGTGCGGGCCACGAGTGCTTCTCCTCAGTCTTCTGGATTGTGGCCGTATGTGGCGGATCGTTGGTGGGGCATGGCGGATCGTTGGTAAGTGGGGCATGGAGGAAGTGGAGCGGAGGGCTGCGGCAGCTCGTGCTCATCGCCGCCTGGGTGCACAGGGAAGGAGTGCCTCTTTCAGTCTCCTGGATCAAAACCGTACGTGTCGGATCGTTCGTGGGGCATTTACAAAGCGGAGCGGCAGGTGCGGAAGGCCACGACGGCGCGTGCTCGTCGCCAGACACACGAACGGACGGATGCATACACGAACGCCTAGCTCCACTCAATATCATTCATTCCATGGATATGCTGTGAATTTATTAATTGATCGATTTTAATGGAATTTGCTGAGTTTATATATATTTGTGGTATGATTCTATCAAATATGTAATTTGTGTTTGTTTATTGTCTATGATTAGCAGTTTTTAAAATGTCATGAACAAGTACTATTAAGGCCTGATTAGCAAACTAATCACAACCTGCACAGCAATCTACAACCTTCAGAATCTATTTGAGATGTATGCAGAGCACCGTAAGGGTATAAATCATTGCTTTAAACCATTTTCAATCAAAGTTGAACCTGATGTAAAAAATGACCTCCTTTATACTTGAGACAAAGGACTCTAGTTTAGATAATTTTATCTTTAAATTATCATAACAAAATTCACATTACAATTTGAATCTACAGCCGAACTCTGCTACAACAAATGCCGCTTCAATGAAATTTCCACTACAACAAAAAATTCACGATTCCCCGTCAGCAGTCTATGCATAAATAGCAGTCAATACATAAATATTGTCGCCACAACAAACACTTTTTCTTCGATTGTCCCGCCTCAACGAAATTCCACGATGCAATTCCAGGCTCAAATACTTATTGCTATGCAGTAAACCCAATCTTTAACATTTGCATCCATTTTCAGAGGCTGAAAATGCGTCAACGAAGTCTAAAACACGCGTTGGCACCACCTGAAACTGCCGCTGTTCAGCAAGCATGGGCGCCGCCATTGCTCGATAGCAATGGCAAGGAGACTGCCCTGCTTTTGTTTTGCCACTGGCTTGCTTTTGGGCCGCAGACGATCCGAAGCTGCAGCTAAGTTCATGGTTTCCTTCTCGCAGCTGCTTGGTGCAAATGCGGCACAATGCTTTTTCCGATTCCGATGCTTATCATTATATTCGCGCTTGGCCAGTGTGGTAACTTGGAGCTTGGCCAGAGTGGCTGTTCGTCCGCATTATCAACAAATTCAGCTAGCCGCGAGTGATGCATGATAAGAATGGCATAGAATAATGCAAAAGTCGCCGCTCCAAGATACCCTGCCTCTTTGCGTAGTCGAATACACTTCTTTGCGTAGTCGAATACACATCTTTGCGTAGTCGAATGCACTTTGGCGGTGGACAGCCGCTGGTGTAAACATGTTAATGCTACTGTTTGGTTCGTTCACGAAAGCAGTTGTAGGCGTTGTTTCAGCGTGCTTTTCACCATGGCCTCGCTATCCATGGGTAAGAATCACGTCGTGACACTGCTGGGAAAGAATAGGAAGCAGCGGACACTTTTTTAATTTTGAAAATAAACGTTCCTTTGTTTTGCTACCTCATATCAACTATAATTTTTTCGATTTCACTACAACGAAAATTTTTTCCACGCCCCATCAGTTTTTTCCACGCCCCATCAGAGGTCATACTCGAGTTAAAGTGCAGAATGCACTGTTTTTTTGCACGTTAACAGCGCCAAGAATGCACAGATTCTTGGTGCTGTTAACATGCAAAACCTGCAAAAAAATGGGGAACCGACTTCAAGGCTTCTTTATAATTTGCCGAGACCTATGTTAGAAGCTCTGCTATGAATTTATGAGCGCCTTTATGAGCATTGCAAAACATGCGCACCATGATTGTTGCTTTTTGAAGAAGCTGTATTTTTCCAGTTTTTTTTTTTTTTCATTTTTCTAAAAAAAGTGAACTTACGACTGTTCAATTTTGAGGCCTCAATATCTCTGCAGCTAGGGCAGGTACAACAATAATTCTTTTTGCAATGAAAACCTGTATGTGCACAGAATGCAAGCATGGGAGCAGAATTCAGAGCACAAGCTTTTTTAATTAATTACTCATCAAAACTGCAACACAATTACAACTGCTTTTGAAAATGCATAGTTCATTTTGCTATAAAATAACCAAGAAAGGCCTAAAAACAGAAAACTCTTACTTTCACTCTATAGTCATTAGTCTATGTTGGCATATCTTATCTTTTTCTTCTATGGCGGCCTTAAACAATAGGGGTTGAACTTGAGTTATCTCAGGAACAAGATGAGTTACAGGAAAATTAATTAAATATTTGAAGTCGGAAGAAAAAACTGGATAACCCTGTGCATTTCGATCAAGATCACTAAAGAAATAAACAAAAAATGTCCGAGACCAGTCTGCCCCCTTAAATGAAACAAATGCTTGCGACAAAGTTGATTTCATTCCTGCATAGTGCACTCCTGCTCATCTATCAGTAAACGTTAAATGGAGCATATTTTCTTTGTCCCTTCAGGCTTCATTATATGAGAGTCTGCTGTAGGTGCTCAATGATATGTAGGGGACATCAAGAAATGGCCAATAAAAATTTTTATTCGGTGCCGAAGTGGCATGCCCCCTAAGCATCATAAGCATCAAAAGAGATTTGGTGGAAGGGCTCTAGGCTGGCAGCAGCCATCTTAATAACAATCTTAATAGGAAAAAAAAAAGGAGGGAAATGTTTACACTAGCCATGTGGAGCTTAAGGAGCAGCAAAGCTGGTTGGTTTTAGGGGCACAAAGGGGCAATCTTGGCTAATGCCAAGTTCTTCCTTGGCGTAGACAAAGCAGAGCCGAACCACTGTCTGGCACAGACAATGAAAGAATGTCCAAATCTTCAGCACCAGAACTAACATGCAAAGCTGGCTGTGGCACACCGGTGGAGGCGGGCCTTTCGTTGCTTGTACTGAGCTTATACTGCGGGGCAGTCTCAGCCTGGGGGCTCTGCGGACTCTCCGCCGGTGGTGGCTGCTGACATGCAACGGCATGGAGAGTTTATTTAGGATGCTCGACGTTTTGACCTCGAGCCTTTCGAGAGCTTTGCTCTTCGAAAACTGTAGAACGGGTACAAAAGCAGTGATCACCTTGTGAAAGGCACTGGTTGAGATACGCCGTTTGTCCCGACAGCAGGTAGAGCTCGAGCCGCGACTGCACGCTGCTCAGGGACGGGATCGTGATGAAGCAGTAGGCCGCGCACGCCTGCGCGGGTGGGCAGAAGGGCGACGGCATGAAGCGCAGGAACAGTAACACACTCAAACCTCGATATAGCGAACACGGATATAACGAAATATCGGTTATAACAAAGTAAACGAAAAATAGCCTTGCAATAGAAAGTGTTAGGAATTTATCTTTGTAACAAATTTGCTGATATAACAAACTTATTTTCGTGTACGATGCAACTCCGTTATAATAAGGTTTCAGTGTAAAATAAACAATGCTGATGCCCCTCCTCTCAACCTTGTGTTTCCAATTGAGGAAACTCTACAGCAGGTTTATACCTCAGCCTAACTGGTCACTTAACACGAGCATTAGTCGGCAGTGACTCTCTAGGCATGCAGTTCTAGGCTCAACCTCGTCGGGTGAGCTTCGAGACGATGCTCATACGAGAATGTGGAAGTAATCCTTCCCTTAAAGGGACACTGCAGAGAAACAATGGCTTGGTTTGAATTGATAAGTTGCGCTCGGAAAACTCTAATGCCACAAGTTTCACTCTCTTATGTTCATTATTAGCACAGAAAATCAAGATTAGTTTCATTTTAAGATTTCAAGCCCCAATCTAATTTTGAAATTGTCAGCGTGATGCTGACAATTTCAAAACGCACTTTTCGTACTTGTGCTACATTGCCATATGAAATTTTCTTAAACATGGTATGCTAGGACTATGGCACCCGCAGACGAGACAATGCACTCCATTTTTTCCAATTAGAAGCTAGGTAGGACCCAGTAGACACCTTCAAAATGTATGACGTCGTGGTGTTTGGTGCAGGAATCTCACAGTGGCGACCCTACTCGCATTTTCTTTCGGCCCGTTTTCTCACTTACCGAGCGTTGTGTCACGCTAAGAGTAGTGTTTTCCCGATTGCGAAATCGTACTTATACATGAAAAATCGTCTTTCTTTTAGTGTCCCTTTAATGGCTGGAATCGCGACAGGCAAGAACTAATTTTCCTTAGAATTCAGCCCATTTTTCTTTCTTTTCTTTCTCAGGTAAAGTGACATGTGAAACGTACTTGAAAATTTTCTTTTCTTATAATTTCGCTGCTCTCTTGCGGCTGCACTTATCTCCTTTAAGTTTCTAAGAATGAAATTTATTATTTAGATAGTCGAACGTAAAACTTGCATAATTATTTGCCTAGTATTTGCCTAGTATTTGCTTATAAGGTAAACCGATACATACATTTCAGTGTATTTACAGCCAGGACTTAATTATCATAGACTTGTTTCAATATTTACCAGCAGAACGAGAACATGTTCTACAGCCACGAGCAACACAAGTGGTGTTAACATCATACAGGGGAGCTTTCTTTTGTAAGTGGCAAGGCCTAGGCTCATAGCTTGTATGCCAATCATGGATGGAATACAAGAGTGCTTGTAATTAGCACATTGCATAACTTCACGATACCTTTGTTTGGCAACGTCAACTACTAGATGCATCAAAGTACTCTTACTACATGAACAGCTAAATTGATTGTGATGCCAGATTTAGGCATCCTTCATTATAACACACAAACACTTCCCATCTGTTAAAGCATGGTCTGGAAATGACTCCCTTTGTCCACTACACATTTAGTTATAAAAATAATCATGTCGGCACAGGTCACCAGCAAACGTAAACGTGTCACGAATGGTGCATGCAAAACAAAACAACGAACCAAGAAAGAGCAGCTTACCCTAACAAAGGCAGCTGTTTTGCGAGTGTGATGGCCCTTGATGACTTGGCGGGTACGCATGGCCAGCAGGTTTACGTCCTGTGCATATAAATTCAATTGCACGGTGCTTACGAGCCAATATCACTGTCCTATTATGAGATACACTGTGTATCAGGGAACTCGAAATTGACTCAGACCACCTGAATTAACTTAACGCGCACATACATCTGCATGTGCACAAATGTTCTGGCATTTCGCTCCAATAAAAAATGGGTGGCCACCTGATCGCTCGTGGCGATTCTCGCTGGCACAGTCATGCGTCCAGCGATTCACTTTGGTGTTGGGTATCTCTAAATGACAGCCTATGAAGCATATTTTTGTCACACAACGAGTGTCGTCCGTCTCGCGTGCCTTTCCTGGTTTGAATGCCTGGTACACTTAGCTCTTAAGCGGCATGCGGGCTATGAATATGACATGCTATTTATGACAGAAAAGTTGCGAGTGCATGGTTTGCAAGAAAATACGCACAAACAAGCCGGACGATGATTACATCAGACGCCCAGCAAACATAAATCTCTCAATCTGAACTGCTGCTTAAACAGAACAACTGTCCCCGACGTGATTGGTGTTTTGCTTGAGTTCTGCACCCCTGTTTATCTGGAAACAGAACTTCGTCAAACGGAACAAAATTTCCTAGATCCCTTCAAGTTCCATTCAACAAGAGTCTACAATACTAATTTCATATGAGAAAAGATACCTCCCAAATAGTGTAACTGCCTTTACAGTGTAAACTTTACATAAGCAAAAAAACGCGTACCTGAACCAACTGCACAAGCACGGGGTCGAGCGCGCTGAATGCAGCGCGGGCGTCCACGTAGAACGCCAACTGCTGCTCGAAGTCTCGGCCAAAGCCGACCCTCTGCAAGAATCCGCAGAGCAGCTGGCCGATGTGACGCCGCTCGTCTTCCAGGGCGAGCGCGTTGAGCGATGCGTGCAGGGCCTGGCCGACGTGCATCAGCGCGTGCAGCACCAGGGGGTCACGAGTGGGCTCCTTCTGTTGGGCCAGGAAAGCGGCCATGACGGCCTTGCAGCCACGGACCCGCGCGTCCCCCTCGCGGGGCAGCAGGTCCAGCAAGGGCAGGAAGTGCTCCATGGCGCAGAGCCGGCCAAAGTCGGTGACGTGCTGCAGCAGGCGCTCGACGACACGGGCCAGCTGCTGGGGGTGCTGCTCATACGCCCGGTCCGGAACGAGCTGGCGCACCAGGGCACCCAGCAGGGCGTCCACCTCGCGCACCTGCATTGCACGGCCGAGTTAACGAACCCTTCGTTGCCCACTGTTAGGATCCTCGCAACACTGCAAAAAGGCTGCACCAGTCCATCGTCAGGCACTGCCAGACAAACTGTTCTGTGGCTGATTCACATGAGGCAGATTGCCTCATCTCACATGGTGGTATAACGGAACACTGATTTCATTGAGCATTGTGTTATGCCACTGATGTCTGTTGTACGGGGATTCAAGAGTGCTCGAACCAGCTCCATTCATTCTGAGCACGCTCAAAAGTGCTGAGAAGGGCCCAAGCTTTGCAAAGTGAAGCGACCGTCAAATGAGCCAAGCATCCGACGAAACAGAATTTCGAAGGACTGTAGTCTCTCACCGTGAAGTGCTTGCAAGGGAACTCGATCCAGACCTCTACGCAGCTCAGGTAGTCCTGCAATGAAATGTCACTCTGGTCAACACATGACACCTGTAGAAGCATGGTCTGGCATTAATTGAAACGGCCAGGTCACCAACAGCTCGTAATTTACAGAACTGTGCGAATTGCAAGAAATTTCGGGTGCGATGCAAATTTGAATTTTGAAGTGTGAGTGCAAGTCGAATTAAATATTTCTAGAATATTTTTCGAATACTTAGAAGCGAAATTACAGGGGGAAAAAAGCAAATTCTTATAAGACATTGACATGAAAGCGTTTCTTTTGGCTAGGTTGGTGAAGTGCTGGTAGGGTGATGTTTCACACTTGTCTTATTAAGAATGAGGTAATGCAGAGATGAAATCGTACTTATGTACATGATTTGGTGCAGCTAAGGTTGACAACACTTTGCATGCGAAAGGCAAAGATGCTGTTTCCTCAGCCCCTCCTCCTCTTTCAACTTCTGCAGAAGCCCGACTGATGTGGCGGACAGAGGTGCACTCTTTTCGAGTCCCGAGTTACAAATCTGCCTCGTAGTTGTCAGTATATATGAACATCTGAACTTTTGGATGCTGAAAATTTTCGGCATCCAGTTTTTCATACCTCCTACCCCAATATCTCAAGTTTGAAACGGCATTAGTCGAGGCCCAACCTCTGCTGCATCTGTCATCTCTATGTAGGAACCAGCGTTTTCCCGAGTAAAAACATTTGCGACCGTAGCAAAGCCTGAAAGACAACTTTGCTGCAATGCAAAAATGTGATGGGGCAAAGCACATTGAAAATCTGAAGGGGCCACTGCCAATTGAACGTTGACTGTACTTGTCTTCGTGTAGATTGAATAATTCAGTAAAATTCCACTGTGAATCGAATCGAATAGCAAACGCCATTCCGAAAAATATTCTAAAGTTCGAATATTCGCACACCCTTAGCCATTTAAATTGAAATTTCTAGCTTACTGTCCAGTTTTTCAGTTAGCGGTGTTCTTGGGTGATGTTCTTTTGTTTCTTTCCACGCACACAAAAGGGCATAGTTCACATTGAGTTCCTGAACTTCCCTCTGCGGATAACATAAAGGAGAGTGACAACGCCGCCAGGGTCGCAGCATAGCATTTGCTGCGGTGCATGCTGATAGAAAAATTCGTGACACTGCCACTACTGAAAATTCGCAAAGATTAAGCCATGTATGCAGAAAGCCAGTCTTCATCAAACCTGACTTCATGGCTTGCAGGATCAAGCAATATCGGGGCATTACATGCAAAGCAGGGAGTATAAGCAGGTAGCCTTCCCCGAAAGTCGCCAGGCCACTGTGTAAATGATGACTAGCTAAACTGCTAGACTCTAAGTCAGTGTTCTCATAACACATCTAGCACTCTCAAACCATCCATCTAGTGTGCCAAGCTGCTGGCCGATAAAAACTATCTATCTGAGGAATTCTCGTGCACTAGGTGGCTTCAAAAACTTTTGACAGGTTTAGTACCAAGTGCATGTTATTCGTGTAAACACTCAAATGAACACAGGAAGTGAGGAAGGCACGAGTTCAACAGGAAGCTCAGCTAAATCCAAGCAGAAAAGCACATAGTGGCTTTAAAATTTCTGATTAAAACTGTGCTAGGCACAATAGAATGTCGTCATTACTCTTCTTAGACGACCACGAAAAATAACGTAGGATCTGGGAGAATATGACGTCTGATTACAATTGTCGCAAATCAGTCTGGTATGGGACTGACATTTGGCAATGCACGTGCAGGAAAAACGTAGCGAACAGGGACGTATTAACGGTTTCACCGTGCTGCGTTGAGAATGAAATGACGACGAAGCAGTGCAAGAGGTACATGTCCGCACCTGTACCGACAACTTACGGCGGGACTGCGCAGCTTGGCGATGGCCTTCCAGGCCTGGCTCAGCACTTGTCGTCGCTGGTCCTCGGGTGGGTCGGCCAACACTAGGCACAGCCCCAGCGTGCGCAGGAGCACATGCTGCAGACATGAAAAAAGCGCGAAATTCCGGGTCAGCCTGGAAGTTGAAGAATTAGCAGCGATATGTACACGCACACACACACACACCTTGGGGAACGAGGCATCGTCGCAGTCCCTCATGAGGCTGACAAACTCGAGGGCCCGATAGGCCACAAACTCGGGTCGGAAGGCAGTCATGATGGAGTTGAGCAGCAGGGCGCTGTTGCACTGCGCCTTGCATCGTGCCAGCACCTGGTCCAGCAGGTTCTCGGAGGCACCGTGGGCGACGCACTGCAGGATCCAGTCCAGCGCCGGGCAGTACAGGGTCAAGTAGGTGGACAGGTCCAGCTTCTGCTGCCGCAGCAGCTGCTGCACCACCGGCCGCTCAAGCTGCGCAAGAAAACAATGTTGCCAAGATCAAATGGAGTGCCACGATACAGAACGTTATTTAACATTGAAAAGATGCTTATGAGGATTTCCACAAATACACTATCAAAGTTCACTTCTGTTTCAATGCACAACTTCAATTAAAGAAAACGTGCTGAAACTTTGAAACTATAGCTTTGTTCAAGGTCATTATTGTTAGTAATGAAATAGATTTTAACGACATGTTTGAACGTTATAGAATTTCAGTACCATAATTACACAGACATTACTGTGCAATTAATTCATTCATTCATTCATTCATGCTGTGCCATAGCTTAGGGTTGGTTATCGGAACGATACCACTGCTCTGGTTAGCTTGCACATTTACAAATTATCTTAGCTACTTTCTTTGGCATGAAAGATTCTCATTATTTTGAAAGCCTTCAACAATTACTCCGGGTAGGTAGGCTGCAACTTCTATTTGTGAGTTTTGCTAATGGTTAAAATTCTGCCGTTTTTCACCAAATTTCAAAGAGCTATATTGGGCCTGTGGCTCTCACACAGGTCTTTAGAACATGTGCTTGTGGAGTAAAAGCACCACCTTACCTGAGGATATGTGAGTAGGAACTGCCAAAAATTCTCTAGGACATGTTCCTGGACCTCGGGGGCAACCGACATGCCAACCTGAACAGAAACAATAATGATGGGCTTAAGTGCTGTTTGGCTGTAAAGCCAAAGACGAAGCAGCAGACGCAGCAACGAACCCTGCAGAGGTAGCACCGCGCGTAAGCAGCAACCAGAGGATCGCCTATGCCACAGATGGTGCCCGTCAGCCGGAGCAGTACCCCCGAATATTCTCTGAAATGATTAAAGAAGGCTGCAGTTTCATCGCAAGGTCTAAGCAAGAAATGCACTAGCGAAAAATAATACCATACGAAGTACGGTTAGCGGCTAACATCTGCAGCAGCTAACCTCGCCTAACTCTACAATATTCTAGCCTAAGGAAACATGACTGTGGCAGTCTGCTGCACTGGGCCAAGCAACCTTCAGGCTTTAAATTAATTGCACAATGAGCGATGAGGGATAAGGTTTGGTGAGCACATACGAATGCATGAGCCATCTGCTAATGCCTGTAAGGATAAGCAGATGTGACTGCACACAGCTGAGCAAAGTGCACAACCACACGGCCGCCTCTCCGTCCCATCAACCTTTCATGCAACCAAAGACAACCAGCGTGTTTTCTCTGCACTAGATAAACTTTTGTTGCCAATGTTCATATGATTTCACAAGCACATAGATTATACAACACTTGAAACAATGTCATCGATCTGGACCTAATACGGGACATAACAGCATCACCGAGGGCAAAGAAGCGTCAAGAGTGTCCATATAACTGCTATCGCAATACAAAAAGCCACACAAGCCAGTCATTTAGTACGCAGGTGTGGAAGTTACGCCGACAGGTTTAACGTCAGGGGCATACAAAAGCATATGTACAGTGCCCCCCTTGTGCATGCCTATCTCATTGTCATGTTTTTCAAACCCGCTATATTGTACAACCAGAGCTCCTATGTCCATGCACATTAAAAACAATACAGGTATCTCATACAGCTACTGAATGCTGCCCTCCACTAAAGAAAACAGAAGCAGCATGGTACTGTGAGAAACAGTGCCATTGCATAATTTCTGCCGGACAAATGTTTGTATCACCTAACTCAAAACCATTGACACTTTACACGAACCCATGCTAGATGTTACGACAACTAAAATGGTGTCACTGCTAAGATGCTAATAGACACCATTTTATAATGAATGCAGATTATGGTGAAGCTCCTTGTACTTGACTGTGTTATAACAAAATTGGACTGCATAGCTACAAGGGCTGGTTATGAAATCGGAATAATGATTCTCGGCATATGTGCCTGCATCAGATGGCTGCTGACCTTCGGGTGAGAAAGCTGCAGCAGCGAAGGATGGCCGTTTCCACGTAGAACCGGGGGATGAGCTCGCGCACCGAGGCTATCTTGAAGAACCAGTTGCGGCACGTCTCCTTGGCGGACTCGGGCACCTGGTCTGGCGTGAAGTCCGCTGCGAGAAAGCGCCACTCTTAAAAAACAAGTACAGCCAAGTTGCACTTGGGCTGAATTAGTTATGAGCGAGTAGCACAACTGCTTATTTCGTTAACCTGCACGCACGAGCATGGACCACCGAGTTAATAAGCACCGATTGCTGGCCTCCCCATGTCCGGTTCCCAGAACAGCCTGGCATGGGGCATCTACACAGGAATGTTCGTCAGGCAGATGTGCCCATTCTCATTCATTTAGCCGCCATGCTTCATTAAACAGCATTTACTGACTGAGTGGTCGATGCTCGTGCGTTCAGGTTAAAAAACAAAAATGGGCGGCTGTACATGTCGCCACTGAAGCAATCTTGGCAAGGCTGCCAAGCTGATGATGACATACTTCTGCTGTTGTCAGCTTCTGAGCAGGTAGACGGATGAATGATACACCTCGTCATCAGTATCAAACAGGCTCAGGCATGCCATCTTCTGGAAGTTGCAATGCCCCCCTCAACTTGAAGTCCATGATGTGGAGCTGTACATTCTATGTTCTACTTCTGCCATGTGTAGCTACCAGTGAGCAGTAATGGTGAGTCTTATTTGAGTTTGGATGTCAAAGAAAGCTATTTATCTAGAGCTTTTTGTCACAGACAGCTATTTTTGTGACAACTCCGCACGGATTCTAGAGTCGATTTTGAGCTTAGGCACCTTTTCATGCTTGTGGAGATAAAATATATCATAAGTGCACACAAATTTTGTGTTTAAGTGTGTGCACAGCCTTTTCGACTTCTTTGAAAGCTGTCTGGAAAAAAATATATATATATAGTTAAACCTGGATGTAAAGAAATTGATAATTTCCCAAAAAATTTCGTTATAAAAAGGATTTCGTTATATGCAGGTTCGGTACGAAAATTCAGAAAATACACACAAAAATTAAGCAAAAAAGGGACTGAAGGCAGAGCTAACCGCAAACACTCATTTTGCAGTAAAAACGGATTCACTATTCCAACAGCAATTATACTGACACTCGCAATGGGTTTCTGCCGTTTCTGTTCCGTGCATCGTACCTTTCACGAGCGGGTAAATGCGCGCGAGCGCTGCTGAAGCAGAGATCAAATGAGTCGGCCCATGCCTATCGCCTGGAGAGTGCATAACTTCTTCCGCGTGTTAGAACTGTCGTCGAATGTTCAAACAGAAAGTAAACCACCCTTCTTGAATGAGCACGAAACAATGCGTGGAGGGGGGAGGGGCATTGCTCGAGTAGCAATAATGAACTTGGATTTTAAGGGCGGTCACGATTGCTGGCGCACGTGCTATCTCGGGAAGTATCAGTGGGGTTTCAACGTGAAGGAACTGTGTGAAAAGAGCACTTCTCCCTGGAGTGGCCGTGTTTGCTCACACCAGCATTTTGTAGGAATTCCACGATATCGGATCCAAAAGAGTTGACTGCAAGCCTTACTTCTTATAACATTACATTTTTTTTTTTGCTATCCCGTTCATTACATTGCATTCAACACGCCATCATGTTGCCAGAACTAATCCGCTAATAGCGAAAGCTACCGGCCTGCGAAGTTGCGGCGCGGTGCAAGACGAAAGCACGTGACAAGTCGACTTCTGAAGGTCCGTCGTCAGCGTGGTCTAAGAGAGTTTCTATCAGCGCCTAATCTGACGCTCCCCCCGATGGTGACGACACAATTGTTCGAAATTAAGAAAAGTTAGAGCTTCGCTACAAGGGCGAAGCAATGAATGCGATAGCAACAACTTGGGACGTAACGCTGAGAACGGCAAGCAGATCGAAACGTGCAGCGCACTGCTCACACACAAATGACACATGAAAACAACATACACAGGATGAGAGCGAACTAATAATGTTTGCCGCTCAACACTTAACGCGCTGTTTAAACAAAAATGAGGCATGAAACGTGCCTTCACAGGTACAGATATGAGTGCGAACCAGAGTCCGTCAATATTTTGGTGCGAACTAACAAGTGCCCCAGTTATTACCTTGCTGTGTTTGAAATATGCATTCTTTTCACAAACAGCGCCTGTCCAGCGAGAGACGTGATCTTTGTGCGCCCGGCAACTAAAAGCAATTGTTCCGGCCAAAGGCCCGCAATTCTCCCCACCGAAGGATAAGCGCGTGCGCTCAAGCATCTACCCCCCTCCCCATTCACACAAGTATGTGTGAAAGACAAGCGCCTGTCGGCGCATTGTGACGAGCTGGCGCCGAGCGCGGGCAGTTTTTTTTCCCCTTCAGCTTTAATACATATACGGTGAATGACCGTGGCGGCGACGGCAAAAAACCTGTCGAGACTGTCCACATAATTGATATCCCCATAAAAAAACCCGCTATGCTCAACATCGTCGGGGGCCACACCATGCGCGCGCAGTGAAACTATGCACGAGCACATGGTGTTCAAAACGAAGAGTGAACGACACGGACAGACACAGATACCGTAGAAAACTATTCAGTAAAGCGCCCTCCATATTGTCACGAGGTCGTGACGTGGCCGAAGACAGGAGACTTCGTGTTGAGATTTAACTGTTTATTTGGGCGAACCTGTGCCCGGTAAACGGAAAGTCCAATTACAGCAGCAGTCTCGCACAGATAGCAATCTCGGACTGATAGCGGCGAACGGAGCGTCGGCCTTCGATCAACAACTGACAAGCGGCGAAGCGCGTCGGCATTTATACCCTTGCCATCGAATGTTCTAGCGTTATCGCTGGCGGTGGCGTAGGTTCCAGAACAATCTGTACCGTTCGCACAGTGGGCGTGATCTTATTGAAATGATCTACTACAGTCCGGAACCTTCTCAAAAACTGCAGGCGCGGTTTGCGCTGAGAATCGTGTGGTGTTTTGTGACGATAACAAAAACTTGGGAAATAGAACGTGGCATTGCCCCCCTCTGAAAAAAGGCATCGTCCCGATGCTTTAACTAAAGATGAAGGTACAATAATAATGCAAGAAAGTAAAATGAATAAATTACGATACAACAATACAAAAAAAAACACTGTTTCAGTTTGTTAACGCGCATGAAACGGCTTGAGGCGCGCGACATGGACGACTTCAGGTCGCGATCGGCGTCGTAGAGAGTTCGTGATGCCGTCGGGGACAACCTCGTAATCAAGTGGGCCGAGACGTCGAACCACCCTGTACGGTCCGAAGTACCGTCGCAGAAGCTTTTCACATAGTCCACATCGGCGTATCGGCGTCCACACCCAAACACGTTCACCGGGCTGGTATTCCACGAAGCGTCGTCGAAGGTTGTAACGGTGGCTGTCAGTCGTCTGTTGATTCTTGATACGGAGACGCGCAAGTTGTCGGGCTTCTTCGGCACGTTGAAGGTACTCGCTCACATCGAGGTTTTCTTCGTCGGTGACGTTGGGTAACATGGCATCGAGCGTCGTTGCCGGGCTCCTTCCGTAGACCAATTTGTATGGAGATATCTGCGTCGTCTCCTGCACCGCCGTGTTGTATGCGAAGGTCACATACGGAAGAATGGCGTCCCACGTCTTGTGTTCGACATCGACGTACATTGACAGCATGTCGGCGATCGTCTTGTTAAGCCGCTCGGTGAGGCCGTTGGTCTGTGGGTGGTACGCTGTCGTCCGGCGGTGGTTTGTTTGGCTGCATGCCAAGATCGCTTGAGTTAAGTCGGCAGTGAATGCCGTTCCTCTGTCGGTGATAAGGATCTCCGGGGCGCCGTAACATAGGACGATATTTTCGACGAAGAACTTAGCTACCTCGGATGCACTGCCTTTTGGCAGGGCTTTTGTCTCGGCGTAGCGGGTGAGGTAGTCGGTAGCTACCACGATCTACTTGTTTCCGAAAGTCGACGTCGGGAACGGCCCCAGTAGGTCCATACTAATCTGCTGGAAAGGTCGGCAAGGTGGATCAATTGGCTGCAGAAGTCCCGCTGGCCTTGTCGGTGGTGTCTTGCGTCGCTGACAACTTTGAAAGGCCTGCCGTAGAGGTAGGGGCGAAATTTCGACGTAGCCCAGATGATGGCAAGGCACTCCTTTTCTGTTGTGGAATAATTAGCTTCTGCTTTGGATAGCGATCGGCTGGCGTAACTAATAACCCTTTCAAGTCCGTCCGCCCTCTGCACAAGAACGGCGCCAAGACCTACGCTGCTTGCGTCAGTATGTATTTCTGTCTCGGCGAATTCGTCGAAATGGGCAAGTAACGAAGGCGTCTGGAGGCGATGTTTAAGCTCCTGGAAAGTGTGTTCCTGTGGCGTTTCCCACTTGAACTCCACGTCGGCCTTGGTAAGGTTAGTGAGAGCATCGGCGATGCGGGCGAAGTTTTCAACGAACCGCCTATAACAGGCGCACAGGCCCAAAAATCGGCGCACGGCTTTCTTGTCAGTGGGCGGCGGGAAGTCAGCGATGGCGGCTGTTTTCCGTGGATCGGGACGAACTCCAGACTTGCTGATAACGTGCCCCAGAAACAAGAGCTCCTCATACGCAAATCTGCACTTTTCTGGCTTCAGTGTGAGTCCGGAAGTCTTGATGGCTTGAAGTACAGCTTCAAAGCGCCGAAGATGGTCGTCGAAACTCGAGGAAAACACGACGACGTCATCCAAGTACACAAGGCAAGTCTGCCACTTCAATCCTGCCAGTACTGTATCCATAACGCGTTGAAAAGTTGCAGGCGCTGAGCAAAGGCCGAAGGGCATCACCTTAAACTCGAAGAGGCCGTCCGGTGTTATAAACACCGTCTTCTCTCGGTCTCTTTCGTCGACTTCGATTTGCCAATAGCCAGTCTTGAGGTCCATTGACGAAAAGTACTTGGCGTTATGGAGCCGATCAAGTGCGTCGTCTATTCGTGGGAGAGGATACACGTCCTTTCTTGTGATTTTGTTCAGGCGGCGATAATCGACGCAGAAACGTAAAGTCCCATCCTTTTTCTTCACTAACACCACGGGGGATGCCCATGGACTCTTGGACGGCTGGATAATGTCATCCCGCAGCATTTCATCAACTTGTCTCTTCATGGCCTCACGTTCTCGCGTCGAAACCTGGGTTGATGCATGACCATCGTGGGCTGGGACGCTGCGGTTGTCATTGTCGCTGCAGTCGCAGTCATGGCCTTTGTCTTCCGCGCCTTGTCTTGTAGAAGCTCGTGCTCTGGTGGTAGCTCTTGCTGTCAGCGACTTGTTCACTGCTCCTGGTTGGCGTCGGTGTCTTCTCCGCGACGTGGGCTGGGTTCACGGCTTGACAGGGGCGTCCGGTACATGAACGAAGCAGCACCTCCACCAGATGTCACGAGGTCGTGACGTGGCCGAAGACAGGAGACTTCGTGTTGGGATTTAACTGTTTATTTGGGCGAACCTGTGCCCGGTAAACGGAAAGTCCAATTACAGCAGCAGTCTCGCACAGATAGCAATCTCGGACTGATAGCGGCGAACGGAGCGTCGGCCTTCGATCAACAACTGACAAGCGGCGAAGCGCGTTGTCATTTATACCCTTGCCGTCGAATGTTCTAGCGTTATCGCTGGTGGTGGCGTAGGTTCCAGAACAATCTGTACCGTTCGCACAGTGGGCGTGATCTTATCGAAATGATCTACTACAGTCCGGAACCTTCTCGAAAACTGCAGGCGTGGTTTGCGCTGAGAATCGTGTGGTGTTTTGTGACGATAACAAAAACTTGGGAAATGGAACGTGGCAATATTCAGCGCGACCCCACATACGTGGCACTAACTAAATGCGTGGCACTGCCCAACCTGGTCTTGTAACGTTGGCGCTGCAAAAGCGCAAAAATAGTTCTCTCTTTTTTTTTAATAGGAGTGGGGGGAAGGGGGGGGGGCGCAACTGCGCTTGCGCCCGTGGTGGCGAGAACGACGGCAATGCCAGCTCATGGGGTGCAGGCGCGCCTGCATGCCTGGCGCTTACCCGTGCGCAATACCAAACGCTCGCTCTCGCCTGCTGAGCCACGCGCGCCGCCGCAGCGGCGGGGCAGCTGCGGAAGATGTATGCTCGTACCAAAAGCCAAAATGCGGAGCAAAATTCCTAGTTTGCCTGTGGAGAAAATTTATTATATCAAGGTTGTCTCCCGCTGTTACTCTGTTACATAGGGGTCGCAAATACATGTGCTTCTATGGAGCAACGACGGGGAATAGAAAAACTTCGTTATATCGAGGAATTCATAATATGGAGGTTCATTATAAGCAGGTTTAACTGTATTAACGTTCAGGAAGAGTGGCTACTTGATTGTTAAGCTGCTTGAAAAAATATATATATATGAACGTTTAGGAAATATGGCCACTTCATTGTCTTCAACTTGATCAGGACACCGTACGATTCTATTAATAGAAATTTTAAACAATTTCGCACCTCTTTTGGAAAGTATAAGAACCACACACACAAGCGGCAGTGTCACTAACCTGGAAGGGGGACGGGCACCTTGCTTCCAGGCTTGAGGTACTCAGCCTTGGAGTGGATACGCTGGTACACCAGCTGGCCTGTGCATGAAATACCAACTAATGACAACACTTCACACATCCTACAATCGCATACATACTGCTTAGAGAGTTAACAGCGCTACAAGGCGGAAATGCAGGCAAGCGGGGGTAAAAGAATGACTGAAATTTCGACGACACTTTCGATGCAATAGTGTAATTGGGATTTCTTGTAGAGTTTTTATCAGTCCTTTGTAACACAGTTTCCTACAACACCGACTAAAGGAAATTGTAGCACTGTGATCGCTCGGCCACCATGAGACCGATAGGCAGAACAATGATTTGCCAACTCTTCGTACTTGCGGCTTCCAACGCAGTTATGACCTTGTTTATGGTTCTGCTTTGGATTCCATTTAGGATAAAAATATGGCTCATTGTGAATCTTGTGAGCTGATTTGAATATATTGAGCATAAGAGTGTCAGGTGGTGAAGTGCGACTGCAAAACACTCGCTGAACTTCGTCTTGCAACAAAGCGGTTCCAGGCCACACAGAGCAACGCATTAATACAGAGCAATTTCACGTGGGTCACTAAGGTTGCACAAGCAAGTCAAGCACATTCGTACATCCATATTATAACAAAAAAAGAAATAAATGATTATCTCATATAACCTAACAAATCGAAAATTTTTTTGCTGCTATTACATTTAGAGTGACTATCAGATATACAAAAGTTAGTCCTGCATGAGATGCTACGTTTTAAGAAAAACAACATTGACCATATGCATTTGAACATCTGAAATTCTCAACTCTTGAGCGCAAATAATTAGGTCTTCGAGGGTACAGATGTCACTGATCACAGGCTGATCACAGGCTGGGGGGGGGGGGGGGGGGGGGGGGCTACACTGCTTGAGCTCACCGAAGTTGTCCAGAATGTCGGTGATCAGGACAAACTTGCTCGGGTAGAACTGCACCACCGACGTGTCCACCAGAAGTTTGGAGCACTGCATCGATATGCGCACATACAAGCGCATCGCTGTGAGCTTTCGAGAACACGGTGAATACACATGACCAAACACCGGCATGTATGCCAGTGCAATGATAAAATGCACAAGTGAAGCAGCATCTCGCACCAGCTCTCTGCTGCACATTCCAGGACGAGTGCATCGCAAATTCTCAGTTGCAATATTGTCATGCTCTTGTGCTGATACACTCAAAGCTCATTAGTATGACAAAGTTGCACCTGGCACGGAAATAAGTTTGCTATATCTGGAAATTCGTTATAAAGGTATATCCTTAACACTGTGTTTATTGCAGGACTATTTTTCATTTACCTTGTTATAACCGATATTTCATTTCATTTGGGTTCGTTAAATGGATGTTAGAGTGTACCACTCAACAGGCGTCATTAACCACGTTTTCAGGTAATCATGAAATGACTCGAGTATCAGAGTTTATTGACTCACAAATCGACAGCTGCAAGAATTTCATTTCTCAGATCTGTCAAGAATGAAGGTGTCATGGGGATCTTTCACATGCTTTTTCTTTTCTCTTGCCAAGCTGGAAGCTAGACAGCAAGGAATGGTGTGGGGAAAAGAAGTTACGCCAGCACGCATCGTGACCTTGAGAACACGTGATGAATGCGATCACTTTCTCGTGTTATGATTCCTGTCTGTGTTTGCTTCCCCGTGTAATGTTGGAAGACTGTGAAGCACACGCGCCAACATGTGGTGGCAACCTTTGCCAGGAAGCTCATTTGATTCGAATGCCACTCCCAATTTATGTTGGCTATTGGCCAATAGCGTGCTATTCACGGTTCGAAGTCAAACAGTGACGACAGCGCAGAAGAGAGTAAAAATGGGTTTGTGTATCGCGATTGGGTACCTAAAAAGTCTTAATTTCTCGGCCCGCTTGTGCACTCTGCCAGCTGCACACGACTGCAGGGTATGGCTGAACTGCTTATAGCAGTATTTGCTTGCCACAGAAAGTGTTTACTCGCCTCGCCACAGTGGTGTAGAGGATAAGGTACTCGGCTGCTGTGCCGCAGCTCGCAGGATCGGATCCCGGCTGCGGCGGGTGCGTTTTCAATGAAGGCTAAAATGCTGCAGGCCCGTGTGATTAGATGTGGGTGCACGTTAAAGAACCCCAGGTGGTCGAAATTTCCGGAGCCTTCCCCTACGGCATCTCTCATAATCATATGGCGGTTTTGGGACGTTAAACCTCACATCCTCACATGTCAATCAATTAATCAGAAAGTGTTTTCTCACCTAGCTTAATGGGTGGTTCACGAACCAACAAAGGCTTACGTGAACGCTTAAAGCTACCATAAGAAGCAAGGATTTGGGATCACGTTCACGAAGCTTCTCAAGTCTCATTTGCGAACTAGCCGAGTCCACCGAGATCCATTCACGGGAGCCGCACGACACTGGAAGAGCCGTCGGACCGCCTCACCTGAATGGCAATCTTCAGTGCGCGCACACGCTGGTCTTGGTCCCACGCCTGGCGCAGGGCCTGGTGCAGCTCCTCGATGCGAGTGGTGTACTCCTGCTGGGACAGGTTCAACATCTCCCGCACCGAGCCCTGCATCGAGTGGGAAGGGTTACGTTCGAGCCAAAATGACACTCTGATGCCTGAACACTTTAGATCGCATCTGGGTTGATTCTGTACGTCTTGCTACGAGACGTAGAATCATCCGAAAAGGTCTAGATCCAATGAAACAGCTCGCGCAGCAATAAGCTGCCCTGGTGCCACACTAGATAGCAAATGTGCCTGTTTCGCCTGAAATTAAAAAGGCAGTAAAGGGGACCTGAAACTACGAGGATGTATAATGAACCATCAACTGAAATTTGTTGCAACTTGTTTCTGCCGCCTGATTTTTTTTGTGTGTGTAGTTACTTGCTGGCATTTCTTTTTCATCTACAGTAACGTTTTAAATCACACAATTGTTAACCTTGCAGCAACATGTACATGTGTGTGTATAAAGGTGGCTATATTTATACGTACATATATATTTCTGACAAACAGGGAGAAGAGGGTAGGGGCCACACCTCGAAAATTCGGTGGCGGATCCTAGCCCCTCACCAAAACTTTTTTACAGAAGCATAAAAGCCTGTTGCGCCTGCACTAAACGCACACCATAAGGTCAAAACTTATGTAACTCAATGCTGAAATCAGGCATGCAGACTCGCACACAACATCAGACTTACTTCTTCGAAGTCGTCCAACTGCTCGAGCCGATTCTTGACCTTATCCGTCACAGAACTCTGCGTCTTCACCACCACTGCACAAACATCGTCACCAAACACGGCTCAGAGACAGGAAGAAGGATGAGATGACATGAAGTGAATGATGGGGAAGTTATTATAACGGAAGACGCCACCAGTTAGATACCATATGCACAGTAAATGGTAGAAGTAACGGGTGAATGAAAACTGAAAAGATGAAAAAAAAAAAAGCATGCGAGAGGGAACACAGGATATCCTTGTCGGTTGGTGCCACAAAATATCACCGTCACACACAGAGATATGCAGTGTTGCACCGTCACAGTCTGTCGCACAATCCAGTATGCTACAGTAAAGCTGTTGAACAGTGCCCAGCGGTGGGAGGAGTAATAGGCACATCAAAATAGCGAATTCCAAGAGAAAGGAGGCAAAAAGGTACAGGCAATGGCTGTTTGCATCGGTATCACTCCCTGTTGCATCACATGCAAAGATATGAAGTGTCATATTGTTCGTTCTTAGAGTCGCAATATGATGCATCACAGTGGGCGGTCACAACGTGCAGTGTTGCACAGTCACAGTCTGTGACACAATCCAGTATGCTACATTAAAGCAGTTAAACAGTGGACCCAGAAATTTTCATACGAGGTGATGAACACCAACAGTATAATTAGTATCGCACACCAATCAGAAGATAGGCAAAAATGCATCCCACATAAGAGTTTCAAAAGAGACATATGGCAATAGCAGTCGCTCAGAACAGTTAGCTATGCAGCCTTAACAACCCTTTGGAACAGGCAGTCACAGGTCGCGTTGGTAGAGGCAACATAATGCACAGGAACCTGTACTGATCATAATGCAGACGATGTTAGTATAGTTAGCTTGAATACCGTGAAGCCCTTGAAAAGGCTCATCTGCAGCAAAAGAAATGCACTGGCTACAGAGTTTGAGGCCTTTGCAAAGCACCGGTAGATTTTTGACGGTCACAAACTAAAGGTCATAAGGGCGTGATAACCGACTTGTCTGCCTTCCCCATCCTTGTTAGACGCAACATTAATGAGAACTAGCAAACAATGATGCCAAGGAAAGTATAGGAGATGTAATTAGTAGTAATCGTCTTTGCTCTGATATATGAATTGCACACAGTGGAAAGCTTATGTAGTAGTTTCTTTTGGGAGCACTCATTTTCGTAACTGAGTCGAGGTCTCGTGACCAACCCTACTGGCCACGCAAAGAGCAACTCAAGGGAACTGAATGCTCAACAGTAGCGGCTGCGATTCAAAACCCTCGCACCGAAATGCCTCGCCTTTGCAACAGAACGCCACATACTACTGACGCTTTTTTCACTTGCTCGCACTGCTAAGATTGTGGCGTCATCGGGTTCTTGCAGTATCTCATCATCCAATGTTGCTAACCAGTTGAGCGCAATTCTAGCCACAGAGCTGTTGCATGACCTTCATAATTTGCAATTGTTAATGTGCTCGTATGTAACACACATACCTCGCAGATCTTGATGTAAAGTGGAACGCACAATTACCTTTCTCACCACCAGAAAGAAAGCTCGTGGCAATGGAAAGCTTTTCGGCAGTCGAGTACTTGGCCAGTATGCCAGCCTTCTTGTTCTCCCACGGCTCGAAACGTGGCGAGACCGCCTGCCGACTGCGACCCTCCTCGGCAACAGAAGAACTCGGCACGTCCAGATCCTGCGCATGGTCATTAGTGGAATCTTAAACAAATTGAGGAGACCTTATGTTCTTTCTGTCATGACAGATTATGAGGTACGCCGTCTTATAGAACAGCGGGTTAGTTTTTACCACTCGAGGTATTCAACTTGCATCTATTATATCGGTTTACTTGGGCTTTTATGCATTTCATCAAAATCGAAGTGACGATACAACTGCCAGGAATTGAGCCCGTGACTTTTAGCTTAGCAGCGCAATGCAGCAGCCACTAATCAACCACAGGAAGTCTTGGATAGACCCAGGAAGGCACCATTTTTCTAGGGAATTGTACAGACAAGTCAAAGTCACACTAGAATGGTTAACAACCACACAAGAGCAAGAATCTACGAATGACATACAATCCAAAACTTAATTGCATTGTCAAAGTTAAGCACTTCTGGCATTCACATCTACTGCTGTAATAACGATGAAAAAGTTCACATGAGTGACTTAATAGACACTGATAGAAAAACACCGTTCTAAGTTCTTCAGAACTTTTAGTATACACCAAAATTGTCCCTTTTACAGCGAGAAATGGCTTGGTAGGCTAGAAAAGACATAAGATAAAAAGCCAGGCATCCTCATTGTTTTGAAGGTTCTAAAAATAGCTCATTAGAGCATCCATTTATATATTATGCTTAGACAGAAATTGCATTGAAGCAAAGCATACAAAACAATAACTCTGACTTGCGTGACTTCCGATAATCAACTTTCTACCCAAAGAATTGCTGAAAATGGACTCCTTAATTAACACATTATCACTTTCAGCAGGTCAAATATTTTTTTACTCCTGCTTTAAAACACCTGTTCAAAATGTTTCAACAAACAGAAAAGGGGCTTCACTTGTCTTGACACTTCAAGCATGCAAGATACAACTAGAGGCAACGCTTCGGTAGCATTGGCTACTTACCGGCTGCTCGCTGGCCATTGCCGAAAGCGGGTCGGCTCCCTCGCTGATGGACAGAGGGTCGGGACCGCTCCACGACGTGGTGGTCAGACGCAACCGCTCTGTCGAAGACTGGCGCCGCTGCTCCTGTAAACAACACTTGTCGTGTCGTATCTCTTTCAGTAGCGGTGTGTGCAAGTGTACATGACAACGGCGCAGTGCGCACTTCACGGGCCCATCAAGTTAGTGCACTTCCAACTCCACAGGAACATGCTCGAATGCGACACCTCCTGAGCTTGGCCCAATAGCGATTCCCATCGAATCTTTTAACCAGTAAGTTTACAAGAGTGCACTCTGGCGGCCGAAGCGCGCTTGATGTCCCCTGTTCCTTCAAATGTCTGTAAAGACGTTGTGCATAATTCTACAGGCTTCCGCAGCGTACAACCAGCACCCATTTAATGAAACTGCACTACCGATTGCAGCTGATGATCACTTTGCTGAAAACACTACAGTGTTCGACAATTGTCTGATGCGCCGCGTTCCAGGACCAATGTCAAGAGTATTATATTTCTTTGTTCGAAACGAACACAACGAAAAAACAAACTGGGCTTGAATTTTGAGCCTCATATTTGATTCTCTTAAAGCAAGACTTGAAGATAACTAGCTGCAAAATATTTAGATATTACATTACATTCTAATTACAAATTATTACTGAAAACTGTGCAACACAGTGAATTGCATCAATCATTTGCTTTCTTGGGATGTAATATAGAGTGCCCTCCAATTATTTTGCATGGATTTAGCGCAGTTTTAGACAGTACACCACAGTTCATGCCTGAGGTTAATATACTTCACAGGTATACCAGCCTTCTTGTTCTCCCATGGTTCGAAACATGGTGAGCCACAGGAGAACATATATTATGCGAACAGTTAGAGGCCAGGTTATAATTACAGGTTATGGTTATAGCAACAGTTTTAATATTTAGTAACTGCAATGTCTACATTGGCATCATGGTGAAACTAAACTATTCAACTAAATGTTGAGCAGATTTACTGCAATACTTGCAGCATGAGAATTGAAACAGCTGTGCCATGACGCTTCTAGAGCCTCGATGTTTTTTTTTTCCTTAACGACAAACACCTCCTCACAAATTCTGCAGTGTACAAATTTCAAGCTGCGTAAATATCAACAAAACATGCAAGAACTCAACTACGACTGATTGACTTCTGCACGGCAGCTCGGTCCCTGGCTTTTCCCGTCGAAAAAGTGCAAAGCACTGGACTTCCTTTTTTACACTTGTCAAATCTATATTGCTTTTTTCTGCAGACTTATTCCTTCCACAGAGGAACTCTACGTACGTGCGAGTGTTCGTATTTTCAAAATTTTGATTAACAGTCAGGAGTGCCTGCTTACGCAGCTATAGATACTGTTACAAAACCTAAACTAGCATCTTTTAAACAATTTTCTGTGCATATTCTTCGGAAGCCTTTTCTCCCTACGACTTGTTCTTATCATTGTAATAAAGCAAGCTTCGATTTTTCACCAACGAGCTTTGTCTAAATTAAAGTAGCTAAATGAAACAGGCCAGTAGTGTTTTAAAATACGCAGTGGCATAATTTAAAAAATGAAGCGAAAATAATTGTCCTGGTCCCCTTTGTACTAGCTTTTTTCTTGGGCCCTGTTTGTCATGCTGCTGTTGAGAATTTTTCATCATTACAGAGATAAATTCAACCTGGTTTATTTTTTTGCCACCTCTGCATGCATAGAAAAGAAAACCATTTTGCTGTTGTTCTCAAAATACACAGCTCATGTTAGGTACACTTTGAGTTGAATATTGAGAATACAGAGAAGAGTGGATGTAATGTATAGTACAGGCAGAATAACACAATATATGAAACTAAAACAAAGACTAGAAATGTTACAGGGGTATGTTTAAAACAGCAGCTTGCATAAAGCTTAGCTGTCTGCGCAGTAAATAGAATAATACCTTCTAATGATAACTATATATAGGAAACATTTAACTAACCAACAACAGCAACTTGCATAATCTTAGCTGCCTGGACAGTAAATAGAATAATATCCTATAATTATAACTACATATACGAAACATTTACCTAATCGACATTTAAGACACACTAAAAGCTGCATGGTATTTCTTTGTGAATGGGTCAGTAGGTTAGCCAGATTGTCATGCAGATCTAAAACTCCAATTTAGGCAATGTTCGGACCTTTAAGCTTGCCCTATAACAGCTGAACATGATAGCAATATCCTGTCCCTAGTGCATACTTTGACCACTTTTTTATTGTATGATGTTACTCAAGAAGTTTAAATTGTGGATTACTACAATTTAATCAATAAAGCTGTACGGGAAACTCTAACCAAAGTTGCTCGCACAATTCCGGCATTGCTTGCTAACAAAGACTATCTAGTTGATCAGGGATAACTAAAGGTAATGCCGACGCATTTCTCTCATGAAGGTATACCAACAGACTCGGATCGGAACGCTCGTGCATTTGTCATGACTGCAACAGGTTCACTGAACGAACCGTGCGTTCTTACTGTGATGACATTGGTCCTCAGTGGGTGGTCCGTCACCTCTTCCAGAGTACCCCGACGCTCCTTGCGCTCCGTCTCATAGTTGATCACTCTGCTCTCCCTAAGGAAGAAGTGCATTAGACGTCAGTTGAATCGTACCAGTACTTTGCAGTAGCTATTCTAGTTGAAAACACATAGTACAGCGAAAGTTTATTTTGTAACAATGCGATCGGCCTCTTCAATACACTTTGTTATGATGTACTGAAGCTCACGGGAAGATAGGGGCTCAGAGTGATGAGAAACCATTGAATGAAAAACGTCGCTGGAGGACACATTTCAACAAGAACGGCTTGCAGCTCTGGTGAATACAAGTTCACTTGTTGAAGCATTGCCCCCAGCGACAGTCCCTATTTTAACAATTTCTCAACCGCTTCACCGTACAGCTCATTTGGCCTTGAGGAATGCACGCTGTAGTGATTGTAATACGGCCTATTGTAAAGAACGCTCCCTTGCACAGTCGGCATTGAAAAAAGGCACGTGTAATGTTTGGAGGCAACCGAGATTATGAGGTTGGCTCAGAAAAGTGTGCTAGTTAACCTTCCATCTATCAATAAAAGAAAGAACTAGAACTTTTAGGATAGATAAATGGCCTTTAAAATGATGTGTGACACAGCCACGAGTGTTGGCATGAACGCGGGTTGTGAGAAGTAGAAGTGTGACGTCCATAAATCCAGTCGTTAGAACCGTGCTTGTCCTTTCTACTTCTTCTACTTGCGTTACATTCCCTGCGCAGTTTTATTCTGCTTTCAGTGTTGTAACAACTAGCCTCCAACGCACTTCACGGAAGTTTGGAGACCACTAGGTCCGAGGAAACGCTCAATTCCTCAGAAATTGGCTGCTGTATACGGTCGAACTGCACAGTACGTGAGGTTATCCACTTTTAAAAACAGGCCATCAACTTAAATGTAAGGCTGCCTGCCGAAGCAGGGACATTATTCAGCTTTTTCTTGCATATCGTAGTCTGTGAAATTTTGCACCGTGTGTACATGCATGTAGTACAAATGTAGAGGCGTTCAACTGTACACTGGACAAAGATTCAAATAGAGCGAAGCCTGGCAGCTAGCTAACTGTATTTAAGAGGTGCCAAATGCCCGCCTATGTTACGAAGTGCATCAAGAAGAAAGGCAGGACAACGGCAGCCTTCAAGAAGACTTGTCGAAACGCCGATCAGTTTCAGCACACACCCTCCGTTTACGGATTTCTCATCGAAGTGCATCAGCGAATGACCAGCGCCTTTTCAGAGAGCCTCCACCTCAAATGAGATTGGCTACGACGAGATTCAGCTTGCGACAATGTATGCAAACAAGCACCAAACATATCTTGATTGTGTGGTCTTGAACTAGATAACAATGCTTGGTTTGGAACAGTCCACACGTGATATATCCTGATACTGACGTGATTGCTAGCTGTTTGTAGGTGCGATCGGACGTTAATGAAACTCCCACTTTGTTTCTAGCTGTGTACCAGAGAGTATCGAATTGGTACCGGTACAAACTAGTAGAAACCAGCTGGGGTAAGTTATATATTCGCACCTGGGCGAATTAAACCATGCGTGAGCAACATCAGTTTCATAGATAGCACGATCGGATTCTCGAAAACATCAAAATCAAACTTGGGAGCAGGGCACAGTGAGTTGAAGGGCAGTACGTCCTCTTGATGTCGTGAAGAGGCGACACCGGGATTTGAGGGCATCAGTGCGCGGCTGAAGGCAACAGGTGGCTCTAAAGAAGATATGTACGCGATGCAGGACGGTAACCAATGGTTACACAAAAGACGCGCCTAAGTTACTGCCGCCGCATCTCAGCTCGGATATTTTGATCACCGGTGTGACACCGATTACGCGATCGAAATGAGGAACTTCGGCAGCTGTACCAAAACATGCAGTGCAGTGACGATAAAGCGGGCCAACTTTGACGAATCAAATAAACACTTACCAATTTACTGTCATAGCCGTGCGAAAAACCGGTGAAGCGCCGCACACATCGGCACTTCAGCAGCGCGGTGCGACTGCGCTGGCAGAGATCGCCCTCGTCAAAAAGAGTGCGCTTTTTCTCGCACGGGAATCGCGCTCACCGCCGAACAGTTTGATCAAAGCCGAGCAGCCCGAGCAAGCGACAAGATCGTAATTCGCATCAAAGGAATTGCAGGCTTCAAACGTAGCACGGAAACAGAAACCACTTGGCACACATACACACCACCCCCCTCAATCGCGCGCGTAAGCGACCGCAGCGCCGCCCGAAGAAACAGAAACCCGCAGAAAACGGGTGTGCTTGTTCAAATCATTGCATAGGTGGCACAACATGCGTAATCTTAGAGTCTATGACTTTGGTGACTAAATCAGATTGTGTGTAAGTAATGTGCGGCTAAATATTCGGTTCAGCTGTCTCCTTAAGCACGTCTGTGCCTTTCTAAAACTGCTCATTTATGTGACTTACGATGTTTCGCCCAATTTGATTTTTTTATGTGCGGTATCTTTGCATGCGTCTTGTGTTGGCTGCCGATTTGGCTCTCACTCGGTGGCAAGCCGCATCTAGCCGGTTTCTGTTTCCATCAGGCGTGCGTGTGTAGAGGCGTGCGTTTGTCAATGCGTTTGTTGCACGTTCGAACCATCTTGGTTGTTGCTGTGCTTCGACTTGTCGCTAGCTCGCTTGTTGCAGTAAACTAAAATTACCTACTACCAAGACCTTCAGGCAGTCTAGTACGGCACCCTGCCTTCTTCGTATCGCACGTTTTTCGGGGCGCGATGTTCGTCATCAGCGAGATGTCGGACAGCATTCGCGTCCCGCCGTGGCTGTTCCGCGTCAGCCCGAACGAAGCCATCGTGGAGCAGCTAAACCGGCGCCTCGCGAACAAGGTATGCTTTACGTAATTATCTGCAGTTATTTTTTTTTTCAAAACAGAGCATGCATTGTCACATGTTCCTCCGTTTCCCGTTTTAGGTTGTCATCAACGTAGGGCTCTGCATCGCGCTCTTCGACATCACGAAAATCGAGGACTCCCGGATCCTTCCAGGCGACGGCTCCTTTCACACAACCGGTGAGCTTGAGGTCTCTGTTGTCATTCCGGCACGTGATACCATCGCGTTGTTGCTGACTGAAGCCGGTACGTGGCCCAATAAACCATTAATTCAGCTTTCGCTCAAGATAACAACCCCACATGGGTTGGCTTGGTTCATCGAGGGACAGCCCTGGTTACGAACCGTTCCAGAAACCCCGGCAAACTAGACGTACCCACAGTACAGTCGGCCGCGGAACAATAAGGACATCGCGAGCTCGTTGCGAAATTGCCGTCTGCGTCCTCTAGTGACAAGCCGTCAGCTGTCGAGAGCGTAGCTCTGTGGGCCCAAAGCGGTGCATGACCTTACCCAGAAATTTTTTACAAGTGGGTGTTGAAGGGCTGTCAACAGGTGGTCATAGGAAAAGAGTGCAAATGTTTTAGTGTCACCCAAAAAGTTGAAGCATAAAAAGAAAAAAAAAAACATGCCCCCCCCCCCCCCCCGCTTAGTTATAGCGCTGCAATGCAGTGCACCCTAAGCAAGGAGTCCAAACATTCGTTCAAAACTATCTCTTTTATTCTTTGAATAATTAAATAGCTTAGTTATCGGATTGTTGAACTATTCACAAGTTAAAACCTCAGCTTTGAAGTCTCGAAAATGCTACTACCTGCTTATGGTCAGATTGATTTCACTTAACTTCATAAGGTCACCCAAAGGATTTCATGTCCCGTCACCCTCATTTCTAGCCTTATGGCTAGTGATTCTCCGCTTTATGAATGACTTTTTGATGGGCAGAGGTTTCCAGATGTTGCCTTTTCCCATTGAGCACGTAATAGCATATACTGTGAAATTCTGAGCAAGTGCCCCCTTTTTAGTAAAAGATAATCCAACTAGATTTGTGGAGGCGTGCTCACTTGTTCGCGGGTTAAACTTCAAGATGGCGAGCGAAGAGCTGCTAAGAATAAAGAACGCAAACCCGTGCCTCTAATGAAATGCTTTATTGAATACGCATGCATTCACTGTTTTTACTTGCTCTTGTCCTGCAAATGAAACAGTGGAAATAGCTAGACGGGAGGAGGGGCGTATATTTCAAATCTCCCAAAAAAGAAAGGGTGCGCTTTCTTGGGATTTAAAGGTAGTTCACTGTATTTATGCTCTACAGTGGCTACACAGTCAATTTGAATTCAGGGCGGTCAAACTTCATGGAGCTACTCAATGACGTGTTCAGCAGCGGCGTTTCTGTGCAGTGCAATTCCGCTATGTGGTCTTCCGGCCCTTCATGGACGAAGTCCTAATCGGCAAGATTCGTAGTAGCAGCCAGGAAGGCATCTACGGTGAGTTGCTTGCGCACTGCGAAGACATTTTGCACTTCACCTTGCCATGTCTTGTCAAGCACCTGAGGTGTAAACTGTTTTTCTTTAGCATACCCACAGGTTCATAAATACAAAACGAACACTTTTTAGTCCTATGATCAAAAATGATTTAACAAAAATTTTAAGCTCTAGCCCACAGAACCTATATGCTCCTGCTTTTCGCCTTTGAAATGCAGTTGTATTAGCTTGCGTCAGTTCAGACTAGAAGTACTTTTCCTCGGCTAATGTAAACACTACACACATAAAGAGTTAAAGGTTCTTCGTACCTGCCTAAAACAATATCTTTGGCTGAGCAGCAAGGTCACAATCCCTGACAAAAGTTACTAGGATGTTCAAGTTTCCGACCTATAACCAAGAACGCAGACGTGTGTTGATATGGGAAAGTCAACCGTTTGAACCGTTTGTGAAGGACCTGGTGTGACGAAAACGAGCAAGCGCTGTTCGACAAAATTCTCGTCTATGTATATCTAGCAAGTAAATCCTATGTAATTCTTACTGATGTTAGCCGTCTGTGATATACCTAATAAATTTTTCTGAATACTAATGCAAATTCCGTCTGTGGGAGAGACAGCGACGTCTGCCGGCAGAGTTGACACTTTTTTTGAAGTTGTAACCAACTGCATGCACATTCTTGACAAGAGCAATCGAGACACTTATATGAGGAGCTTTATTTTATGTGCAAGCCAACCAAATCTATTTCAAGTGGAATTGAGAAGTACGGGGCGCTATTGAAAATGGGGTTGAGCGTGCTTCAAAAACTATTAATCAGAGCGTGCATGTCATCGGAAAACTTCCAGAACACACCCATCAGTTGATCTGATTTGCTCACCTCTGTGCAAACGAGTAAATCATTTGATTTGATACAAAGGAAATTTTTGTTGAGCACGCTAATTAGGAATCGATTCGTTTTGATTTTGAAGGATTTGTTTCGTAACGCCAGAAGCCTTCAGGGCACCTCACTTTCCCATATAATAAAGCCTAATTATGCATCTGGCTGATTTTAAATAAAGACAATGCTCCTCATTACTATCCAGTGTCTCTACTGCGCACGCCTTTAAAACAAGCTGTTATTTACTATGAAGGATTCTGTAAGTCCTGGCTTCATTGTTAACGCGCAAGTGACCTGCGTAATAAACGATTTCGACGATCTCGAGAGTTTCGTTGTAAGTCAGGTATGTGCGAGTGGGGACATTTCATTTCGGATGTAGTAGTGTCCGGAAATATCGAATACAAAAGATTTTATTGAAAATTGGAAGAAAACAAAGAAATGAAATCTGCTCATGCCCTCAAGCACACCGCGCTCAGTGAGTACTACCGAAGCACTGCAAATTTACATGCAGAAACACAAGCTGTTCCGCAGGCTTTAGGCCCTCTCGTCGTGATATTACAGCGTTTCATAAAGTTGAAAACATGTGCTCACTGTGCACCTCAGTTGCAGGGACAAGAAGGTAGTATTGCTAAACAATTTTAGCGATGCCTGAACGAAGTGCAGCTCAATGCTCTTTCTAGTATTTCAAGCGATCCTCCTTTCTAGGGGCTAGAGACTAATTGAAGTATCTTCGAACCGCTAGACTCTAATGTCTGGTTATTTTTTTTGACGCCTTAAGTTTGACCAACTCCCATACTATTCTCAGGCCTTGTTTACCGGTTTCATGATGTGCAGGAATGACAGAACTTTTTAAGTTTTGCCTGAAGGCCTGCTGTAACAACGTTAGAGTTTATTTCAGCCACCGCGTCCTAACCAAGTTGCACCATTGTCCTTTGTCACATTTTAGATATTTGTTCTGTCTTATTACTTGAAATTTTGAATACTAGCTATTGGAAAGCTCAATTCAATTATTTAGTTCAAATTCAAAACTCGAATATTGGCACATCCTTATTGTTAAGGCATTTGGCTACATGTTTAGCGACAACCCTTAGGAGGCATATACAGTCAGTAAACGTTCAAGGAAAAAACACGGTATAAATTGACCGAGCAATGATGAAGCTTTTCTACTCACTTTTTCTTCTTGGTAGATAGACCTATGCCCATTAGCCATGCCCCGCTGACGGAGCTGCGACAATGACTGTCCCCACGTCTGCTTTCTTGCACAGTGTGTTTATGACTACTAGACGTAACTCGAGTGCATTCTACACCACTCACGACTCAAGCAGTAGATTGTCCTTTTACTCGTAGGCATTGCATATAGTTGAATCTCAAAATTGAGTGCCCAGGTGTGCGTGTTCTGTTCTGTTTCTTTGTAGCTGTGTAGTTGGTTGCTGAAACACTGAATCATACAGTGTCAACCTGTCTGAAATGGTGCTTTATAGATGGTCGATCCAGTCCTTTATAAATGGAAAGGAAGCTAATTATGCAGCAATTCTTTTATGCAAGTCGCCATTGCTACTATCGGCACATTGAAGCAGATTGTGCTACCAAGCTAATAACACAATGTTGTAGGACTGAAAGGCGGGTTAGGCAGAACGTATCGTTGGCTGGTTTACAAGCAGACAAAGGCAGAGACAGAGGAACAAGACGGAAACAGCGCTGGTCTAACTACTGAAAGATTTCATTTGAAAACTTCATACATGTTCAGCGAATGTAAACCATGCTCAAGGTTACAACTTATCAATGAAAAGTATCTTCCCTGGTTCCGATGGTGGCACTGACGCCTGACTTACACGATGACTATAGCAGAGGCGTACCACTTTGCCATGTGGTATGCCTCTGCTATCCCACGCGTGCGTTGATTGTGATGGGGCGTTATGATAGATGTTTGTGCAAATGAAATTGGTGCACCCGCATTCGCGAGAATGGCTGGCGAGATGAGAACATGCCCCACCCTTCAAGGAATTGCTATGCTCACGTAGCCTGATATTAACACATCTGGGAGTCTGATATGTAGCATGTAATCAGGAACAATAATGTTGTGGGTCATGTTCGTTAAGACGTGGTCGTCTCGTTGTCAGTGCAGAGGATCTTATCCCACTGCTCAGATAATGACTGCATAGATGTTTTTCCACATTGGCTTGGTATAGCTTTCTGATGTCTTCGCTGGAACTTCCGAATTCTCTAATGCAAGCCCCCCACCCCCCCGCCGTAGGCTTTACTGCAATGCATTCTATCGGTGAAGTGAAAGGTTTTCAAATGTGCATAACTTGTGATGCCTCCCTTCTTTCATTTCAGTGTCCATGGGCTTCTTTGAGGACATCCTCGTCACTCCTGATGGGATGCAGCATCCGGCACGCTTGTATCCTCTTTTGGCGTTTATTCAACAAACATGTGTTAAAGGGCCACTAAAGTCAAATAAAGATTTATGTCAGAGTGAAAGCTCAATGTATGACAACATCTAAAATGACAATATTATCAACAACAGTGCCCTACTTACCGAGAAATTAAGGTAAATGCACAAGAACACAAGTGCCTCAGTAGGACATTTTCAAAATGATCCTGATGACATCGGACAGACCGCCTACAATTAATCGCTTCTAATCAATCTAATTGCACTAAGTAAAGAACCTTACATGCATCAAGAGATGCAATAAAATGCTGCTTGTTGATTTCTGTTCTTTCATGGAAAAAAGAACTGCCGGAATGTTACTATGGGGAATGGTGCGAGTGGTTCAAAAAGTCAACTTTCGCGAGGTTACATGGGACAGGTGGTGCTATCTAGCGGGGCGCAGTTGAAACAAAAATGTCTGCAGTCTCGAAGCCAATGACGGGAAATTGATCAACGGCTGTTGTTGCTGCTGTGGCTCCCACTGCTTTCGGTCTGCTGCTACTAGCGCAGTAAAGCCGGGCAATGCTGTGCACGGCAACAGTGACTAGAGCCGGTCTAGTCAGTGCGCTTCTAGAGGCGGGTAATTTGAAGTGCACTAACCCGATGCGAACCACTAAAGCGTGATTTTATTTCAAAATAGGCCCTTCCTTGGCACAAAAATAACACTACGGGGTTTCTGGACCGCCATTTCAACAATCAACGTCGACTTAATATTTGCCTTTAGTGTCTTTAACTTTCTAACCTTTAACGGCATGTGCAACTAAAGACACGCTTGATTCTCTTTCATGTGGTTTCAATCGAGCACTTGCTTCCAGTTTTCCAGATATTTAGGAAATGTGTTTTAAAAAAATAAAACTGGCATGAAATTAATGGTTAATGTTCACCTTAAGAGTTGTATTGGATATATACGCTATCTAAGCATTAGTTTACTTAAGATATGGGCCAATAAACTTCTTGGATAATTAATGAAGTTTAATCGAATGAGTTAATCGAAAGAGCGGACGCTTTTCTTGTGAGCAGCTAAGATCGTAGCGGCACCTGGCAGAAAAGATCTAAACGACTTGCTTCTTTCTGCATGGCCTCCAAGATTCGCTTACGCAGCTTGAGGAAATGCAAATTTGACCAAAGGAATACACCAGGGCACACGGACGCGGATGTGTGAGTGCTGCCACTAGACACCTAAATGAATTGTGACCTAAATGAATATTTTTAATAATGCCTTCTCAGCCACTGCTTTCTCCTCGAATACCCTTGCTAACGCATGCTGTAACATTCGTATTTCAGATGGAAATGAATCGGTTTTTCAAGCCTGCAAAAAATTTTGGAAGCTCTCTCATTTTTCATGTGCAACATTGAATACTTTTCCATTAATAGCAGTGTCCGGCGACTAAATTTGGGCTTTTTATTCTTGGCCACCTTTATGCGCATCTGATTTGTGCAGGCGTGAATCGAAGGGGCCCCCTGCAAAACTTCTCGAACACAGTCCGAAAGCATTGTGAATCTATAGCCGAGATTTCTGTGAACATGCGAGCCAAGCATCGTTGCATCATGCATGGCCAAAAATTTACTATTCTCACATTGAAGACCTAAGAAAATCATTTCCTTTTGCTTCAACAAATATGCACCCGTCAGGAGTTAGGCGGCTGCATTCAAAATCTCTGATGGTGCATTGGCATTCAGTTGCTGATACAGTCAGACTGTTATATAATGAAAAGTGGTTAATGAGTAACTATCGATTACAACAAAGTGAATTTTAAATGAGCTTGTCTTTAATGAAATGTTGCATATGTGCATTTATAAAGTTACTTTTGTGCCAAATGTGACATTAAGGTGTGTTTTGATGGTTTCAGCACGAAATTGTAGCATGAGACTTTAAGTGCCTTTTCTCTTATAATAATGAACTATGCTCGCAAAGTTAACAGAGATAAAATTCTGTAATAAATTTATTTAGGGTTTCCCTTTTGTGTCTTTTTCAGAATACTGCTCAGAACACAATGTGTATCTTGTTGTAGGGGCCACTTTCTTTTTATAGCCCACATACGGTAACTGTCGTTTAGATTGGTGTCTCCTGACATGCAAAGCACAGATGACGATCCTTGACTGGTGGCAACCAGCGACGAGAAAGAGCAGCTCTGGGTATGGCTCTACGAATCCGAGGGCAAAGTGAACGACTTGTACATGGACCTCGGCGAGGAGATACGGTCAGTTGGAAACCGGAAGGCCTTCCGTACCTCTCTCCTCTTTCGGGTTCCACAGTTGGATGCCGGACTTTCACTGCTGGTGTGAGAAGCACCTGCTTCAGGACAGTTGCCCCTTTAGTCATATAAGAGGCGGGCTCAAAGACCACCCCATACATTAACATTTCAGAAAGGGGGGCACTGTGACATGGGGAAGGGGCGATAGCAAAGTCAGCCCCATACATTGACATAATAAACAGGGGAGGGGGGGCACTGTAACTGACCTTTCTTTGCCTCCCCATGAGGGGAACCCCGCTCATGCCTATGGTTGCAAGTCTGTACATACTAACTACCTGAAAGGCTTATTGTGCTGTGGGCCCCGGCTGCCACTGCAGCTTTTGTGGATGAGGGCAACATTCTCTACAAAGCCGTCGAGTTTCAGTGCCGTGTACCTTGGATAGATAAGAATGCTGCATTTTGAACAGTGCGTATGGGCAGGAACTCTGCGTACGGGCCCTGGGTAATATGTGGAGTTCTTATGTGTGCAGCGTCGATGCTTACTACTTACTGCTCTGCGGTGAAACCACAAATGCTGCCTACATGTCCTCACTGCAAAAAAATGTGTGCCAGATAGAGGCTTGAAGGTACAAAAGACCCTCAAACGACGGGTGTTGCTGGAGCTAGCATTTCGACAAGCGCTTTCGTCTTCTGTTGCTTCCTTAAAGAAGGCAAGGCTGCCTCTCAAAACGTTGGCTTCTGCGACACCTCCCCTGTACAAGAATTTTTCATATCTTATTTATTTGCATTAGTGATCAGCTCAAGCTCTTTTTTCTCAGTAGTTCATTGCTATTTCTATTTTGGTGCAATGGAAGTCAAGAGCTTGAAATTGGGTTTGCTTTTTACATCTGTCATGTTGTTTTGTCCATACATTCTGTTGCACCAGTGAGAAATATTGTAAGCAATGCGCAACGATTTTCATTATCATCCGGGCCAATCATTATGTCCACCATCACCATTGCATCATAAGAGGGGGGGGGGGGGCACTTATGTCTAGAATGCGGTTGCCTAGTAAGGTTTTTACTACACTCAAACCTGATTTTTTAACGTGAAAATGTTTTATGCCGGGTTCCACCACAGTTCCACTATGGCAATACGGAAGTTCCACCACGGCAACACGGAAGTGACGTTGCAAAATGTATTCTAAGAAATTGCAAAGAAAAAAAACCAGAAGGCAAGTGTCCGTTGCGCAGAATTAAACCCGCAACCTCTTGATTTTCATCGCGCGGCGCTAACCACTATGCCACAGAGCGTACGTTGTCCGAAATGCTAGCATCACCGCGGTGGTCTAGTGGCTAAGGTACTCTGCTGCTGACCCGCAGGTCACGGGTTCGAATCCCGGCTGCAGCAGCTGCATCTCCGATGGAGGTGGAAATGTTGTAGGCCCGTGTGCTCAGATTTGGGTGCAGGTTAAAGAACCCCAGGTGGTCGAAATTTCCGGAGCCCTCCACTACGGCGTCTCTCATAATCATATGGTGGTTTTGGGACATTAAACCCCACATATCAATCATGTCCAAAATGCTAATGGCAAGACATTTATATACACTGCGCACTGTTTGGCAGTCCTCAGAGCTTCGAAACTATAGCGGGATTTGGTTATCAGTGGCGACATGGCGCAACGGTCTCGCATTGGGTGCGCTTTAAGGTCGTCACCTCCAAGAAGCGCCGCCTCCGCGGAACGTGGTCTCTCCTGCGTGCGCGCTTGTCAGACTCATTATTTGGGAGAGGACGAAGGTCACTTCGCACGCTGACGTGACAGCATCTACGAAAGGAGCGCGGTGTTGACACACGACGCAAGAAGAATACAGACAGCTGTTCGTGCTTGTCCTGTGTATGATTGTACGCTCGTTTAGTGTGTCTTTCTGTTTGAACAGCGCGCTTTGTCGAGCTGTGACAGCTGTTCTGTGTATGCTGATTTCGTGCGTGCTTTCTGCTTGAGGTGTGCGCAGCAAGTTTCAAGCTGCCTGCCGTTCCTAACGTGACTTTGCAATTTATTCCTGTTGCTGAAACAACGCACAGTGAAGGCTCAACTCCCTCTGTGAAGACACGTTTCACTTTCGTGTTATACCGATTCCTATACATAGGGATCAGCGACATATTTTTTTTAAATGAAGTTGTATCGTACATGAAAATAGGTTTGTATCTAAAAATTTTTTATGAAGATATATTCATAGCACTACACTTATTGCAAGAGTATTCTTCATTTACTTTGTTATAATCGACATTACAGTGTATCCGGGTTCGTGATATTGATGTCTGAGTATACATGTATCACCTCCTAAAGTGACATGCCATGATGGAGACAAACGTAAAATTGAGGCTGATAAACACCTGGCATGTGACATCCACAGGCAATGTACTTCGAAGGCCAGAGCAAGCATTTATGCACCGCCAGATGCGTAAACTTAGTGTAAGTGGCATGACAGAACGGTACATGAAGATGGCAAAGATGAGCCACTGGCCACCTTAAGGAAGGCTACATTGAGACAAGTGTGTTGCTAGCATTTTTGCCGGCAACGCACTTGAACAACATTTGATACCTTGCGTGTGCATTTATGTCTGGCAATTCTTTGGGGGCGCACAATATGAGATGCCATGTGTACAGGAAAACTTTTTTTTTTCTTTTTCTTTCATCAAGTGGCATTGTATCGTTTTGTGCTTCACACCCACTGCTGAAGAAGATGCAGTCTCCAAGGCGAATATTGCCCAACCGAGTCCTTTGATACAATTTGCAGATTTTATTCTGCTATCAATATGTGCGCATGAAGCAAGGCGAGTCTTCACCATTTTCGTCTTCGTCTTCACATGCTGCATGCATTTCTCGATCACGCTATAGGTATTGGTTGCATCTCTATTCCTCTAACAACCCTACTATGGTTAACAGTATGAATAAACAAACAAAACGAAAATGCAAAGGCCGCGATTCTATCTTACTGAGCAGCATTGACTATGTCCAAATGTTTCGCACATGCCGAGCGGTGGAATCCACTTCATTGAAACTGCAAGCCTTTTTAATTTCTTCTTTTTTTATGAGACCGTACTGTAAACACAGTACTGTTCACTACTGGAAAATGATGCAATAGCGTCGAATTAGTTGGGGGTCAAAAGAATCGCTGAAGTATGCTGTCTTCTTTGAGGCATTAAGCTTCGTTAGTGCTCGCAGCATGCAGAAGACACGCATAGCAAATTGTGTCACCGTGATACTAATTTATGCCATCTGCTTTTTCTTCTCGCCTTTGCGTGTCATTTTGTTGCATGGCCGACCACAGCTTTAGGGTGGTGGGCGAGGTGTTCGTGGACACTACGCCCGGAGGCCCCGAGACAACCGAGCTGCCGGACGCCGAAGAGCGCCACGTACCTTACTCACTCACGGTCAGTATAGCTGTTTGTGGTGAAAGTGCAGTACATAGCTGGTAAAAGTAGCCCACATTAGATTTTGAGATGTGACAAGAATGAGAACACATGGGACAGACACACCCCCAACAATGGACATTGGTAATGACTTGTCTGGGGTTGGGGGGGGGGGGGGGGGGGGTTGAACCCATGACATCCACATTGCAGATAAGCTATTGCAGAGCTATCCTGTGCGACCATTTTATTCGTTATTTCTTTCTTTCTCTTTGAAGACTCAAACTTCAGGTATCATTGTGTGCATGTCAGCTCCTTCTCATTTGAGGGTGAGTAAACCAGCTGGAGTGCATGAAAATGGTGTCAAGTTGCTGCTGCCATGACCTGCAAAATGTTAGCACTTCTCTTCTGCTCAAGATTTTCAATCCCCTCGCTATCCTTTTTCTATTTTTTTAGATATTTAGTTAGACTCGGCATCATAAGGTGGTGCCGCTGTTAGCCTCTCTTGTATTCTGCAAGTTAGAACGGATACTGAAGTTAAGCAAGGAATCTGTTTAGGCTGATAAGTCATACTCTGAAAACTCCAGCGACATTATTTCACCATCGCGTTTTATCGATAAAGGAGAAAATCAAGGTCATTAGTTTCACTCTTGAATTGTGCCATGCGATCTCCGCGTGTAATATCACGGATTTCGAAGTGTATCATTTGTGTTTTGGCGATGATGGCTATACGAAATTTACTCAAACACGACATATAACATCTCTGGCTCATTCATAGGACCCTGTACTTCATTTTTTTCCCAATCAGGAATGACTCACGTTCTAGGCAACACCATAAAAAATCTATGACATCGCAATAATTGGTGCAAAAACATCAGAGTGGCATCACCGTCTGCATTTTTTTTTCGGCACGATTTCTCGCTTAGTTAGCATCTTCACACAAGCTTGGTGATTTTGGTATATGCGAAAAAGTAAATTTCTAAGACGAGAAAAATTGTTTTTCACTTTGGTGCCCCTTTACAACTCGCCATTGTCGAGCATCTAACACACTGCCTTATTCTAAATTTGTCGCCGTTGTTCGCAGGCCTCCATCAGCGAGCCCGGCCTGGGCCTGCTCAAGTGGTGGTCATAGGAAAGGCAGCCGGCAGCAGAGTACTTTATTTAATTTTTTTTTTCATCTTCTTTAATAATACTGGGAAGACTTGCTTTGCCGGGGCAAGGCAGGGCTACTTCTTCTGTGCGAGGAGCAAAGACAGGAAAGAAAAAGAGAAGGCATCATTATGATCTGTACATGGATGCATGCGCCTGGCACGTGCACGCACACAACACAGACATGGGCACGCACATCATACAAGCGGCTCAGTGGCTGGCACAGCTCTGCAGTGTGGCGTTTGCCACGTGCCTCTTCTTCACCTTCACAATCAACGACGTGACAACAACAAAAAAAAAGACAGCCTGACAATGTGCATGCAAAATACAACTAACTTTTACAACATCACGTCGGCACTTGCATTGTGTTTTCTTTTTTTCTTGGTGTTGTGCGATCGAGCTGCTCCGGCAGCTGTCGTCGTTCAAGAGTGTCGCTTTGCTCTCCTCTTTCACAAGGCAACATGTCGGATGGGCGGGCAGTCTCTGAGGCGATCTGCCACACGCAAACACGCGAGTGTGCGTGTGCTGAAGGCCGTTGTGAGCATTGGCGGCGTCTCGGCGGCGCCTCTACATGTACGTCTACCCTACGTCTTGGGACGTCCATATTTCATCGCTTTACTAGCACGCTCTACATGCAATCCCCCGCTGCGTCCACTCGTTCACCAACCGCTGGATAGGTCGCCGAAATGGTCATCTCAAGGGTAGTGTGCGTTGCTGAACCGCAAGGGCATTGCTCAGCAGAGCGACATCCCTCAGCAGGCGGTGCAGAATTGACAGCTAGTTCAACTAGACGCTGGTGGAGCTGGGAGCGTTTACGATTGAGCTCTCAGACCAGTGAAATCCACTTCCTGGCCAAGGAGCGAAGGGGCATCAGAGAATCACGAGCAAACACCATTCTGGCCTTGTGTTGGCTTCGTCTTCGTGTCTGAAGCAAGACTGCAGGTGCTGAATAAATAGCAGGCGACGGCGGCAAGCTTTGAAGCTACGGTTTAAAGATAAGTCTTGTTGACAAGATAGGGAGGGGGGAGGACTCTTGGAGATGGGTTTGTGGTTGCCATGGAACATGAGGGTGGAGAGGAAGAGTGTTGTCACAACCGTTGGTGTTTCACTTCTTATTGCTGGTCGTCATTTGCCGCCGTATCTGGTAGTGCTTCGAGACGAAGAACGGAGGGAGGAAGGCGACTTAGTCGATGACGAGGCAGTGTGGCAGCTGTTCGTGCAGGAAGGCCAGCAGCCCGGCAGTGGCGCCAGGGCAGTTGGTGAGCTCGAGCTCCTGGAGCTGTCGCAGCTGTGAAAGCGCGGTCAGGGCCTGGGTCGTGATGTGCGGGCAGCCTGCATTGAGAAAGAGAGTCTAATTATGAAATGGAAGCGCACAACGTAGAAGCAGACGGAAAGACAGGGACATCCGTCTGCTTCTACGTTGTGCGCTTCCATTTCATAATTAGTCATGTATCACCAACTCGCCCAATCAACCATTTTGAGAAAGAGAGGTCAGGGTGAGAAGGGATTATATGTCACTCTGGTGGTGTAAAATACACTCGGTTGCAACAAAGTCATTAATGTCCCTCCCACAGAAAATTTGCATGATTGCTCCATCCAACAGTGCTCGCTCATTTTTGTGATGTCAGGCACGTCTTGAGGGTTTCAGATACTTGACTTTTCTACTCAGACACACGTTTGTGTCATCAGTTTGAAGGAGGAAACTAGAATGTCCTGGTAAATTTCATCAGAGTTTCTGAAATGGCTGCCCAGCTAAGCCTAATGTTTTACATTGTAACAAAGAACCTTTAATTTGTTATGTGCAGAGTATTTTCATTAGCTGAAAAATGGTACTTTCGGTTCAAGCGAAAACCAGCTATCGCGACTTTTTTAACATGAAAGTGTTTTATGCCGGGGTCTACCACGGCTTCGCTGAGGTATTTCTGTCATGGGTATGACGTAAAAATGTACTAACATATTGCAAAGAAATAAACGAGGCTACATTCTGTTGCGCGGAGTCGAACAAGCAACCTTTCGATTAACAGTGCGAGGCTCTAACTACTATGCTACAAAACGTACGTTGTCGAGGGCGCGAATGGCAAGCCATTTATATAGTATACCATACACTGTTTGGAGCTCCTTATGTCGCGGATTCTTATGTCCCGTGTCGTAGTAGTAGCCAATTGCATTTCATGTCAGTAAAAACGGTGCCACAGCATATTCACGGAGTGAATGATGATGAGTGGGGCAAAGCGTTCGTTCGTGCTTTGCCTCACTCGTCATCATTCACCTCGTGGATATGCTGCGATTTTTTTTTTCCTTCGAATACACGGCTATATCAATGTGATAGCATGCACACGCGTGGACAAGTCGTGGCCTCTCGCGGCGATCCCTGTAACGACCGAGCGCGTCATGTTCAAATCAGGCAATGGCTGGTCGATGGCCTTCTTGTTATATTTTTTTATTTGATCTTCGTGTCCCCTCATTCAAAATAAGAATGAAGTTTGTGTATTTGTTCCACTTGAGCTGAGCAAATGTGTGGGTCGAGGGACCTCAGTCAGGCAGAGGTAATCGGCCTTTAGTTCTTTCAACCTTGGCGAATCTTTGTTTTTGTCTAAATAAACAGTGAATTAGTGAATTCTACGGGTGATTTTTGAGCTTTCTCTGTCATTTGTCGAGAGAGGAAAAAGCAATTTTTAACTGACTTTGATAGTTTATTGTGAATTCTAGGCCGGCTTGGTGCTCTATAATATTTGGCTCGCGTGTTTTAGGGAGCCTCTGCCGATTGGCTGCTTATTTTTAACCATGCTCAAAAAGTGTTGCAGGGGGGCCCCTTTAAGTGTTGAGCTGTGACAGAATTGTTAGTCCGCGCTCGTCCTGTCTATGCTAATTTCGTGCGAGCTTTCTGCTTAAAGTGTGCGCTGCAAGTTTTAAGCTGCTTGCCGTTCTCCACGTGACTGTAATTTGTTGCTGAAACAATGCACAATGAGCGCTCAATCACGGTTGTGAAGACATGTTTCATTTTCATGCTGTACCGATTTCTGGATAGGGGGGGATCCAGTCACTTTTTTTTTTTCGATGGCAAAGTGAGGGCGTGCCACGGTACTGTGGACGAACCTGACATTTCTGCTTAGATTGTAACTGAGAGTAGCTGGTCTCTTAGAGTTTTTAAATGTGAATCATGTGTTGGTGGGGTCTCTGCATCTTGTAACCAGTTTCTTTACCTCGTTTGTGATACCTCCTGCAGCAGGCTGTATAAATTCGTCCGCAGTGTATTTCGTGAACTACCATTAGCTGACTCTGGCTTCGCTGTAGTAAATGTGAATCGTTTAGCCGTCATCCTTCTTCATGCGAGGTGTTTTCATGCAGGACATATAGAGTTCCCAGCCCAACTGTGGCATATTCGAGGAATGGGCAGGTTGAAAGACTTAATCGCTGTTTACCGGTTTCACGGATTGCAGGCTTGTACCGTGCCGTCGGGAGCCGCGTGTGACATGCCCCACGTCCACCGTGTTTCTGCGCTCTCTCTTAACGATGAAGCTGTTGAAGCTTGAAGACGTTCGTCGGTCCGCTAGAAACCCTCCACGCCATTGCCTAGCAACAACCAAGACACAGCTGTGCACCACCTTGGTTTACCCTCGCCTAGCCGTGCATGCTCCGAGGGAGCAGCTAACGCCACGCCAAACCCACCGACGGAGACGTGCACGCCGAGTTTGCCCAGGGGAAGTGGTTATAAGAGGAAAAAGAAGAGAAAAGTGAGCCCCATAACTGTCTGCATCAGGGTGCGACACCTCAACAGTAGCTCACAGGGATGGGGGTGAGGAGGGATTAAAAGGATAAGATTAAAGGTATATATATATAGAGAGAGAGATGCGCTGGGACAGCGAGCGAGGACATATGAGGATAGGAGAGATAGGAAAGATGGAAACACGGTCACAGAAGTTCGAGGACGGGGCACCACTTGCGAGAGCTCTTGTTGGCGTCAGGAGATAGCATAGGGCAAGTGCAATAGGTCAGAGCTATGCTGTCATCAGAGATCAGCGTCAGAAGATGACGTAGAGCCAGCCCAGTCGGCCAGAGCTACGCTGAAGTCGGAGATCGCGAGGGCTCAACCGGTCGGCACGGAATCCAGCGAGCGAGTCACCCCAAGTTTGCTCAGCGTGGTGCGAGAGTACACCTTCGCTTCTCTCGGGGATCAAGTGACACGAGACCTAGCGAGTCCGAAGGGCGACTGCTGATAGTAAGTATATAGGTGTTCTGTGATAGTAGCGCCAGCACGATCTCCGGGTCACGAGTCGCCGTCGTAGGTATCGCGCCACCACCTGTTATATGAGAGGGCGGGGAGCACTAGCGGTGGTTTCGTCATTCTGTAGGTCCACACACTTGCCGCACGCGCAAAAGAACCCGCTGCACGTCCTCACCGTGTTCCAGATCCGTTCTGAAGTGATATTATGAAGGCTTCGCCTGCGAGCGATTTGAAAGAGAAAGCAGCACGCACCAGCGAGATACTTACCATATATTCGGTGCAAAATAACAAAAACGTCGACCAAGGTGAACTACACAAAACTTAAAAAGACGTTTCGGCTCCCCACACGGGAGCCTTGTTTACAGTGTGAACAAGGCTCCCGTGTGGGGAGCCGAAACGTTTTTTTAAATTTTGTGTATTTTCACCTTGGTCGGCGTTTTTGTTATTTTGCACTATGTTTGTCCCCGACCAGAAGGGATTCCGTCGGACTTTTGACTATATTACCGTATATTCGTTTTGCTATATGCATAGGCATTTTACGTTTTCGCTCGTGTGACAGTGTACATCTTTCGTGCACCTCAAATGCAAGATGACGTCTGCGTCTCGAGGCGAGCGTTCGTCGCTGTCTGGCTATTCAGTCGCAAGCATGAGGTACTTGTGACGAATTTCTCCCTTAATTAAACATCTAGTCCGAGCAGGCAACGCGGTACGCAATGTTACGCCGCGAGGCATCCACTTTCCACAGCGCTATAAAACGCTCCCCAGACCGTATTACTTCTCGTACGAAAGCCTCCACTGTAAATTTAGAAGTGTGGCGGTTTGGGCTAGTTGGTATGGCATGACGGTATTTATAGCGCGAGAACAGAACGACGACGAAGGGGTACAAGAAATTAGTTGTTCACGTCTTCTTGTCCCCTTGTCGTTCACGTCTCCTTTTTGTCCCTTAGTCATCGTTCACGTCTCCTTCTTGTCTCTTAGTTGTCGTTCACGTCTCCCTTTTGCCCCTTAGTCGTCGTCCACGTCTCCTTCTTGTGCCTTAGTCGTCGTTCACATCTCCTTGTCCCCTTGTCGTCGTTCATGTCTCCTTCTCTTCTCTTTGTCGTCGTTTTGTTCTCGCGCTATAACTACTGTTCCACTGTATTGTCTGTATAGTCTTAAGCACGTGGCTCAAAGACCTCTCGCTAGCGGCACGGCTCAATTATGTGTTCTCTTTGTCCCATATTTTAATACGATAGCGTTATGACAAAAGTATCCTGTGTCAGACTTGTGGGGACAAAACCATGTCAGGCGGATGTTCTACCACACAGCCACGCCTCTGCTTGTGAAAACAGTGAAAAGAACTTCCTCTGTTTGGAAATGCAGTGAAAGTAGCTTTCACATTTTACAAACACACGCGTCCTATTATACATGCTTCACAATGCAACACGACATATTGTAGTAATAAGGCATGGTACAAGCGCCTATTGACAGCGGGCGTCAGGACATGTGATTATCATAATGGCTTCGTGGTTTAAAGCCCGTCACCCACTACAAAAGGTTTCATGCGCTAAGTGTTCAACCACGCAGAATGCACAGGATATTGCTGTCGCGTTCAACTCCTAAAACGAAGCTTTAGGGTCCCCCCATTTTTTTTTTCTCCCTTTGTAAGTATATATGCTTACAAGCTGTACAAGTACGACTGGTCTGAATATTTACTTTTATTTATTTTTTTCTCAGTCGCCCCTTGCTTTCACTGTGTGTTGATACCTAACCGTAAAACGAGGCTCCATACTTCATATTTAGCGTCCAGACTTTGGACACGCGTATCGATATGTTGTTCGAAGCCTCGTGCCAAATGCCCCCCAGAAATGACCTATAGATATCAGGTATATCGCAATGGCCTGCTTTCAAGTGACAACTTTGTCTGGCACTGTGTACAAACATGTACCCCCGCGCCCTTGCGGGAATAACTTCCTGATTGCGGCCCTCTGGCTCAGGTGAGTTTTGGAGCGCTGGTGGGGTAGCTACGTGCCATTTGCGCCGCTCTTGTAACTTTAACTTAAGTGTTAATTGTATCTGTATTATCATCGCTGAAGATGGCCTACGCCGTTCAAAGGTAGCCAGGGATTTGGACTGGCGAGTTCTAGAAAAAGTATATGAGCCTGCATGGCCAGTGCACGAAGAAAAATGACGCGGAGGTCAAAAGACTTCAAACTTGCGCTCAGCTACTGCTGTAGTTGGCGTGGAACATTTAAAAAAAACTCAACTATAGCTTTTACCAAAACTTCTTTAAAAAAACGGAACTTTGGTATTTGCTAGCACTTGTAGTAACAAAGTTGTCATAGAGAGTTCTTACGTAATACAGTTCGCGAGTCTAAGCTCGTCCAGAGTGCAGATCACTTCGTTGTCGTATCAAGATGAACGGTGCGAAAAATTTGGTTGTATTGCTAAGCGCTTAGACAAACTGAGAAAGCCGTTTCAGGGACCCGCAAAGCGCCTCGCCACGATCGACCTGTACAATGGGCGACCGCGTACGTATCAGGTATAGGCTGACGGTGGATCGCCTCTTACCGGCCAGCGACAGTATCCGCAGGCTCTTCATTGTGCACAGATGTTCCACGCCGTAATCCCGTATCTGCGTACACCAGCGCAGGTAGAGAACCGACAGGTTCGGGATCGTGGACAAGTAGCCCAGACCGACGTCCGTGATCTGCATGCACCTGGAAAAAGGCGAAGCGATATTGCCACACGCGTTATTTTGACGTGCTCAGTTTAAGCCCTCAAAGACTGCGAGCGATTCTTGGCGCAAATGGCGCCTCAGAGTTCGAGAAGCTTCATATTTGTAATTGATTATTTTGTTAAGATTGCGCGCAGGACGCGAACACTCAAGATTATTCCAGAGTTCGCACGACCAGCAGTGACAAGACTGGAAAGCTCGGTGCCTGATGTGTAAAAGGCGGCGCGTCCCAACCTGTGTCCCAACGATGATCAATTGATCGACTGCCGACGCTTTGTTCGCCACTGCCAGTGTGTATCGCTGTAAACTGACTTTCCATTTAACGGCCACATGTTTGGCCAAACGACATTTCATCTTGGACGTCATTCTGCTCCCTTCGTCCACGTCACGGCCTTGTGACAATATAAGGTATACAGTGAGATGCTGCGGCTGCACATGGAGACATTCTGTATACGCTTGGTCGTGCGGGTCACTTCGCTATGAAACTCTCGCACTTTGGCATATTCACGATATTGTCTCCTACCCTTATTCCTAAATCATTATGCTGTTGTGATACACCCACAAAAATTGTTAGCCCTGCTCGGTGCAGGCAGGGCTCCATTGTTCAGGGGGTTCGCGAATGTTTCGCAAGAATTTCTAGTTCGTAATAGTTTGTGTTCTGCGTACTTGATAGTCACAGCAAGTCTCGTGGCAATATAGCCGAGACGTAAGGAATCCTTCGTTATACGCGCTGCTTCGTCGTAAAGGCGTTCGAGTGTAATATTCGTCAGATGTGTGTGTCACATGCAAATGATGTACCCAGCGCTTGGCGGAACGGTTATGTAAATGCAACATGTCGTACCCACTATTATATGTCCATCTTAAGGATATGAGGGTACAGGCCGACAGCTGATGCTGTACAAAAGCTGAAGAGGGTCGCTTGCAGATCTGCTACAAGCGTTAAACTTGCTGCCATTGGCTGATCAATGGAATCATGCACTGGCTTAGAAACAGTCATGACATGGCTACTTAGCAGTGGCCTCATGAAGCAATTCCGCGTGTTACTTTTAAAGAAAACGAAAAAGCACGGCATTGTGCATGAGCATGCAAAAATGATAAAGAGCTGCCATGCCATAGCATATACAGTCGATGCACATCATTACCCTTGTAGCATGAGCATGCGAATAGGAGTCAATGACTTGTACTGGGGTAGTTCAGGTATAAAGCGCGCGTGCGGAATGAAACGAACATGAAATGAATTGGTCGGGCCGTGGGTGAGGGGGATGCCAAGGACCGGAAAAGATGTCCACTAAAACTTCATCCCACCACCCCATCTCCGGGTAATCACAAGAATATGAGGCTCAGTTCCTTCACCGTTGGCGAATGCACACTTAGGTCGTGTGACTGACAACCAAACATCAATTCAATGTAACCGTTGTTCACGTGGGTAACTCACATCCAAGTATCGGGCCGTTCACGTCGGCCCGTATTCCCAAAGCCCTCGTGAGACTGCATGCTGTCCTGTCCTGGTGCATATGACTACGTAAAGTTCGTGACTGTAGGCCGTACCTCGTGCAACTTAGAAATGTATGGTAGCGGACGATCGACCCAAGAGACACGCCTTTCAAACAAGCTGGTGATTCGGCCACACGACCTTCGACAGCCTCTGGGCCCAAACAGCGAAGAAAACGAGTTGCGGAGGGACACGTACCGGTCCAGTGTGAGCTGTTGCAGCTGCGTCATGTCACACGCGATGAACTCGAGGCTGGCGTCGGTGATGCGCGGGCACCAGGACAGGTCAAGTACACGCAGCTGCCGCATGTTCTCGGCCAGGAGCTCGACGCCGTCATCGCTGATCTTGGTGCACCCCGACAGGGACAGCTCCCGCAGCTGGGGCACCGCCTGGACCAGCTGCACCAGACCCTGGTTGGTGAGCTCCCAGCAGGAGCGCAGCCGCAGAATCACGAGCTGAGACTGCGGGTGATGCTGCTGGTGGTGGTGCGAACCGCCGCCGAGACCTCCGAGGTGGGCCAGCGAGGCGTCGGTCACGTGGTACGCCTGCAGGTTCAGCTCGCGCAGCGCGGGAAGCAGCTGCGCGACGGCGGCCAGCGTCTCGTCGGCCACGTTGATGCAGTCGGCGAGCGTGAGCGAGGTGACGGTGGGTCTGAGCGCGGCCCACAGTCCGGCGTCGGTCAGCTCGTTGCAGCCGAACAGCTCGAGCGAGGAGACCCGAGGCGCGGCCGCCAGGAGAGACTCGAGCCCGCGGTCCGAGACGCTCGAGCATCGTAGTGCCACGATCCGCGCGCGGCTCAGCAGCGCGGCGCCCAGGGACACGATGTCGGCGAGGTCGTCGTCCGTGGCGCCGACGAGGACGATGGCGTCCAAGCCGCGTCGCTCCAGGGACTCGAGAATTCGGCGCCGGACGTCGGCCGTCTCGAGGCGCAGCTCCCGGCAGCGCAGCGAGGCCGCCATGTCTCGCCAGTGGCGCGGGTCGTACGCGGCGTCCCGCCAGGCGCGACACACGGAGGCGAGGGGCAGCCGCTCGCGACCGCGAAAGTGCGAGAACAGCCGCGACAGGAACTCCGGGTCGCTCAGCATCTCGGCCGCATCGCGAGGTCGCGACGCCGCAGCGACGATCGCGCTGTTGGACGACGCTACGGCCGGGTCGCGCGCCGTAACGGCGGCTGTGGCGGTCGCGTTGGCTGTTGCGGGGCCGACGCCGCCGCGACCTGTCGGTGCCGCCGCTGCATTTCCCGTTGCTCCGCGACCGCGTCTCGCGTTGTTTCCGCCGGCGCTGTTCGCTGTCGCCGGCGACTCGTGCTGAAGTCCGCCCTTGGCCCGGACGGCGAGCCCGTTGAAGCAGCGGCTCAGCTCGGCCGCTGCTCGCTTCGTGAAGCTCACCTCGGCCATCGCGGCCAACGGAAGGGGGGACTGTGCGGTGCGCGCTCTACGCCATGGCGCCGCCGAAAACGCCGCGCATCGATCCCCTGGTGCGCGTGACGTCACGCGGGGGAAAAGGGAGCAGCGGGATAGGGAGGCGAGTGCGTGAGAGACGCTTCCCTAATTTGCTCCCTTTCTGCATCCCCAGCACCCCAAGGTTGCGCGTGGGTGGGTGTGTGGAGGAGGAGTCGCACAGCGGTGTTGGCAGACGGGCTGTCGCGCAGGTCGTGATCGGGCGCTAGGAGCCCGTGGCTCAATGGAAATTCTGACGCTGACGCACAGCGTCGGTACCATGCGCCACCTCTCTCGCTCGCACTCTTTCCGTTTTTGTTTTCGTTTTTTTTTTTTTCGCTTATGGCTATAATGCTGTCGGACGGCAAGCCTATCAATCCCGTTGGGACGCGTCGTCCGCGCGTTCCGGATTACGCACGTTCGTGACATTCTCTGGTCGCTGTGAAGAGGATATGCCTCTCCGAGTCGCCGGACGCTGCACAGGGTATAGCGTTAGACAGAGAGAAGGAAAGAGGTCGCATAGATATATAGTTGCATCTTTCCACGCCGAGCACGGTACGGAGAAGCATGGCGATAGAAGGCAAGAGGTGTCCCCGGACGCGCTGTACCGCATATTTTAACGACATACATTTCGAGCTTGCACGCGGCGACGTGTTAGGTAAGCCCGATGAACAAGTAAGGCGTACCAAGAGAGAAGTATCAGAAAAGCTGTTTTGGGGAGCCGAATGAAGCGACGTGACTGCATGGCAAAGTGTTGCGATTCTACCCGAACAAGAGTTCTTTTCTTGTTTGTTCTTTCCTGTGCGTGTGTGTTTTTGTGAGGAAGTCTCAAGCTACTTTTGCGTATTATTTTATTTATTTCACTTTTTTGCAAGATTACGCAAGGTCATTACTTAAGGACAAACATGAATACGCGCGAGGCCCAGGGTAATTTATCGGTCTTCAGACACAAGGACATACACTTACAACAGTGCAAGATTATTGACAGTTATAACATTGTAGAATGCATAATAAACATTACAAGAACTCGAGATAGAACTAGAAAAAAGAATAGAGATCGTGAGGTTTTTCTTGCCCGTATACGATCGCGCCGTATTTGTGAGCTACATCGATTTTTTTTTTTTAACGCTGGAAAGAGAATTCGCATTCGCGGTGGCCTTCCTTGTGAAATAAGTGGGTAAACCGTGCCTTCGAATGTAGCTTCACCGCATTGTAAGACGTAGGGAGGAAAAGCCAGCTTTTGATAATCCTAGGGTATCGAACGTTTTGCAAACCGATCTGCTACTTTCTCGTGGGGATTTATTTGGCGTAGCCTCGCTGCTCAAAACGTTGCTTAATTGGCCTTGCCTAAATAAAAGAAAGTCTCAAACTATATTTTTTTCTGTAGAATAGAAAAAAATATATAGAAAATAGAAAGTAGAAAAATAGCGTGACTAGCTCCACGCGGTAGTCAGAACGTCGCGCTGTCATCCTAGGTGCGTCAGTATGTTATCAATCATTCACTCAATCAATCATTTATTTATTGTGCCCTTGAACAACCATGAGGTCTTATTCCAAGTGCACGCAAGACTAAAAAAATACAAGTAAACAATAAAACAACACAAATCAAGAATACAATTCAGATACTCTTCAGAAAAATCAAATAGAAAGTGAAAATACACAAAAAAAAGAGATCAGCGATAAATGGGAAGAATAAAAGGACAAGACGAGAATCATAGAAAGGAAGTGAAAAATAAAGGGATTATACAGAAAAACTTTGTAGAAACCTTCTTGAAAGACGGAAAAGGGAAGAATCTGTACATTGTGAAAAACTATGTTAGGACAGTGCACAGCTGAGACAAAAACGGCAGTGGACTGTGAAAAACATCCAGGTAATGAAAGTTAACATTATATAGACTTCGCATTCTGTGAGTGTTGAATGAAGTTGGCAGGTACATGAAATGGTCGATTCTCTATGGTTGACTTGCCCGGAATCCGAAAATTTAAACAACTGAGAAGTTAAGGAAAGAATAACATACCATGAACTAGTTTGTAAAGAATAGTAGGTCATCACGATTTCGTCGGCAGTGAAGTGATGGCAATGATAATAGTCTGCCAGTGTTAGAACGAGATCCAGAGTCATTTATAGCGAAACGATGATTGTAAATGCTTGTGATGTTTTTCTCTACTCGCTCAGTGGCGTCACTGCCAGATTTAGCAATGCCATTCCAGCAGATCACAGATGCATACTCAGGTTGAGGAATACGTATGGTGCTGCACAATTTGTGAAAGGCTACAGGATAACTGAATTCTCGAGAGATTCAACAAATGCAGCTGAGAGAACGAAGACCACGCATCGCAGCACGTTTAGCGTGAGCAGAAAAAATTAGCGTGTTATCAAAAATAACACCGAGGTCACTGAATTCATATACCTTACATATAAGGACATGGTGTTGACATAGTAGGGAAATGACACGATGGGTATTTTGCGAGATTGTGGTTATAAGAGGGAAAAGAAGAGAAAAGTGAGCCCCGTGACTGTCTGCATCAGCGTGCGACCCCTCAACAGGAGCTCACAATGGATGGGGGTGAGGAGGGATTAAAAGGATAGGATTAAACGGAGAGAGAGAGAGAGATGCGAAAGGACAACGAGCGACGACATACGAGAGAAAGGAAAGATGGAAACAGGAGTCCGAGGACGGGGCACCACTGTCGAGAGCTCTTGTCGGCGACAGGAGATGGCGTAGGGCTAATCCAGTCGGGCAGAGCTGCGCTGACGTCGGAGATCGCGAGGGCACAACCGGTCGGCACGGAATCCAGCGAGCGAGATATACTCGTGGATTAGGTCTTTGATGTAATCAGACAGAGGTTATTGTTATCACACGATTCGGAGGAATAACGCGAATCTCACTGCAGCAAGCGACAGCGGGGCTCCGGAAATTTCGACCATCTGATGTTCTTTACCGAGCCCTGACATAGCACATTCCGGAGGTGTCGACATGTACATGACCTCCTACCATTACGCCTCCACTGAAATGCATCCATAGAGTAACATAGTATACTATGTGACTCTATGATGCGACCGCCGTGGTCGACAACACTGTCCAGACGTAGCTGGGGCAACCCGTATGTTCGCGGAGATTGACCCCGCAGGCTATCTCGGCCGCGAAATTCTGTGCCAGTACCCTTTTAACCGGGCAAGTGAAAACGCAAGTTAAATTGACAAGGAAGATGCTTGCATGTGTTTTGTTTGCGATAATAAATACACTATGTATAGCTGATTTGAATTGTAATTCAGCGCATAGTAACGTGAATCCTTCAGTTCACGTGAACTACGGTGTAATTCCTGTTTGCACAGAGAAATACTAGAAAGCACAGCTCTCTTTCACGACACAACCGAAAAAAAAAAAAACCTTTGACCTAACTGGTTCAACTTGGGGAAGCATGCAAAATTTACGCATTTTGTTAACACATTAGGCATCTAAATTTTTTTGAACTACCTTGCTTATCGGCATACTGCATTGGAAAGCCGTTGAACGACGAAGTTATCAGCATTGTAACTTTGCATCAAATGCTGCTATCACGATTCTAGAAAGAAAAAAAAAACTGAACATTTGTGACCACGTAAAACTGTTTCATGAATTTTTTGTTGCTGTTGCTGTTTGCAGCATTTTTGGAAAAGTCCAAGTCATTGGAACATTTCGTAGCTGTGCAATACCAGTTTGTTTACGTATTTCTCAGCAGTCTCACTTACGTAATTATGACAGCATTTATAACGGTATGCTATAAATTTCCTTGCGTGGTCTATGCCGTCTATGAATCCTTATACCTCTACTATTGCTTTTATTTTTGTGGCAGTCTTCGATGGTCATTCACATCCTAAATAAAGAAAACTGCTTCCTACGTCTCGTTTGTTATAGCTATCTTTAATTTTTTGACTTTAGTCAAGCCTAACAAAATCAGGTTAAGGGAATGCCATGCGAAATTATATCAATATTTTTTTGCGTTACGACTTTAATTGTTAATCTTTAATAGGATAAGTAATAGCACGTGGTATTGCGACTCGGCAGACATTTAGCCGTACCCAACACAATGTAAAAAAAAGAAGATCAAAAGACAACGTTGCTTTATAACATATTGTGGGCGTGAACAGGCGTTTTCGTCCAGTGTGTCCAACGAGCCACGACAGTCTATAGTGCTAATGTGATAGTCGACTGCTGATCCGAATGTCGCCGACTCGAATCCCGGGCCGTGACCACCGCAATTCCACGAAATACTATAGGTCCGTGTGCTCAGATTGGGTGCACGTCAAAGAACGCTTGATGGTCGAAATTTCCTGAGCCCTCCTCTATGGCGTCCCTTAAGACCACATCGTGGTTTTGGGACGTTAAATCCCAACGATTATTGCGTTATTCTGTGTATTAATCTGAATAGACGTGAGAGAGGAAATCGTTTGCACCTTTACAATCTGCTATATGCCGAAAAATGCCGAGCAGGACCCCCCCCCCCCCCCTTTTACAATGAAGGATAATCCGACCAGAATTGGGTTGGATTGAGGGGGGGGGGGGGGGGGCGTTTGCTCGGCTCCTGACTTAAATTCAAGATGGCGGCGAGAGAGACGTTGAAAATGAGAAATGCCCAATCATATTTGCAATGAGATCCTTCCTTTACTTATTTACGTGACAAGGGAATTTCATGAACAAAACATTAGATACTCGTTCAGTGTACTGATTCTTGTGCTTATTTTTACACGAGTGACGCTCGTCTTGGAAAAAAAAAAAGTGGCCGCATCGGAGGACGGGGAAATGAGCTCTACAGCTTGGTCATTGGCGCTTATACTTCACATCTCATGTAAAAAGGATCGAGGGGGGCGCATCTTCGGCATGTTACGGTAAGTAGAGAAACTTGGTAGATCTCACGTAGCTTGGGAATCGATGCGATGCGAAGCATACAGAGGGAAGCTGACAGCGTTGTAATTTTTTTTATCGAGCGAAACGTTACGAAATGACGCTAAATATATGTACTA